TTTAAGCCTTTTTTTGAAATTTTCTACAACTGTTGGTAAAATCAATGTTTCAATTCTGTTCGCTTCAGTTTTTATTGCATTTTTCATTTGGAGAACTGCCTTGGTTCTGATCTTTTTACTTTTTTATCAAGAAATCCCCAAAGATAAAAATCGAGAGGGTTAAGGTCAGGAGAAGATGGAGGCCATTCAATCTGTGAATTACGACTAATAAGTCGATTGTAAAAATATACTTTCAATAATTCGATTGAATAATTGGTACAATGGGGTGTAGCCCCATCTTGTTGAAACCAAAACTCTTTTAAATTACCGAAACGTCGTAATTCTGGAATAAATTCTAAATACATCATTTTTTGGTAAACAAACTGATTGACGTTTGCCTCGAAAAAGAATGCACCGATAATCCCTTTACTTGAGAGTGCACTCCATGCGTGAACAGACAATGGATAAGCAACTCGTCGCAAAAAACGTCGGTCTCGCTTTTGCCCACCTTCGACAATTCTGATGGTTCTCTTTTTTGGGCAAACAGAATACCTTTTCATCGCTGAACCAAATATTAAGCCCAAGAAGATTAGTGCGCAATCAAATCGTTTACATTTGGCAGTGACCGATAATCGCTGAACCGCAATAGGCTTATAAGGATGGGATCCATGTTTTTTCAGCACTCTCTGAACTGTCATATGATCGGATTCCACTTTGATCGCAATTTGACGCAAGGAAGCCTATCAATCAACTCTAAAATTCTCTCCTCTGAGGCAAGTGATCTTGGTCTTGGTTCAGTTACTTTCCTTTTTACCGAGCCTGTGAATCTGAACTTTGAAACCAAATCTTTGATATACCCCGGACTGATAGTGACATCGAAAATTTCCTCAACTTTATTTATTACATGTTTTTTCAAATCTTGGACCGTAGGAATCAATAAAGAATAGCGAAAATATTCCTCAACCACAAATACTGACACTTCAATGGGATACATAGTCAACAAAAGCAAGCAAGGACTCAGAATGTGACAAAAATCAAGAATTATCAACAATTAACAAAAAAATCAACAAAAAACAACAATAAAATTGACTAGAATTGAATGCAAATCACCAAAAAAGACTCAATATGAATCAACAAAAATCATCTGTTCATTTGTTTATTTGTTTACAAACAAACCTAACTTGTTAGTGAAAATAATGTCTTGAAGTCATCACTTGACCATAAATGGAGTTAATTTTCAATTTTTTTATCAAATTTATTGAAGACAGGCACCCAATTAGGTTTAGTCAACATACAGACCTCAGACAGTTTTGTTTGTTACACCCTTTACAATTGAATATATATAGAAAATGCAGCTTTTTTGAAGATAAAGATAAACCAAAATCGAATTATCAGTCCAGAAAAAACCGTATTTTACCAAAGCTGGAGACAACCAAGAACAGCAAGACAGCAAACAATCCAAAGAATCCACAAACAGCTAGAAACCGAGATAACCAAAGACCAAAATACAGCAAATTAACTTTAAGTCAAAAGAAGGCTGGACACAGTAAAGCAGATTAACGGTTAAAATATCTAAGTTAACTTTGAAACTTTCAAGTATCTGCAAGATAAAATCAGTTTGAAACAAAAAGAAAACAAAAGAATTTCATTCAGTCAAGTTCCTAAATCCTGTCTACATTGCAATAGTTAAAGTTTAATTAAATTTGTGTTCAATATGAAACTCAGTTTAGTTTTACAATCATTCGGATAAGTTTCAAAAGTTTCAAAAGTTTCTCCAAATCATCAACTAAAGTAATGGAAGTTTTTCATGAAAATAGTGAAATGGACATTGACGAATATTTATATTGTGATGTCTATTTATATGATGATTATGATTGTGATGAAAAAGTGAATGGTTATGTGATCCAAAATTTTTTTGATTTAATTTCATTCTTGGTGCAAAGATTGAAAAAAAGAACTGACTCGGACATACTTGTAGAGTTTTTAGTCCAAACAGCAATTGAATACTCTCTGGAGTATGAATCATGATCATCGCTACTTTCTTTTAATCAATAAATATTTCATATTTTGTGATTAATCAATGAATAAGTTTTTTTCTCCAGCACAGCGTGCTATAGCCAGCAATTTTATACTACTTACGAAACTGTATGTCCGTGACTGTATATTTTTAGGTTCCTCGTGTTCTTATCTATTTAAATACAGTCAATCCTCGAGTTTTTTGTTTTTTGGAGTGCGGACATCTATGTGAACTACAGGGAGAAATATAATAATTAAATTTTACAGTTTAAACAATTAGTCCACTCTAATGACTACCCCCGAAGGGAGAAGGGTAGAGACTCTCTGCCAGAGAGGCTAAAGGGGAATCATAAACTAGGGGCTAAACTGTAAAATTTAATTATTTCTCCCTGTAGTTTTTGTTGTGTTTTGAGTGTGTTGTTGCCTAATGCATATTTTGTTCAACAGATGGTGGGATATACCTTTCTGGAGACATTTTAACTGAATTGGATTTAATCGGATTGGATTTATTTACACTGGACTCTACTTTGATCTTCACAATTCCTTTTGTATTATTATTTTGTTTGTTATTAATTTTATAATCAGCTGCCAAGCTTAATATGGCATGAAGGGGGTGACTAGAGTCACTCAGTCATATTTTGACTACATCTTGTACTCTTTACTGATGCTAATAAAGTTCACATAGATGTCAGCACTCCAAAAAAACAAAAAACTCGAGGATTGACTGTACCACAAGATAATTAACAATTAACTATAATTAACTTCACTAAACTGAGTCCATTAACGCTATCAAATAATTTGTCTGATCGATAGTTTCTGAGAAAATCGAGGTCAAAGTTCAAATTTCGATCGACTTTTTTTCAATCATGAGACGAGAATTTTTCCATGGAACTTATTTTTTTCTGATTCAACTTTTGAGTATTTTGATAGCTTTTTATCATCCAGGCAATTCAATAGCTTCTCCATTGATTAACCACCGTCAACTTCTTCTTTTCGCAACTCTGACCTATTTTAACATCAACTTTGACCTCACCAATACCCTCGACCACTGCAGCCCTATTAACAGGCAAAACGTTTAAATTGTTCACCAACTCTGTCCAACAGGCACAACCTGTGTCTCACAAATGGTACCAACAATAGTTCCCAAAACACTTCAAACACCAACTCTAGTTAACCAACACAATTGGTATCAACAATTTACCAGGAAACAATTTAAACCATTCACCACAGGAGACAATCACAAATCTTCACAATTCCCATCAACATTTAATTAACTTTACTCTAGCCAACAATCATGTAACATATAACCGAGTCAACATCACCAATTCAAATTCAAGTAATTATAACATTACATTAAATGATTTTAATCGTCTAATTAAAAATGATCGCATTGAATCTAAACTAATGAATAAAAATGGTCCCCATTTATTGCCCATGTCAAGTGAGCGTTACATACGGGCAACACCATTCCCATCAATTGCCAAAATTTCACCGGATTCCCTGATCCACCAAATTGTAAGTAAAATCATTTCTTTACTAATCAAGAATCTCAAGTAAAAATGTTTCTTCAATACTTTTCTCTACTCGTTTCATCAGTTAATCTCGGACTTGGATCCAATTTCGACTGGAAATTTAAATGCTCTCAACAGTTTCAGTTCAATTGGCCACCAACAATCATGGTAACAACAACAATATAAACAATTTACTCTCAACACGTTCTAATTTTGGCTCTTCATAGTCCTCACTAAAGGACGCGCAAGAAGTAAATATACCTTAAAATTACAAAAACAAAATCGGTATTTACTTCTTGCGCAGCTTTTATTTTACGTAGTAATCTCTTCGAGATCATCTTCTTCATCTACAGAAAACGACTTATTTGAGTGATCAAACTCTCTATTTGTGCAGCATATCACTGCGATTTCCAGTTACATCGACTGCTTTGTGTGACCATAAGAGTTAGAGAGCTGCAACTTATTATTTGTCAATGAAAATTGTTGGTAAACACGGTTGATCGAAGACTTTTTTCAATTTCTGAACAGTTCTCTTGATTTTGGCCTTTGGCTTGAAAACTGAGTAACAATGTTGTGATAATGGTAATAACACCTACAATCATCATTTTTTGACCAATCATTAGATTTGATTCTGGGCTATAAAATAATATAACTCAATCCAGGAAAATTTGAGGTAATTAAGCTAATAAGTAATATCCTTCTAACACATATGAGATTTGTGTTTGAATAACCAATTAACTTTATAATAATCTGCATAACCAAATATTTCCAGGTACTAAACAGTCATATTTCGTTTCAAGTGTCTGTTCAAACTCATTTATCAAAATTTGGGTTTCAAATTTTCGTCTGATTACCTATAAGATCTGATAGAATTGTTATTTTTAAAAATATCAAAAAAACCTTGTTGGAAAATCATTCGAATTTATCTTTACTCTAATTTCAAACACTCGCTCAGACTACGCCGGCTCATGGCTGTCCTAGTTTATCATTAATTTCAGCTAAAAAACAATTAAACTTGAATGAAATGCACAACAATCACCTGTTCGTCTATTCATTATTAATTTTACCATTGGCAAAAGTGTGTGATTTTTAAGTTCCGCCTTAGTCCGCAAAACCTTACTCTTACCATAATTTCTTATTCCAATTTTATCTGCTGATTTACACAAAATTTGAAGCTAAAATTTCAATCACAATTCATTTGAAACAAACTGCACGGTAGTTGATAAATTTCAATGATTTGCGTTTTAATAAAAAGGACTGATGCAGATACGATTTTCTCAAAGCTTTTCTAATGATTTTGAAAATCGGAAAATCGCTGTCAGGTAAAGCATTGATAATAATGTCGTAGTATTTATGTAGTATTTACGTAGTGCTCATCTATCATGTTTGAAAGGCAGTTATTGATGAGAAGAAACCCTGAAACTCTGGATCTTGAAGCTAACCGTTATTAAAAAACCTTTGGATACACAAACAATAAATTGTAAATTGTACAGATACTTAATTGTAATGAAAATTTAATGAAATATTAAGTAACTTATCAACATAAATTTTTAAATTAATTTCTTTGTGAAATGCATCAGAAATGGTTACTAAATAACCGATTTGACTAGTGACCTAGAGTCGTGATTCAACTACTCTTATGCATTAATACTAGTGTCCAATCCAAGATATTGTTTTATAATTTCATAAGTGGTAAATGAAGCAGCAACCATTGGAATAGCACGCAGATAATTGATAGACATGCCTCTATAAAGTCCACTGACTATTCCATGTTCTTTATATGTTATTATGAGCGTAGAGAGAACTCCTTTACTGTATTTATAAGTTTCAGGTTGCATCATGCTAAGTTGCATTCTTCGTCGAGCCACATCTAATGGGTATGATAATGATTGGGAAACAGCGCCTAAAAAAGGATATAAAAAATTTTAAATAAAAAGTTCTTCGCTTTAGTTATAATTCTGTATCCAACCTGAAAGACCTCCGCAAAGAAGTTTGGATGGAATATTCAACAACAATTTGTCATCAACATATGTTCCACACCAGTGAGGAAAGTGTTCCAAAACAAAACGTTTAAACTCCTCGAAAGTATAAAAATAGAGACCTTCAGGGAAAGAAAATAAAAAGTAGAATTATTGAATGATCTTAGAAACAATTAAATCAATTTTAATTTACCAGAATATGGTACAATCCCTAAAAGGGCTGGCGTCATTCCTCTGTACAAAGCTGCGAATCCTCCTTCATTTTGCACTATATTTCTAATACAACTCCAAATTCTGAGACCAGGAGGAGATGAAAAGTATCCAGAAGCTGCAGTAGCACCGTTTGCTGAGGCAAATTCAACTGAGAAAGATAAACGAGCTCGAACTAAATCTAATGGATAAGTCATGATGACTGCAGTAATACCAGCACCTGAACCAGCAAATAGTTTCAAAAAATGGTTGTTACCAAAAGTCGTCAGTAAATGCTGTGAATCAGAAGGTAGTAAAATTAGTACCATATCTATAACAATCAACTTCGGTATTTAAAGGATATTCACCTTCTTATAAATTTCAAAAGTAAAAAATTGAACAGCTGCATAGGGAAAAACTCGCACCATTTGAGCTCCATTTCCTCTATAAAGTCCTGAGAATTTTTCTCGCCTGACAATGTCTCGAAGTCCACTAAATACACCTAAAATGAATAAAATTGATGTCAAAAATGTTGAATAAAAAAGTGGACAATTTCCAATTCAGCTTTTAATCGTATTTTTCTAAACAACATAATCTAAAATTCTCTAATATCTCTGGTAAACTCACCATTGTGTTTATAATGAGTGTTATGAGCTTGTAAGAGTATTTTGACTCGGTCCAACGGTGCTACTGTTGTTTTTGAAGCCATACCCGCGATACCTTTGAAATAGAAGAAAATTTGTCTCAATCAAATATTCTAGAACCAGAACAAGAGTAAGAACGCAATAAAAACAATAAAATACTTACCACCAGCTAAGAAGGTTTTTAGATGTTTATTATCTACATCCTTCATGGTGTTTTGTTTGATTTGCTTAAATTAATTTCCAAATTGAATACCAAATAATAAACAACAAAAATAGCACTTTAAAGGTCAATCAAGAAGGCAGATTACCGGGAAGACGATAAGTTCAAATAAAGCATGGTTCGTTACTCTTTATGATGTAATATGACAACACGTGAGAAGCATGCTTCTTTTAAATTGATACAAAGAATAGCAGTTTCTGAATTTTTATCAAATGATTACTATACAAAACAGATACAAAATTAATCGAGTATAAGTTGATATTGAAACAGTATTTACATTAACTAATTTGATTATGTTTACAAATAAGAAAGTTACATATGATTTGGAGATACAAAGTGAGGTAACTTTACTGAAATCACTTTACTTCTTAAAACAGTTCATAGAGGACTCTAGTAAAGTTGTTGATTGTTTTGTTTTGATATTTTATCCGAAACTGTAACTAAGAAAAATGGCCAAAACAAATAAATCGAGCAATTTATTGTTCGTCTTATTTACTCTTATTTATTATATTATTTCATTTGTTGACTAGCCAAACTCCGCTAATTTGTGTTAATATCATCATGACAACTTCATATATAGAGTTTAACATTGACGATTCAAGTTTAGTCAATTGTGAAATTGGTCGATGTTCTTGGTCCACTGTAATCCCAGTTTTAGCCGTTTCTGTTTATAACTCTAGTGGTACAATAAAACTTTTCAATGAGGATGGAATTGTGATTGAAACAAAAACTGACAATGATTTATCTTCATCCATACCTGTTAAATCATCAGCCCATGTCGCCGATTTCAAATGGCATCCAAAACTACCAGTTTTGGCAGTTTCTTGGGAAAATGGTGATCTTGGTTGTTTTCTGGTCCAAAAACTGCAATGTAAATGGGTTTACTCTACAAGCAATGAAGATATTTTACTGAACTCTAAATGGATTGCTCATATGGCTTGGATTGACCCTGGAGATAAGTTAATTACAGGTAAAAGTTTTAATTCTTGTGTTATTAACACTGATAATTTATCTTCATTTTTATTTAATACTTTTCTCTTTTTAGTCAATAGTTCTGGACTGCTTGTTATTTGGGATTATAATTCAACGACAAATATGCTAACATCAACCTATAGCTACCAGATGGTCGATCGACCAACAGATTTAACTGTTGTTACCTCCAAAACTCGCTATCCTCGAGTTCTGATCGCTTGCAGTTCAGGTATAATTCATCAGTACACTGTATCAACAGGATCCATCAGTGATGTTATTCAACTTGATAACGGAGTCCGTCGAATTATTTACAATGCACATAAAAACCGAATTATTCTAGTCACTGATAACTTATTCCTTTGTCAATATTCTGTTTCGTCATCCTCTTTTGAGGAATTTTCGGAAATATCGAAGATTAAACTAAGTGGACACGTTAAAGGAACCAATTCAGATATGGTTGCTGTGAATATGGTCGACGAATCAATTGGACTTATAGCCATTTGTACCTCAGGAGAGCGTGTTATACGGCTATGGCAACTGGAAACCGGCCATAATGCAGCCCTTATGGTGGTTGATTCTGTTGATTCTAATTGGGCTGGACTCAGTTGTCTTGATTGCAGTGAAACATTGTTGGTTGCAGGAACTACTAATGGTTTAATAATCATTTGGAAGCGAATCTCAGGATTAGATTTTAATAAGATAAGCCAAGTTTCTGTAAAAGGAAATGTTAAAACTCTTTCGATTTCAAACACGAATCAAATTGCTTGTACAACAAATAGCAACCAAATCTATCTGATAGAGGAACAATCAATAATAACATCATACCATTCTGATCTCGGCTTAGTTCAAGTGAGTACTTCAGAATGAGAGAAAAATGATTTTCAATATTCTTAATCAATTTTTGTTATGTTTTGTAGACAGGAGCTAAAGCTTTGAAGTTATTTTGGATTCCGGAAAATAAATGTTATGAACTTAATTTGCAAAGTCCAATTCGATCAGCTTTAGTTAGCACTGACGCATCTTATGTTGCAATTAAATCAACTGGAGTAAAAGATTTGATGATTTACCGCACCTCTCATGATCCCGATCTAATTCGAGAAGCAGCGGCTCCAATAGCATCTCACTGGTTTGCCCTGCATTATGACACAATTTGGACACTGAATCAATCTAATGATGAAGCTTGTACTCTCCAATGTTACAAAATATCAGATCTGCCATCTAATAATCCATTTAATTTTGAGTTGGACACAAGTCTGTTCAAAGAGAAACCTTCTGTGCACACATTTGATCTCAATCATGATTATCTTCTAATTTTGCTTAAACTGGAATCGCTTTATGTTTACTATATTTATCGAATTGATGGGGCCAATGCTAACATTGTATCTGGTCCCAAAATTTTAGATCTGCCTAGTGAAAATCGTAAAGATTCAGTTGATTCAGACAATTTAACGACCACCAATCGCTCGTTTTCTTCACCGCCTCCAATGTCAGGGTCTAATTCATCATCAAAAACAACTATTGAACTTAAAGAAGTTAAATTGAACAACCAAGGAAGCCATTTTGCTTTTATTTTATATGGCATTGATATTTATGTTGTTCATGCTTCAAATAATCTTATAGCAAAAGTAAATCATGAGCTGAGTGAATCTAGCCGATTAATCTGGTCAACAAATGAAAGTCGTTTGTTTTGTACTCTCAGTTCTGGTAAATTAAACATCTTTCTTTGTAGTGGCGATAATGAGATTAGCGTTAAACTTTACTCTTCCAAGCTTGTTGACCCCGGCTGTAGATTGATTGGTTTTAAAGTTCCTTACGTTTTTTTAATGGATCCTCGACCAAATGGCAGCATCGTTCGTGAAGTTTTGGAAGAGTTTGAAGATTTGAGTGGAGAAACAACTCGAATAATGGTTGACTTTCTTACAAGCACCAATATTGATTTAAACAGTATTATTAAAAAGATTGGTGAACGAGAAGGCAACAACAACAAAATATGGACCAACTTGGCTCGAATCGCTGTTAAATGTCGTGACATTAAAACAGGACTCTATTGTATGGCTAAAATGAAAAATGCTCGAGTTGTTCAAGATGTCCGAGAGAAACTATCCAATGAATCGGAAGCTTTAGCTTTACTTGCTATGAATCTTGAACTTCACCGAGAAGCAGAAGATTTTCTCAAGGAATCGGAAGATTCTTATGCTTTGAGCAAATATTATCAAAATCGCAATGAATGGAAGCGAGCCATTGAAGTAACTGATAAGCTTCACTTTAAAACTGTTTGCTACAATTATGCCAAAAATTTGGAACTGGAAGAAGGTAATTTGGAAGAAGCCATCAAATATTATGAAATGTCGGCAACTCACATTTTCGAAGTTCCCAGAATGTTGTTTGACATTGAAGGAAATACTTTATTGGAAAATTATTGTATCGCACATTCAATTGAATCATCATCATCTGATAATTTTACAAAACAAGACCGTATTCAATTGTGTCGGTGGTGGGGCCAATATTGTGAAAGTCTCGGAGATAGCAATCAAGCTTTGGAATCATATGAGAAAGCTGGTGATTATTATAATTTGGTACGGCTTTTGTGTTACTCTGGACAAACAGAGAAGGCTAAATCACTAATGGCAGATTTAAATAATACCGTTGGAACAAAGGATAACCGGTCCAACATTTTGGAGGAACCAACTGAGAGTAAATCCAATAAAGATGCCGCTTTACTTCATTTGGGTCGACATCTTGAACCAACATCACCCTCCGAGTCAATTGGATACTATCTCTCCTGTGGAGCCATTAACCATGCTATAAGAGTTTGCAAGTCAAACAACTTAATTAATGAACTGGTTAAAATAATTGTTAATTATGGGAACCGGAAAGATGCCCTCAGTTTTCTTGAACGTTTACCCAATTCAACAATATCAACCTTGAAGCAAACACATGGAACAGAGGAGCCACTTGAGACCAATTTACTGATTCAGTTGTATCATAAAGCAGATCTTGTAGATGGTGCAATTAGACTTTGCCTTGAAACCGGTCGATGGACTGACCTTCGAGAATTAATGACCAAAGAAATGGAAAAATTGGAGGCTGGTTTACAAGTAACATGTGATGTTTCAGAAGCTACAATTGTCTCAGCCCTTGAAGCGTTGAAAAATAATTCTGAAATCATTGATATTGTCATTGATTTGGTTTTGTTAACAAAAGGCGATAAATCTTTAATACAAAATCTTATATTGGATTATAATATAGAAATAAATGAAAAATTGATGGAAAAAGTTGATCGTGTTATGGCTAAAGAAGGTGATAATCGGTTGATTCAAGTTTTAGCGGAAACTGCACTTCAACAAGGACAATATTTTGTTGCCGCAAGGCTATACAATTCAATTGGAGATCGAGTTAGCTCATTAAAATCTCTAATACGAACCGGATCGACTGATAAAGTTGTTAACTATGCCAATATAGCGCGAGATAAATCTGTTTACCGGATTGCAGCCAATTACTTGCAAACAGTCAACTATTCAGATGATAATTTAATTGCCACTTTTTACAAGAAAGCTGGAGCCAAACAAGAATTGAGAAGATTCATGTCCAGAGAAGGTCACTCTTTGGACGGAGAAACATCTTGAAAACAAATGGAAACTAATCTGTGAAAAATATGGAAACTTAACCATAATCTAGTCAAAAGTCTAGTTGAAAATTAATTCAATCCAAGACCAACTTTAATTTTATCTTCTAATCAAAATGAATTTCTGCCATTCAACAATCCAATGATCTTATTTTATACACACACACATCACCTGAAGTGCATAATCATCATCTTATTTATATAACCATCGGTTGGAGGAGAAAAAAAGTGATTAAACTAATTTGGTCGGTAATGTTAAAGATACTCAACAAAATTTAATCGCTTTATTACCAGTGATTAATATTTTTTATCAGCCAAACCATTTATTAATTTCTGTTACTTTGTTAACAATTTTCCCTCTCCAGTTAATCTTCATCACACAAAACCTCGCAACTAATGCAAAAGCAGATAAAAAAACAAAACAAAACGTTCACCTTTTCATTTAGATAATGAAAAGCGCCAATATAAAGTTTACATGGACAGTGCAATAATTGGTAAAATAGACTATAAACTAAAAGTTTAATCACTGGGACAAATTGGAAATGCTGAAAGAGTGGACCGAAAAAAAGGCTATTTTGTGCCCAAATAAAAAAAGGCACAAGTTTAACTTCTCATGGGTTTCACAGAGAGTAACTCAGGAACACACCTAATAAAAAATGGTTGCTCATTGAATTTTATGCTTCTCCACGAAATATCGATCACCATTCATGGATCACCCGGTTTCATCTCTCCCACCTCCTCCTCCTACTACTCCCTCTGTGTTCCTCTCCCACCCTTCTCTTTCCTCATAATCTTTCTTCTCTTACAATAGTTCTGTTCCATCTTTCTCCTTCTTCATCATCACCATTATCATCATTCAAAGTCTTTCCATATAGGCCTTTAAGTCAACGACCTTTTCAAACCAAGATCAATCTCATCTGGGTTCAACCTCCTAGGATCCATGATGATGATGAAGAAGAAGAAGCAAGAAGAAAGAAGAAAGAGAAAAAAGAATCATGATGTTGCCTTTATTCTTCTCCTTCTCAATCATCTTCGTTTTCACCATCTTTTCTTTAGTGTTATTTTTACCAGAGGAAAATAGTACCTCTAGATCAAACCCAAACCAAGATTAACCTTGCAATAATCATTATTGCACTTTTGCTTATTACATTTTAATTTTTATCGCGATTCAACCAGATTCCAGTTTCAGATCAATTTTATACTCACAATCAATGTTAATATCTGTAATATTGTTACTTTGATGCAATAATAATAGTTGAAATTATTTTCTCTCCACCAAAAAATATGATTAAATACCAGCCTACTTTTTTTTCTTGCTTTCAACTTTCACTTTCACCGCACACACACACTCATTCACTGCAAACAGACACAATAATCAACATTTATCAAGTCATTTTACACTGATTAATTCTGTTTGAAGGTCATCCTTGGATAATCATCATCATTGAGTGAAACATAATTTACTTTTGTTTTGCTATTTTCCCGTCATCAACTGCACAATTCAATTCATGATCAACTGTAAACTCAAATGTTTCTTCAAATTTTGCATTGACGTAACCCTGATTATCAATTGCTAAATTTGTTAAACTTCACAATAAACCAACAACCCAAACACAAAAATCAACCTTCACTGAGATTCCAATTTGCTCACCAATACAGCAAAAAATTAAATTGAAGAACCTTGATTGTTGGGTGAAAATAATAACCTGAGTAGCCAAATAGAAACCAATGAAACTCAGAAAGCAGGCAAAAATACAATTTAACTTGCAAGACAACTTTCGTCTTGTTATTAAAGCAATATATTGAACAGGTTTAAATATAAACTTGTATTGATCATCTAATTTAAAAGGCGACAATTTAACTCTCATTATTTTATAATCAAGATTAATTTGTTTAAAGAAAACAAAAAAATGACCAGAAAAAAGTAAGCCACAAAATCTGGTAAGACTGTTGTATTTTGCCTTGGATCAATAGTTCGTTAACCTGAATCAACCTAGATTTTGTCTTCTTTTTTGTTCGGGTTTAATTTTATTTGCTTCTTAAGCCTTTCCCTTGAACAATACAAAAATATCTAACCTTTACATTGTCAGGTTAAATTAAAATAATTGTCTGATTAATAACACGGAAGAGTCAACAATTAGCTTACTTTCAATGGTTGGTTCAATAATCTGGTTCAATGTATTGCTTCATTTAATGGCTTTTAATGTTTCTCCTTATTGTTTATAAATGCATTTCAACCCAACCCAGGATACAAATTGATCAATACTATTAAATAATTAACCTTTTTTAAAAGTTATCAACCGATGAATGAAAACAGAGAGACTCTATTGATAAGATTGGATAAGAGCAATAATTATGGTTTACATTGCAAGATGAGGCGATTGTTTGAACCAGGGAATGATTTAGCTTTGCAAATCTGAGAGTTACTGGTTAACCAGTTGACAATCCTAATTAACCAACCATTGAGCTATATTTTTGTAGTTAATTGTATCATAATAATGGTTAATGGCGTTGTTGGTAAATGTTGATATTGTTGGTAACAATGGGAAAAAAATAGTCAAGTTATTATTTTATATGGAATAGTTCAAGATCGATATTTTCATCTCTGGGTTGTTGAACTTTTCCTTTCTTTCTTCTTCTCTTTCCTCTCTCCACCATCTTCATCATCTTCCTCGTCTTTCTTGTCTTCATCATCATCATAATCATCCTGTGAATGATTATTTTTCATGGAAGCGTATGAAAAAAAAGTACAGTTAGTGGAGCAAGTTTACGTTGCCTTTATCATCTTGAACCATCTCCTGAAAGCCAAAAGATACAACAATTAAAAGCTTTTACGTTTACTTGTATTTTAATCAGCACCAATGTTTACCTAAATTATTGATTGCAATCAGCCAATTGTATTTAAATTGTTTCCTTTGGTTGATCAAAGTAATAAGGAAACATTAATTTTCTTGCAATTTTAAACATCGCTTGTTTACATGCATTTTCATATTCAAGCCAAAAAAGTGTGTACAGATGAAAATATAAAAAAATGAACTTAACGAGGATGATGAAAATTATGAAGATATTCATAATTCTGTTGATGATTATGATGATAAACTGAAAGTTGAATGATAGATGACAAAATTAAGTAATACATTATGTTATGCCTTTTCATGCCAATATTTATTTTCATATGTGAGGTCATTAACAACAATTGTTTCCATTATTGATTAGTGATTGACATTGTAAGAAAGGTATAATTGTGATTGTAGACACAATATGAGTGATTAAAGCTTCAAGTTAATTACAACCAGAAAAACCAAGCAAAACCAAAACTAAAGCCAAGATGAAACCAGATTTTTGTACCAGATCTTTGGGTTATTTTAATCTTTCTGGTTATTTTTATTTTAAAATAAATATTAACATCATTTTAAATAAACCACAATAAATAATCAAACATCTGATACAAGATGTATATTTAGATATTGAAATATAATAACCTAAAAGATTTGTGATTAAAGGTTTTCTTTATGAGTTTTGATATTACCTGACAATTTGATTATGTGACTGATCAATTGAAAACCATTGTTAACCAACAGTCAATTGAATAATCAATGATTGAATGTATTTGCAATGGAAGGTTTGAATGAATCAAGTAAATTAGTAACATTTTATCAATTGCAAGTGATTAGGAGTTTTGTTATTATTATCATTAAAGCTGAAGATAATTAAAGGAATAGACATTTGAACTTTTCACTGTTTTTTTTGTTTCATTGGCAAATTTCCGGGTTTCATGAACCTTATTCTGGTTCTATTAAAATCTTACAAACTCAGTGTAACTCAACATCTTGAGCCTAAAAATGATCCAATAAAATGTTCATCTTTTCATGCATTTACATTGTCTAAACTAATTACAATGCAAAATGATTACTAAATAACTATCAACTGGAATCAACTCAATAGGAAAAGATGAAACCAAAAAGGCAAAAAAGAACCTAAAAATTACCAGATTTTTACTTTTGCTTTGCTGAGCATAATAAAGGTTTGTCTCTTGAAAAGGGTCAATTTGGATAATTTATTCAAAATTCAAAACTCTATTAAGCCAGTTAGATACAATTCATGTGTGAATTAAGAGGATTAACATGAAAGTCATGATTAGCACATGATTATTATGAATAAATAATCATAATCAGATTATCCCACTCAATGACCAAGAGATTCACATGTTTAGTGAAAAGCATTTGCAAAACATTTTCAAGGTAAAGTGTAAAATGTAACAATACATTTTAATTATATTTTGATGAAACAATTAACCAGAAAACAGCAAATTAAATGAAGTCAAAATTTACCTTCAAAAGTAATAGCAATATAAGTTAATTACTTGATCATCTTACAAAGCAAACAAAATCAAAGGCGAAAAGAAGAAAAAGCAAATTGTTTCCTTTTCCATCTTTTGTACGTTCATCATTATCATTACAATCTTCATCATCATGAACCTTCATCTTCTTCATCCAACTATTTCTCATCGCCTATGTTAGTCTGGTTAGACCTTAAGTCATGAGTCTTTGAACCTAACTTCGTCCCTTGAAATGAACCCAAAAATATTGAGAAAATAAATTTCGTTTGCAACTCTTTTCATCAAGGTGATAATGAGTGATGTTGAATTAGACTGAAGGAAATTTGAATGTCATTGAAAGATCGTTCACCTTGTTCATCCTTCAGTTGAACATTTATCCCTGAAAACACTTTGATGCCAACCATTTTACTTTACCTTAACATTTATTGATTTGTATTTTGCTTTTTGCTGTAGGATAATAAATTCAGATTCTTGGTCTTTTCCCTGACTCCCAGTGAATCATTATTCATTGAGCCCTTGAAAAGATAAGCAAAGCCGCAAATATTGAGCTTGAAAAAGGTAGGCTTTGATCACCTTGATCCTTCTTTCAATCCATTGATATAAATATATTTTCTTGAATGATAAATTATTTGCTTGGCTTTTACCTCATTCTGCTATTTTCTGAATTTTCTTAACGACATTTCATTAATTGAATAATTATCTTTTGAACAACAAAATGAATGCTCATCAACATCTTTAACATTCAACCAATTTTAACTCACTTTTCAACAGCAATTTGTTGACTTGAGGCCAAGTAATTTTTGCATCGCTTAAAATTGCATCTTTGCCTGCTCTTTTTCACCATCATCATCATCTTAATCTTTATCTTTATCTTTCCCTGTATTTCATGGATGATGATGATGATGTGAATAGAAAGCAATTTATCGAAATGAAACAGAGCAGAATCTGAACCAAGAATCTCCTGTTTTGGCAATTTTTTAGTCCTCATCATTGTACAAGATGATGTGGATGAGGAGGAGGATGGGGATCAGAATGATGAGGACAACAACCTTTGCATTAGAATAGCACAGAATCTACTTATACACATAACTCAGTAAAGGATCGATAAATTTAAGGAACCAAAAAGACGAAACTAGAATCAAGATTATCGCACTTCCATTGTAGATTAACAATTTTACAGTTGATCAACTGGATTCATTTTCATTTAAACAACCTAATCATATTAATATCAGCAACACGAAGGGTTAAGGTTGGGTCAATCAACTTTCACTTTTCTTTGTAATAACTTTCATTGATTGTCAATAAACAATTGCAAAAACTGGTTCAAAATTTGGGTCAAATCTGGTTCATGTTTATACGGCTATTTAGTCACTTTAACCTTAATTTTTCACTTAATATCCCAAAATACATCATCAACTGTAAACACAAATTTATTAAACCCAAATGTTTGTAAAACCGTGGATCAATCAACCCAAAGTCAGAACCAGTTTAATATCAAAGATTAACCGAGAATACAATCATTGACTTTTTATATTAAATATTGGCTTAATTTTAAGCAATGAATTTACAATTCAAGTTAACAATTAATCTAATACTTGAAATGCAAAGTAAACAGTCAAAGCAAAAACCAGATTTTAACCAGAAAAATATAAAAGCAGTTCAATTCAAAATTGGACAAGTAAAGGTAAAGATTATCTTAATAAGAAGACTTTAAAATATAAATTTTTATTTTCTAAGATTGTATTAATTGTAATAGTTTGATAATCATTTGAACTCAAGATTTGTCTGGAACCATGTTGGGTTCAAGAAACTGTTGTTTCACTGTTTCTTAACCGGGATAAATTTGATTATTAAGGTTGAATCTGATGTAAACTTTGCTGATAATAATTCTGAGCATGAAGATGATTGTGTTGATCTGAAAGTTTCTTTTTCCGGTTCTTTTATGCCCATGATATTTGTCTTTGATATTCCTCTGTCTGCAACCCAATTTTATCGATCCTAATTTCATTTCTCCATTTCATACATAATACAAAACAAAAGACAGGGAGAAAAGGTTGTTGTCCTCTTTTTTATCATCCAAACCCATTCTCATCTTTACCTGTCTCTCTTCCCTTTTCACCATTATTTCATCTGTAATCTTAAACATACTTATTTCACTTTCATCATCACCATCATCATCATCCTTCTCATTCGCATTCTGGTCTCTCTTCTTACCTCAAGAGTCTTTCCAATTCCGATGCAAGTTTCAGTTTCTTCATCTTTTATCATCCACATGAAAATGTCTCAAGTGATGATGATGACTGGGTTCGGGCTTTTCTCGGTTGAACATGCTCACAGTGATGAACATTGCAAGATGAAGTTTACCCAAAATTTTACTCTTCCTTTGCCTTTCTTTTTACTACTCTCCAGGCCTTAACTGTATTTTTGTGCAATGATGATTGGATGACAAGGAAGAGCAACCATATTATGTAATATGAAAGAAGAGATGATGATAATGAAGAGAGAAAAATCAATAGAGAAAGAGTTTTGACCCCTTAAAGATAGCTTAACTGTAAAGCAAATGAATTACCCAAAAAACGTAATGTTATTCAACTTTGAGTTGACTTTTTTTCCCTTCACATTCAGACTGTTCATTTGGTTTACCTTTCACTGATTGACCATTAAAGGTCAACCATAGTAAATCAACGTTAAAGGTTAATTTAAATTGCATTAAAAGAGTTGAATTACAAAGTAAAATGAAAAAGGTAAAATGAAAATGCAAAAACAAAGAGGGAAACCTTAACCAGAAAAGATGGTTCAAGTTGGGTTTTTAACCTGAAAATTTATCGATTTAAATCGCAAATTCAATGGCTTATTAATCAATCTTACTTATTATGACTGTATTATATCAAAATTTAATCATAATTAAATAGAGTTTGCGTTATCATCAAAAGGTTAACCCAAAATGTTTGACATTGATTTACACCAGCAGGTTAATGTACTTGAATAACCCAGAATCTGAAGCCTTTTTTCATCTTACAATTCAATTTATCTAAACATTTTTTTCTTCTTCTGGTTGATTCTCTGGTTAATTTTATTGATCCAATGATTAATCGGCCAATTATTATCACTAGTTAATGATAACAACTGTCGATGTAGCATGTTATCAATTAAGGAGTGAAATTATTTTTCAATGTTTGGTCTTTTTGCCCAACTCCAGCTTAAGGCCCAATTGGACGTTTACAATTAATGCTTGAATTGCTGGTAAATATAAAATGATGAAAATGTTGTTTCATCTTTATCAGCTTTGTGTTCATCTTTCAGTTATTACATGAAAAGTGATGAAGATGGTGAGGGTGAAAAAAGATGAAGAATCAGATAATCGATGAAAATAGGTTGACTCAGGTTGATGAACTATCGATCGAAATGCCGGTTCAATAAGATGCTGAATCTACCAGAATTTGAAGCTCATTTGTCTCCCAGGAGTTAACCTGGACAGTTGTAATAACAATCGATATTTTAATGAATAATGAAAATTAAGTGTTGAATTAAAGAGGAAAAAATTGAAATAAGAATAGGAATTAATGGTGAAAATGGGAAACAAAGAGAATCTTTTTCCCCCATTTTTCTGGTTCAACATTTTCCATCAGGGAATGAATTGTTATATTGCTTGGAGTTGAATGCAGGGATGAAGAGGATGATGATAAAAATGAGCAAAATGTTGGAATGATGAGTTGAGGAAGAGGAAGAGAGGATTGAACTTGGTTCAATAAGATTGATATTGGAAGGTTCAACAACCTTATTGAACCATAAAAATTTCAGGCAAAATGAAGTTCGAGAGAGAATCAGATAAATCAATATTAGGATATTAAATTTACTTCATAATTAACTAGATAATGAATGTTGAATTGAAAAATGTTGGAATCATTTATTTTCAATCTTTTTCTGGTTTACACTTTCAACCTTTGTTTTGGGTTAACTTTTGTTTTGGGTCTTTTTTCTGGTTTCAGAGGATTTATGTTTAAATTTAATTTGATAACCATTGGATGTAATCCTGGTCAAAACACTTGAAGAGTTGATTCAACACTTTTGTCTCAACGTTTTCAATGTAATCACGTTGTTTAATTGTAAAAACAAAGGATTCTCAGATTCTCATTGATTAAACTCTTGAAACCAGATTTTATTACATTTGTAAAGGGCAGCCATATTAGCAAAATTGTTTTACCAGTCACTATGTTAACCGCAATCATGATTAAGATAATTCTGGCTGATGATGATTTAATTAAACAAGCAACATTTATACAAGGAAAAAAAGGTGCATTAACATTTGATTCTCATAGTTGGCCTTTTTTAATATAAAATACCAAATTATGTTTACCCGATTTATCAACGTGATTCAAACTGGCAACATTCATTTTCAATGGATAATCACAATAATCATGTAACAAGCAAAGAATCTCAATTGAAATCAAGTAAACCAGTAAACCACTTTTGCCACCGTCAAACAACCCCCCAAAAAAACTGGTTCAACTGACTCAAATTTTTCAAACACAAAACAAAATTTTTGCCTTACATTTTGTTACCATTGACTTAACAATGGCAAAATGTGGTTCAATGAAAACCAGTGAGAGAGGCAGAGAGAGGAATATTGATAATGAGTTCAGCCTTAAGAAACACAGAAACACACAAAAGGTAGGTTTAAAGAGGAGGAGGACAGGTAAACAAGAAAAGTGAGTAAAAAAGGTAAGTAAAAAAATAAGGCAAGTAAAAAGCGCGTAAAGGAGTCTGAAAATATGGCGACTTTGGCTGTGAATTTTTGCTTACTTTGTTTTGCTATTTTCACAAGAGACAGAGAAGAGAAATAAGAAAAAGACAGAAGAAGAAGAAGAAAAGAAAGAAAAGAAAGAAGAATAAACTTGGAGAAAAAATTACACATAACCTTGAACCAACAAAAGTTGATGTTGAACCGGTCTGACGAGACTTCGGTTCAAATCAACTTTGCTTTGGTTCAAGGTTATATGTAATTTTGTTTAACTTTATTCTTTTTTCTTGTTCGCTTTCTTTTATCTTCTCTTTCTTTTCTTTCTTCAATTCTCCTTTCTTTGTTACACATTTCTTCATCTCTCTCTCTTTCAACGAAAAGCCTGAAAAAACAAATTCACAACCAAAGTCGCCATATTTCTGTCTTTATCACAAGTTACGCGCTTTCCAATCCACCTTTCACTGTGTCCTCCTCCTACCTTTGTGTGACTGCCAAGGCTTACACTCATTACCAACTCACCTTACTTACTTAGTTACCTTTACAATTTATTTGCCTTACTTTACTTACTTACCTTACTTACTTAGTTACTTACTTTTGCACTTTACCTGGTAAAAAAAATCTGGTTAACATACAAAAGCCAGTTCAAGTTTTTGGGTTTACATATGCATACAGTCTAGTAACCTTATAAAGGAATGGTGAATGGCATTGCTTTGTGGTTGGGTTAGGGTTTTAATTAGGGTTAATATCTTTGTAATTGTCTTGAAATGAATTGGAAAAATATGTTGATTGTTTGTTAAGTTGATTTTAATTTTTGTTTTGTCTTTGTTTGTCGGATAAACAACATTGAAAATAAAAATGAAAAATGGATTGACACAAGAGATCAAAAATTTTTGGTTGATTTTTTTACGTTTAGTTTTGTTGTTTTATAGTAATAAGTCAAGATTCTTGTTTTTTTTGTAGTTTTTTTTCTTTGTTTTGCTTTTAAAGGGCCTAACATTCATTCAATTATAATTAATTATAATCATCAATTATTAATTTCATCATCTTGTTGTCTAATTTATACTTAAAACATAATTATAATTGGAAATATGCAGAAAAAATAATAGAAAAAAATTATACTTAAAATATTTTTCATCAGTTATTGCTTAAATATTTTTTTGTTCTATTGTTTGTTGTCTTTTTTCGCCTTAAAGGTTATTTTTTTTGTGATGTCTTTGTTGTGTTTTTTTGCTAAATTTTGTTGATTTCTTTGTTTTTACTCTGAAAACATGATGGTATAGATCTTTGAAGGGTTCAATTAGAAGGGGAGAGAGACCTTGTATATGTTTTTAATGTATTTATGTAGGTATGTGTGTATGTATGTACTGTATGTATGCATGCAATAGAAATGCGCTAAAATTCGTTTCTTTATGTGAGAGATTCGAATGTTGGAGATTCACCAATACCTTCGTCTTTTTCGTAGAGTGCTGCAAATGAGGTACCATTAATGCCGTTAAAAGGGCTGTTATTGTTGAGTAATGAATAAAGTTCACCAAATTTACTGAATGAATCCAGATTGGTATTGTTATTAGATGATGTATTTGAATGGCCATTGAGATGGTAGTTAAACAAATCCTGAGTACTTGGAGAGATGATATCCGTGTCGCGGGATGTAGCTGAGAATGCGGAGAATGGGTCAGAGTCAAGTTTGGATAATGGGCCAAATCCATTTGTTGTTGAGGAAAAAGCGTTGAAAAGTGGTGAGTTGTTAAGAAATTCTCGTGAACTAGCCTCTGAATCGCCTGAGCTTGAATTAGCGGTAGATGAAGTGGCACCCGTTGTTGAATCGATTATACCCCCGGTTCTGATGGCGATGTGAGCTTCAATTTCTTTCCTGGCTCTTTCTACATTTTCAGGTAATCCTGTAACCTCGAAAATGGGTTCCTTATCCCGGCTTGGTGTTATGATGTAAGTATTGGTCTCTTGTTGGATACGTTTGATTGTGGCACCCTTAGGACCCACAACGAGGCCAACAACTCTGTAGGGAACCCGAACTTGGATGGTCATTTGACCAGGTACAGTTGAATTAGGTCCTGGACCTCCGAGACCAGTACCATTGAGATTGCCCTTACGTTGAGCCCTGATCTGGCTGAAATGTTCAGCTGCAGAGAGAATTTCTTTCTTAGCTGCATTCACATCCTCCTTTCGACCAGTTACCACGAAAACCGGCTCCTCACCTCGCACCGGTGTCTTTATGTAAGTATTTGTCTTTGCTCTCAGGGCTTTAATTTTACAGCCTAAAGGAATTGCAGGGAGAAGAGAGGAGAAATTAATAAAAAAACCTTGGTTTAGTGATTCACGCTGACTAAGATTTGATGAGGGTAAAATAGAACGAGAAGTGAAAGTACAAAAGAAAGAGAAATGAAAGAGAAATGAAAGAAGTCAGGAGCAAGTTGGTGAAGCCATGTGGCTTTGAAGCTCATATAGTGAATCTATCTTTTTTCCTTTCTCTTTCTCTTTCTATTTCATGTTGAAACAAAAAATCTCATACCAATCCTTAAAAAATAATATTATTGTCAGTAATCATCAATATTCAAGGATGATACAAGGTAAAGATAATTAAAATCAAAATGTTTAAATACCTTGTCGTCCAACTATTTCAGCAACGTGCTCAGATGAGGGAACTGGAACACATTCTGTGGTGTTTTGACTTTTCTTTGTCCTTGCTTCAGTCTCAAAATTGTGATTAACATTATTGTTGTTGTTGTTATTTGAAATACTGTTGTCATCCTCGTTGATTAATCCCAACATGGATAATTCAAATGCAAGTTGTAGAGCTCTTTGGTCCTCCAATCCATTGTTATTATTGGAATTGTTAGTTGTTTCACAGTCGTAGAAAAAACCAGCAGGCATGGTTGATTTTGTCTCGTTAAATCTTTAATTGCTTTGTTATAAAATAAAAAAACGTTGCTTTTAGGTTACTGCAGTTGTCTTTAGTCACAGTTTAAATTTAAATTCAATTGGGATGGGAGATAGAAATACGTCTGTTTCTTTCTTTGAAAGTGGCAGACAAAAATTTGTGATAGACTTTCTTGCACCAATGTAAAGATGTAAAATTCAAATATATCTTTAAATATACTTATAAATATATGATCACGTTAATATCAATAGGTATAATAGGTTTTTTTTGCGATTGTTACAATCAGCTTAGGGAAAAACAAACCAATATAAATATCAATTTTAATAATTTATATCTTTCTTCAGGTAGATTGACAGTGAAAGTCAAAGGATAAAGTTGATACTGTTGATGATTATTTCAACTGGAGAGATGATAAATAAATTCGTCTTTAGTAGGATGTAGTTGAGATGTCGATGGATGAAGATGATGGTGGCGATTGAGAAAAAAACAACAGATGACAGTAGATTTTCCTTCACTATTAATGTATAATAAAAATTTTGGTATTTTTGTGTCGAGATGTATAGTATGGGATGTATGTATAATATGTAGTGATGTACTGTAGAGTTAAAGATGTGATTTACAAATTAAAATTTTCCTCTTTAATAACTATCTTGTCAACCAATGACCTTTAATTGTAACACGTTGTGAGACCAATTTGACAAATAAAATTGTAATCCAATGTTGATAAAATAATAAGTAAATTAAAAAAATCTCTTTGTTGTTAATATATATATATTTTTTCAACAAGACATAATTTTCATTGCAGTGAAACAAAGTCTGCTCCAATGTTGTTGAGAACCAGAAGCAACACCGAACAGATAATGTAGTGAAGATAAATACACAGAGTAGAGAGAGAGAGAGAGTGTTCAAGAAAGACAGGGAAAAATGAATAAGAGAAATTCAGATTCAGAGTAATGAATGAGAAAGACACAAAGAGAACGAAAGCCTTAACATCGTGTAGACAGGGGCGGCGCTACTGTTCGAAGGTGGAGGCAACGTTCAACCTTAAATAGCAGCGAGTAACTATAGATACCATAGGCCAATGTCCGCAGAAATCATGGATTCGAAGGTAGTGACATCTTATGATTAAATAAAACGTTTTCTTTGTTGGGTTTTAGCACATTTTTTTCTCTGGATTTTTTTTCAGTTGCTTATTGTTCCCTTTCTTTACCCTCTCTCTCTCCCTCTTTTTTTACCTCAGGGAAATGGACATTTTTAAACATTTCAACACCTAATATGGTGGTTATACTGCGATCTAAATTGGCCTTGAACTTTCAACTTTTGGACTGGACATTATCCCTTTACAGCCTTTCCTTTCACCAATCTTTCATTACATCTCCACTTTGTTGTTCTGTATTTTTCTAGGAGTAAACAAAAGCTTTAAAGTAGATGAAAAGGTATTAAAGATGGTCAGTTTTTGTTGTTTACTTTTCTGTCACACTAAGGTAAGTTTTGAAAGTGTGCCTTAGAGCAATAATGAAGAGTAAAAAAATTAAGGGATGAGAAGGATTTATGGTCATTAGCTTAAAACCATAAAACATAGATTAGCCTGAGTTGAGCTTCAGTTTCATCGATCCTAATTGCTAATTGCTTGCATATATTGGGCTTGTGTATAGATGTTATACTCAATGAGCTCAAGGTAATCTACTTTTTATGATTTTAGTTTCAATTTCTTTTCTTTTCTTTTTGTTCTTTTTCTTCAACTGAAACTTCAATTTCATCTTGAGACACTTGCTTTTAATTCTTGGTTCACTTGTTGGTTAAAAAAAGTACTTTTATCCCATCTGCTTTTAAGCTTTTGTCTTGAGCTTAATTAACGGCTTCAATATTGAACCTATTTTAAGTCAATCAAATTGTCTATTTTCATTTGTTTTCAAAATTCAAACTAAAAAATGTTGGCTCTTTAAACTTTCGTAATTGGCGCCTGATTCCGTTGAAATCCAAGTTTAATTTGGTTTTATATCGATAACTCTTATGCAGTTATCGATATATTGCATATCCAGAAATATCGATAGCTATCGATACTGTTGTTCAACTCTAGGTTTTTCAATGTTAAGACCTGGTTGAAAGTTTAAATGAAATATTTTGGCAACTAAATAAAAGTTTATGAAGTTATCTCTACGCTTTTAAATTGTATTAATAGTTTTTAAATTGATATTTGTATTTTAATTTATAAAAGTAAAAATGAAGATTAAGATCAAAGCTGTTTACAGAGGTGTGATTATGGTAATATATGTTGAACAAACTATCAAGTTGGACCCTTTTTTACACCAAATTAGAGATACTTTCGGCTTTAATATTGAAGATGTGTTTACAATTAAATTCATCGATGATGAAGGTGATCCGTGCACAATATCATCTAAATTGGAATTTGAAGAAGCTTTAAGGTTAACATTGGATATCGAGACAGATAAACAACCCGAAATGATCATTCATATTTTCCCTGGTACACCAAGAGAGCCAGGAGAGCCCTGTCCAGGAGAAGACAAGAGCATCTATCGTCGCGGAGCTCGCCGTTGGAGAAAAATATACAAGGTTAATGGTCACTCTTTTCAACCTAGAAGATTTAACAAAGTTACACCTTGTATTTATTGTGGTGATCAAATTTGGGGCTTAGGAAGGCAGGGATTCAAATGTCTTTCATGTAAGCTTATGGTTCACAAGAAATGTCACAAATTACTTCAAACAAGTTGCACTGGTCAACAAGTAAGTTTTTCTTATCCAGTTTTTCACCTTTTCATCACCAATCTCATTTCATTGTATTCTTTTATCTTCAACTAGATTACAAGATCTACCAATGGATCTTCAATTCGAAGTTCTACTGATTTAAAAGCAGAGCGATGGAGAAATAGAACACCAAAAGATCGCGCAAGATCTAGACATTCCAAGCAATCACATTCATCTGATTCGAGTACTGCTGACAACAATCGACAGAAATCACCAGCACCAACACCAACACCGCCTGCAACAGCAAATAGTGATCAAGCAGTTGAACTGATCGTTGCCGAGAATGGTGCTCGTCATCGACCTTATAGGTTAGATGATTTTGATCTAATCAGAGTTATTGGTCGAGGATCATATGCAAAAGTATTACTTGTTCAACTTCGAGAAACAAAGCGTCCGTATGCAATGAAAGTGATAAAAAAAGAAATTGTAGCTGCCGATGAAGACATTGATTGGGTCCAAACGGAGAAACATGTTTTTGAAATTGCTACTGGCTGTGATTTCTTAGTTGGACTGCATTCCTGTTTCCAAACTGAGGCTAAATTGTTTTTTGTTATTGAGTTTGTCAGTGGCGGAGACTTGATGTTTCACATGCAAAGGAAACGCCGATTACCCGAGGATCATGCTAGATTTTATGCAGCTGAAATTTCCTTGGCCTTGAATTATTTGCATGAAAAAGGAATCATCTATAGAGATCTAAAATTGGACAATGTTCTTCTTGATCAATACGGTCACATCAAACTAACTGATTATGGTATGTGTAAAGAAGGCATGCGACCAGGAGATACAACGATTACCTTCTGTGGAACTCCTAATTACATTGCTCCTGAAATAATTAGAGGATGTGAATATTCATTCAGTATTGATTGGTGGGCTTTGGGCGTTCTCTTGTATGAAATGTTAATCGGTCGTTCACCATTTGATATTCCTAAAGTATCTGATAGTGGAAACAATGGAGACAGTGGTGGAGAGAGTAGTGAAGATGCATTATTCAAAGCAATAGTAACCAGAGCAATTCGAATATCTAGATCTATATCTGTTAAAGCCCAAAATGTATTGAAAGGTTTCCTTGATAAAAATCCCGAAACTCGTCTAGGATGTAATCCAGATGGAAGTGGATTCCAGGACATCAAAAACCACCCATTCTTCAGGCCATTAGATTGGGAACTTTTAGCCGAGAAGAAAGTGATTCCACCATACATTCCAAAAATTGATGATGACCCATTGGAGCATTTTGATCCTGCCTTCACAACGGAACCCATCCAATTGACCCCACCTGATTTGAGTATTATTGATACAATTGATCAATCTGAATTTGAAGGATTTGAATTTATCAACCCAGAAATCATGACAGTAGAAGAAGCCGTTTGATTGAATTGAAATGAGAAGGCAAACAAGTTTAACTTTAAACAAAGGTTTTGGCTGAGTAAATTATTTGGTTGGAAGATGTAATTAATTATATTTGAAAATTTCATCACCTGTATCATTTCTTAATTCAATTCAGTTTATATGTTGATTTAAAGTAAAAAGATTTTCAAAAATAAAAACTATGACGACTAATGACAATAAAAAGCTTGAAATAAAGTCAATTTGTTGATTGCAAGTTGAATGTGAAAGTGTTCAGTTTAATTAAGTCCTTTCGCAAGAAAATAATGATTAATTCTTTCAAAAAATTGTAAGATGAGATTGAAAGAATAGAACTGATTAAGACAGAAATAAATTAATTTGTTTCATGTCCTGTTTTCAACAAGTAAAACAAAAAATTTCATTTAACCATCCAATGAACCTTAAATAATTGGGTTTCTCTTTTTGCTGATCAAAATTACGATCAGTACAATAATCTTAAATCTTTTTATCATATCAAGTAAACTTTTCAATTGTTGAGTGAAATCAGTTTGATCATCATCAAATAGTCAGTACATTTCGAGCGAGCAACAATTTAATTCATCAGATCAGAAGATAGAGTCATGAGCTTTTGATAGTGAAAGTGATTCGATTGCTGATAAAGTGTTGAATCAACTCGAATAGCAAAACAAAACGATGGTCAAATTAATCAAGCTAATAGTAGTCCAAGTGACGGTAGTGTCACAATTAATTTTTATAAGTGAAGCTGGAATCGCTGGTCTCATTGCTTCAGCTGCTTTAATGTCAATGTTCAGGTTTGTCTATTAATTATTTCATTGATTGGTTCGTTAATTTCTTGATTTCTTTCAACTTTCCAGGCCTAAAGTGATACCAATTCCTTTGCCATTGCCAGTCCCGGTACCAGTTCCAGTTCCAATCCGATCAAAATCACCTCTAAATCCATTCAACACGGATCACTCAACTTCAAACAACCATAATAATCCATATCAAAATCTTCCATATTCCCAACAATATATTCCATCATCGATATCCTCTCCGATGACCTCTCAAATGACATTACCATATTTACACCATTTTCATTCACCTTTTACCTCGTTTCCTCATCATATGCCTCCTCAGATTCCTTATCATCATTCTCATCATTCAATGGGACATCTAATGACATCTCATCCAATGGCTCAACGTATGATTTTACCAATTGGAATGTTACCTCAACCAGCATCAGCATATTATCATGACCATCATCCTGCCTACTACCGACCACATCCGTTCTTTGATCATCCAGTATATCATCAAAATCATGCTAATCCAACACTTTATCCGGATCCATTTGTAGTTTACGTTTGAAATCATACAAGCTGTTTGAGCCACAGAATACAGTTTTACTTTGTAGTTGAATGAAGTTCCTAATTTTATACTTGATTGAATCTTACAATAAATTTAAATACTTACCGGAAAAACTGTAACAATTATTTCAACTATAAAGATCGGAAATACGATTGTGAATGACAGTTCTGATAAATTTTCTGAAACAAATATCTCGATTTTAATTGAAACAAATCATTTTTTCAAAATGCATTACAAAAAATGATATGCTAGATGGCAGCATATTGCAATGGAGTAGCAAATGTAAATTAATTAAATGCAATGTAAAAGTTAGACTCGACCTTGGTTAACTATGGAAATAAACATGAAAATTGTCAATTCTAATGTTTCCTTGAATCTTTCAACAGAAGTAATTGTTCGTAATCGACATGGAAGAATCTAAAGACAAGGAAAACAATAATCAAACAATAGATAATCGAGTTAGGAAGCGGTACCAGCAGTTGATTGAAGAAGGATCCCTCGAAATTGGTGTTTGTCCTTTCATTGATCCGAATGTGCCTCCAGAATGGTTTGACGAATCAAAATTTAAAAGAGCTCAGAAAACTGCTGATAAATATCTGATCAGGTTAGTATAAATTAATTGTTACAAATGTAAACAAATTATCTGCCAGGGAAAAGATTTTCTGTGTTACAGTCAGTTGTTTTACTCTTGTGGATGTAAACATTTCCAATTTTTTGTTTACTAGATCTAACTGTTTAATAGATTGCAATTACTTTTGACCAATAATAGTTTAAAATGGGCTTCTTTTTCCGGCCTTATTCTTGGAATTCAAATTCCACTGTTTTTGGAACCTCTTTTAACAAATGGAAACCATGACTCTGTTTCCAAATTGTTCAAACGTTATCTGGATACAGATATGAAAGTGTCATCCTGGTAAGAAATAAATATTGTATTATTATCATATTATATTTATAATGCAATGTGTTGATTATAAAAGGTAATACTAACAGACTTTTTTCCTTCACCAACAGGTATGAAAATGATCCCTTCGATGAATCCGGTGAAGCATACAAATCATTGAGGAAAGTACGAGCAATGCATAAATCAATATTCAAAACAATGAATAATTTAACCAGTCGTTCCATTGGATCGCAACGTCTTTGGGTATCTCAATGCCAAATGGTATTAACTCAAGCAGGTTTCTTTGGTCTGTTAATTACTCACACCTCATCTTGTTTTGCTCATGGAATAAGCGATTCCGAGTTGGAAGACATTATCTATTTATGGCGAGTATTGGGTTATCTTAATGGGATTCAAGATAAATACAATCTATGCACATATGATAATTTAGAGGATACTCGAGCCTATCTCCTTTACATTGCAGATCAATTTTTAACACCTCAAGTTTCCCTGACTCCTCATCATCCCTACCCGATAGGATTCCAAGTGGCCGAAGGTGTTGCTCAAGCATTTCGTCCTGTTGTTCGTATACGATGGCAAGTGTTCATAGCTTATTGGTATAATATTTTAGGATTATCTTTTACCTCGGCATTCAAGCTATCTTGGTTTCACTGGACTCTACTTCAATTCACTAAATTTGTTTTCAACTGGGTTTTACGATTTCGTTTCGTCTATAATCTGGTAAATGATATGAGCAAAAAAAGGGTAAAATGGGGTCGATAAGAATCGCTCAATGATTGGAAATCAGCTGCAAATCAAGTACAATGGTAAACACTTTTCTCCTGGTTCCTGTCCCTATGCAGTTACACTAGATTCACTCGACCATCATCAAGTCAATCCTTATAGCCATCATCTTAATAATAATCAAAATGAAATCATTTTACCAATTGATTCTGCTCAATGAAATATGGATTTGACTTGATGATAAATCAATGAAAAACTGGTATTGATACTGGTAAGGTGTATTGAAAATTTCATCTGGTCGATTTGAAATTTAAATTCAATATCTGTTGAATACTTATTTAATGTTGTCTTTTGGAAGCATATTTTTTAAACAGCTATAATAACGTTTTATTACAACTCATAGGATTATAAACGAGATCATTTAATTTCATTGTCAAATCGATTTGTTTCATTTGATGATTCAAACAATGTCTAAAAAATATCAAAAACTGGAAAGCTTCAGTTGACTCAACTATTTGCTTGACTCATCTATTGTATCATTATGCACTTTTTAAAATTGACTGTTAAATATTTATAATTTTAGTTTTTGTTAACTCACTCATATTTTGTTGTGATATTTTGTTGTTCAATTGTGTTTTCAACAACAACTTGATCAATTGTTCATTGCTAATTCCAATGAGCAATTCTGAACGGCTACAAATTTGTATTTCACATTTAGACTCAACTAAATCAAACCTGAAGAGGATTAATAAAGTATTATTTAGTTTTATAAATCATGATTAACTGTATAAACTTAGATAGCTACTTGTTTATGGTATTGTGTTTATAATTTCTTGGTCTATGATTATTCAGATATCTCGCTAATTGACGTTTGCACCAAATATCGTAAATCATCATAACTAAATATTAACCTCGCTTTTTCCCCTTTTAGCTAATTTAAGTCTCTCACCAGTTATCAAATAGTCTTGTAATTAACGTTTCACTGTTTAATTTTCAAATTAAATGAGCATCCAGTGCATCAGCAGAACTATTTACGGGTGGGATTCTTTTTGGCATGATTTGTCTTTGGTTCATTTGAGATGCACAAATTATCAAATTTAGTTTACATTATTTTAAGATTTCGGTCAATTCTTCACAATAGTCCAGTCCAGCCTTAGTAAATTACAAAACAAAGGCATAATTGGTCTAGTAAAAAAAGCTAAAAACCATGGTCGAAAAATGTATCCATTTGCAACGTATTCATGATCTTCGTATTTCTAGGTTCAATTTAAACCAAAGTCCACTGTTGTAATAGTTGATGGTGATTGAAATGTTCAGATTTGAATCTATGGTGATGAAGAAAATGATGATCACGATGACTTTGCTTGTGGTTGAAGTGTAAAGATTTTGTAGATAACATTGTAATAGATTGTCAGGCTATCAAGTCGAAGGACTAAGGAAAGGCAAGTTGGAATATAAGTTTATCTTGTGTAGAGGACATCATCCAAATCGGTTTGATTTACAATTGATGGGCCAGCTGGATGATCCATTCTACGAGTAACCAAACTGAGGCCAAGTGTTAATAGGATGGTAGTAAAATTAAGACAAAGCCAAGATATTAACGGTCTCTCTCGAGTTTCAACAGACAAAATGATGGAGAGTAAAATGAGGGAAGCAGCAAGGCAATAGCTAAACATGAGCTGGTAAACTTCACGTTTAACCGAGATGAAGCCAAGTGTGTGTGTTCCGATGGCAAAAATAAGGAAAATAACAGCATAAACAGAAGCAGCAAATACTGAGGCACCACCGAAATCATCATGATTGGAATGATCATTGATATAAGCGAGAACAATGGGAATTAGTAACAAACAGATCATCACATTTATTGCTAGTAGTAAAAGTATCACATATTTGATAAACAACCATCCAGAAGAAAGATGATAGTTATTTGGTTTATTGAGCCAGGTATAAAGTAAAGCCATTTTTAAAGTCTTAATCCCGTATAGGCACCAATATTAATGATAAATCCGGTAGATAATATTCAGGAAACACAAATTACACAGGTTGTTGAAATGTTGGAGAGATGCTGGTAAAGATTGTTGCAGGTGAACGATGACAAGTGGTACACTTTGTAGAAAAGGTCTAGGAAGAAGTTCATTTAATAGTGGAAATTATCGTCAAGAAATGTTGAAAGGCACTAATAACATTATAATAAATAGAACAAAAAAACACAAATTAAACGCAAAAAAGTTAGAGTAACTCAAAAAAATGGCGAAAATGTGAAGACAAAAAGACACTCTTTTCACTGCACAACAAACTTTGACTCATGAGATAGAGAGAGCTAGTGAAGACAAAACCAAGATACAAGATAACAAAAGCTGTTGCTTTAGATTAATCTTAAGTCATTTAACTAACCGTCTCGATAGAAACTCTCATTGATTCCATACATGAAATGTTGATTGCTCAGCGTAATAAGTTTAATAAGTTACTTTTTTCCATCATCATCTTCATTTTTCATTTTCCTCTCAGTTTTCTCGCTCATTTCAGTCTTTCTTTTCCTAGTTTCCAGTTCTCACCACTACGTCTTTCTCCTTCTCTCTGTTTCTTTACTGTTTTTAGGTTGAAACCATTTTGTTTCCCAGTCAGTGTTTGATTAAGTCAAATGATAAAAATTATCAAATCACTTAGCACTTGTGCTGCCTTATTTCATCATTGTCTTCTTCTTCTTTCGTATATTCTTATAAAACTGATTGTTGCTTAGTTAAACTATCAATTAGGGGATCATTTGATTATTAGGATGGATTATTTAACATTGTATTTCCAGAGGACTGTTACCAGTTACATCGTTTATTTTCATCTAATTCAACGTCAATTAACTGTTCTAAATGTTTACATTTAATGTAAATATGTTTCATTTACTCACGGATTTACTCATGCTTTTTATTTACAACTGATTACGACCATAACTAACCTTTGTGGCTTTTCCTGATTTGTTTCAATCAATCTCAGGCTATTCTCGATGAGACAAAATCAATGTAACTCTATTGAAGTTATTTGGTAATACAGCTCATGAATAGCGTAACTTGAAAACAGGGTAAATTGACTATTTCACGTAAGTTCTGTACATGATTAGTGCCAACAAATGATTTGAGAAAAGATTTTGTTAGTTAATACGGAAATTATGTTTGCTTTGGTTGATAAATCTGTGTTTAAACATAAATTGTCAGCTATCCAAATTTCCTCAATTGATCTGATGATTACAACATAATAGACATTTTTCAAAGAAACTTGAGAAGTCAAACAATATTATTGAAAGAGTTATCATTGAATAGATTGTATAAGTCGATTAACACTGAAATCATATGTGATTACGCGCTCAGCTTTTGAAATTTATTGAACTTGATTGCTGGAATCAATAATTGAATCCTAAGCTATGCAGAAACAATAAAAAAGAATTCATGTTTTCCGATAAATAAAAAGGTTGATAATAATAATCTGAATTACATATGACAATAGTGATTGTGAATTAAACTCCTGGATAGTTGATGAATTGATAACTCTGATCTATTGTTATTGTCTACCAATTCAGTATAAATAATTTTGACATTATAAGGTTATTATTTGTTTTAATTATTGCTATGAGAGGATAACTTTCCTTAAAACAAAATGATATTATTTCAATTATTAACAGTTTTTCTGGTTCTAAACATTTCTTTAGCAAATGATTGTGTAAAAAGGACTTATACAGCCGATTCATTTGTTTGTGTTTGTGATGCTGATAAATGTGATACTTTGGATATTCAGAAAACTGTTGAACCTGGTTATATAGCGATTTATGATTCAGACCAAAAAACAGATCGTCTTGATAAAACCATTGTACCAGTTGGTCAATTAAAGAGTCGAATCGATCAAACTAAAAACAATCAATTTACTTTGAATGTAAATGTTACGGATTTAAAGCAAAAGATAGTCGGATTTGGTGGTTGTTTCACTGATGGTGCTGTTATCAATATTGCAAGTTTATCAAATGATTTGGTTAAATCTTTGATGTATGATTATTTCGGTGAAAATGGTCTTGAATACAATATTGGACGAGTACCAGTTGGTGCATCGGATTCATCGACACATGCTTATTCCTTGGACGATACTCCATTTGACTTTACTCTATCACATTTTGCTCTTGCTGAAGAAGACACTAAATACAGGGTTAGTACATTTTAGAAGCATATTTCTTACTGCAATCATGTTTTAACAACGATTTAAACTTTAATTTATTAACTATCCAGATTCCATTGTTGAAAGTTGCAAAAATGTTGAATCCTGAATTCAGAGCTTTTGCCTCTGCTTGGTCATCACCAACTTGGATGAAAACAAATCATTTATTCCATACTGCTGGTGGATTGATTTGGAAACCTGGAGATGTTTATTATAAACTTTGGGCTCAATATTATGTCAAGTAAGTTTAAGAAAAAGTTATTAATTTTGGGTATTAAAGTTGATTTCTTTCTAATCTTACTAATTATCTTTCAGATATTTAAATGCTTATTTGGACCAAGGAGTGAAATTTTGGGGACTAACCACTGAAAATGAGCCAATCGAAGGAACCAGAGGACTTCCTTGGGGAACTCTTGGAATGACTCCAGAAGATATAAGAGATTTTGTGAAACTTGACTTGGGACCAGCTCTGAAAGCCGCTGGTTGGGGCCAGCTCTGAAAGCCGCTGGTTGGGGCAAAGATAATCTAACTATAATGATCAACGATGACAACACAGAAGACATTGAAAGTTATTCTTCAACCTTGCTTGATGATCCTGAAGCAGCACAGTATGTAAAGGGTATTGCTTATCATTGGTATACCAGAAACTATCCATCGTCATACCAAATTTTATCAAAAGTTCATGATAAATATCCTGATTATTTCATATTCTCATCAGAAGCTGGTAATGGAGGTGTTGGTAAGTATGAATTAATATAATGATTCTATCAATTATAACTTTTGGACTAATTCATTCCCATTTATTTCTTTCTGCAGCTTCTGAGCATTTAGGTGATTGGGGACGAGCCGAATCTTATGCCATTGATATACTCGAAGGCTTACAGCACTGGTCAACTGGTTGGACTGATTGGGCTTTAGCTGTTGATACTGCTGGAGGACCTAATTGGGCTAAAAATTGGGTCGATGCTACAATAGTTGTGAATGCAACAGCACAAGAGTATTACAAGAATCCAATGTATTATGCATTAGCACATTTCACTAAATTTTTACCAATTGGATCGACTCGCGTTGGATCTAGTGTAGTAAATGCTCCAGCAAATGTTCATACAACTTCGTTTATAACTCCTGACAATACTTTAGTATTAATCTTGTTAAACATGGGCAATGATCAAATTGATTTGACAATCAATGGGTTTGCCAAAGTACCTGTTACAACTACACTTAAACCAAGATCCATTCGTAATATGCTTATTGCATTGAACTGAAATGTTAAATAAATCAACATGAAATAACTGCATAAATTAGTATAATAATATTTCAAATAAAACTAACAATAAAGAGAAGAAAATCAGTAACTTTTCAGATATGAGATACAATTGATGATGCATTCGTCAAAAATGAATCATGGTAGAGTCAATTGATGGTAAAATGGTTGAATATACAATTGAATTTTCAATGATAAAAAATACTGGACTCAGGATTGCTAAGTGACTCATAACAAAGAGGTTGTGGAAATATTAAAAAGACGAAATTCAAACAATTGTTCTGTATATGAATTTTCAATGCTAGCTGTTAAATGAAGCAGTGGGTTAATATTGTATGTTTGATAATTTTACAGTTACAATAACGGTGAGCTAAGAGTTGACATTTATAGTATATCCGCGGAAGCAAAAAAATTTCTGACCGACTGTTCGAAAATCGTGTTCAATTTGTTTTGAAAAATATTTGGACAAACATTCATCATCAATGAATTATTTGACATCTGTTGTAGCATAAATATGATCAAATACATTAAAAATATGCAGATTCATGGCTACATTGTCAAAGGCAAACATTAGCTTTTCTTGAAAACCTTATGCCCAAAATTTAACTGTAAGTTATGAATGGTTGATAGCATCACAACAAGTACAATATGTGTGTAGTAATATGTTTTCAAAAGGATTGCTGATTTGAAATGAACATAAAACTAAACATTGATCTAATAGATCTGATATAAATACACTGGAAGTAATAGAAACAAAGCTTTTGATTAAGTTATCGTAATTCACAAGATATAACAATAGATTTGTTGTTTTCATTGAAAGCACATAGATAATAATAATTTTGACATTATAAGGTTATTATTATATTTGTTTTAGTTATTGCTATGAGAGGATAACTTTCCTTAAAACAAAATGATATTTTTACAACTATTAACAGTTTTTCTGGTTCTTAACATTTCATTAGCAAACGATTGTGTAAAAAGGACTTATACAGCCGATTCATTTGTTTGTGTTTGTGATGCTGATAAATGTGACACTTTGGATATTCAGAAAACTGTTCAGCCTGGTTATATAGCGATTTATGATTCAGACCAGAAAACAGATCGTCTTGATAAAACCATTGTACCAGTTGGTCAATTGGAGAGTCGAATCGATCAAACTAAAAACAATCAATTTACTTTGAATGTAAATGTGAAAGATTTAAAACAAAAGATACTTGGCTTCGGTGGTTGTTTCACTGATGGTGCTGTTATCAATATTGCAAGTTTATCAAATGGTTTGGTTAAATCTTTGATGTATGATTATTTTGGTGAAAATGGTCTTGAATACAATATTGGTCGAGTACCTATTGGCGCATCGGATTCATCAACACATGCTTATTCCTTGGACGATACTCCATTTGACTTTACTCTATCACATTTTGCTCTTGCTGAGGAAGACACTAAATACAGGGTTAGTAACAACAGTTTAAACAAATTTTTCACTGCAATCATGTTTTAACAACGATTTAAACTTTAATTTATTAACTATCCAGATTCCATTGTTGAAAGTTGCAAAAATGTTGAATCCTGAATTCAGAGCTTTCGCCTCTGCATGGTCATCACCAACTTGGATGAAAACTAATCACTTATTCCATACTGCTGGTGGATTGATTTGGAAACCTGGAGATGTTTATTATAAACTTTGGGCTCAATATTATGTCAAGTAAGTTGTGTGGATCCAGAATCAATAGAGATAGTGTTGGTGCGTTCATCCCAGGTTGTCACCAAAGACACGGAATTCGTGCACTTGTTGACAATTGACGAAAATTTAAACAAATTGGTAATAATTAATTTCTTTAAAATGTTGATTCCAAGGGTTGGTAGAAGCATGAAAAGTGAGTCTATTATTGCCATTAAAATAATAGACTAAATATTCCCATGACATGTAATGTGCCTTTTAGTAACAACTTGTTATTCCATTAGATAAATACGTTCATCTTTATATTAATGTTCATCACGAAAAGCGTCAAGATTGCTTTCTTCATGACTTTATTCATTGAAAATAATTCTCTTTCAGATATTTGAATGCTTATTTGGATCATGGAGTAAAATTTTGGGGATTAACCACTGAAAATGAGCCCGTTGCTGGATTGAAAGGACTTAATTGGGGTACACTTGGTATGACTCCAGAAGATATCAGAGATTTTGTGAAACTTGACTTGGGACCAGCTCTAAAAGCTGCTGGATGGGGAAAGGATAATCTAACAATAATGATTCATGATGACAGTACAGATACAATTGACGACTATGAATTGGTCATATTGAATGATCCAGAAGCAGCACAGTATGTAAAGGGCATTGCTTATCATTGGTACTCAAGAAACTATCCATCGTCATATCAAACTTTATCGAAAGTTCATGATAAATATCCTGATTATTTCCTATTCTCATCAGAAGCTGGTAATGGAGGTGCTGGTAAGGATTTATTGAGATTTTAGCCAAATCTTATAAATTAATTTATTTCCATTTGTTTCTTTTCTGTAGCTTCTGAACATTTAGGTGATTGGGGACGAGCCGAATCTTACGCCATTGATATACTCGAAGGCTTACAACATTGGTCAACTGGTTGGACTGATTGGGCTTTAGCTGTCGATACTGCTGGAGGCCCTAATTGGGCTAAAAATTGGGTCGATGCTACAATCGTTGTAAATGCAACAGCACAAGAGTATTACAAGAATCCAATGTATTATGCATTAGCACATTTCACTAAATTTTTACCGATTGGATCGACTCGAATTGGATCTAGTGTAGTAAATGCTCCAGCAAATGTTCATACAACTTCGTTTATAACTCCTGATAACACTTTAGTATTAATCTTGTTGAATATGGGCAATGATAAAATTGATTTGACAATCAATGGATTTGCCAATGTACCTGTTACAACTACACTTAAACCAAGATCCATTCGTAATATGCTTATTGCATTGAACTGAAATGTTAAATAAATGAACATGAAATCCCTGCATAAATTATTATAATATTTAAAATAAAACATACAATAAAGAGAAGAAAATCAGTGGCTCTTAAGATGTGAGACACTATGTGTCGTATTAAATTGGCAATGAATCATGGCAGAGTCAATCTACGATAAAATGATTCAATACAGAATTTAATATTCAAGGATCTTCAAGTCACTCCTAACAAAGGGATTGTTGAATTTTGAATAGTGAGGCCCTGGAAATAAATTTACAATGGTTGTCATTAGATATGTAATAATAAAAGCCTTTTCCAACAAGTTAATAATAGAATGTATGTAAAGGTATAGCGCAGTCTTCGAATGTACGTTAATATGTTAGAATGTATGATCTATGTCCATGATAGAATGTAAGTATTTCGTGATATTAGAATGTATATATTCCGTTATATCAGAATGTATAGTTTAACAAAGGTAATTCTTTCTTTCCCAAAGATTAAATTTTATTCGATTTTGATCAGTCGACCAATCACTTAGGAGTAAAAATTACAATTCATTCTAAAACAATGATAACTATTACTTTATTACTAAAACTGAGAATCCTTATCCTTTTTCAATGTCCATATCATTAGCTTTTTCCAACAATAGTAGTTAGCTTGATTATCCTTTCAATTTTTGGGTTTTATGATGTTGGAATAATAATTAAAAGTAAAACGAACAGCTACTGAAATTATGACAATATCCTCCTGTCTATCCATGTACCACTCCATCTACCAAAGCATACATTCTATTATAATAGAATGTATGTAAACCCAATGACAATGAAAAACAATTGCTGGCACATATTACAAGTAAAACGAAAAGATGAAACAATTCCAAAATCCTCATGTCAATCCATATTTACATTACATCCCCGCACCTAAGGGTGAAAAATGTTTATTTTTCGGAGAAGTCCTTTAGATTGATTTGATTGGGACGAGATGTTTGGCATGAATCTGTTCAGTCAAAATAGGTGATTCATTTCTTGCAACTTCAAATATGTTTGTTGCGATCTTTGACACTATCCTGTATGGACCTAAATAGTTTGGGTCTAATTTTCCTTTATTTATACCGGCGAGGTTCTTGATGAATACATAGTCATTTGTGTTGAACTCATGAATTTGATGTTTACTATTGAATATAAGTGCATTTTTCTGATGATAATTTTCTGAGTTCTCAAAAGCAATAATTCTTGCTTCTTCCACTGATGGTAGTTTTACATTTTCACAATGCAATGGTAACTGTCCATTCATCAAATAAGATGGACTGAATCCAGTAACAGAATGAGGCGTTTGATTATATTCGTCAACAGACTTTTGCAAAAATCTTATCCAACCATATTTGTATCCACTGCTTATCATTTTTACTCTGATCTTGTCAATGATACTGTTGTTAACACGTTCACATAAACCGTTAGATTGTGGAGATGCCTTTGGTATAAACTTAATTTCAATTTGTAGGTCAGTTAGATAATTAAGAAATGAATCTGACGTTATTGCTGTATAACGATCAGCTAATATTGTTTTTGGTTTACCCATTTTCAATTCTTTGTCAAGTAATTTGATGAATTCACTAGCAATTTGTTGGTTTGAACCAAGAGTCCAAACAAATCTTGTGAAGTTATCAATGGCTAGATGAATGTATTTCCTTTTACATTTGTAGCCATTTAACCCACAGATCGTATCAATCGATACAATTTCAAAAGGAGCTTTTGCTGGTCCAAAATGACCGAATTCACTGATTGCTTTGAATCGTTTCGTCTTCCCTTGTTGACAGGGAGTACAATTTGCGACAAAATTGATTACATCTTTTGTCATCCCTGGCCAGGTGTACAACCAGCTGATTATAGTCAGCATTTTCCTTACACCAATATGGCCAAACTGAAAGTGAACTTTTTCCATTAATTTATCTCTCAAATTCTGAGGTACAATCACTTTCTCCAGTCCATTCTTATCAATTCTGATAGCAAGGCCTTCTCTATTGATCATTTGCTTATGATCAATGTGCATGCTGTTTTGTTCATTTTTAATCTCATCGATGGATACAAAATTAACCAATTTAATTGGACTCTCAATCTGTTCTTGTAAGATTGGATCTCTCGACAGATAGTCGGCTTGAACATTCTCGACACCAGGTCGGTATTTAATTTCAAAGTCATATTGGTCTAGGAATAAAGCCCAAGTGAACAAACGTGTATTCGGGTTCTTAATTTTCCTGATTGATTTCAAAGCTGAGTGATCAGTAATCACTGTAAACCTCTGTCCATGCAAATAGTGATGCCAAAATTTGATGGACTCAATGACCGCTAAACATTCAAGATGAGTTGCTGGGTAATTTTGCTGATAACTTGACAATTTTTTTGAGAAGTACCCAATCGGATAAATAGTTTTATCTTCATCTTTCTGTTTTAATACGGCTCCAATACCGATTTTACTGGCATCAGTCTCAAGTATTAATTCATGTCTCGGGTTAAACATTCGTAACACCGGTTCCGTCACTAAAATTTCCTTCAAAGTGTCAAATGATTTCTGACAATCATCCGTCCAAACAAACTTATTATCTTTTCTAAGTAGCTGATGTAAAGGTTCAAGTAACTCAGTAATATTCTTGATGAATTTCCTATTGTAGTTGACTTTGCCTAAAAATCTTCTCAGCTGAGTTAAATTCGCTGGAGGTCTAAGTTTGTTTATCGATTCAATATTGCTTTGAATCGGTCGAATCTCATTTAAGGACAATTTATGACCTAAATAGTTGACTTTCAACTGTGCAAATTTACATTTCTCGAAATTTAATTTGATGTTTTCTGTCTTCATTGCTTTAAGCAATAAGCTGATGTGCTCATGATGAATCGTTAAATCTCGAGAATAGATGATGATGTCATCTATGTAATTATGACAAAACTCAGTCAACTTATGCTTTTCAATTATTCCTCTGATTGCTCGTTGGAAAATTGCTGGTGCATTTTTATAACCAAAAGGCATTACTAACCATTCAAAGTGACCATTTTGAGTACCGAAAGCGGTTTTCGGGACATCAGATTTTCTCACTTTGATATGCCAGAATCCTGAGCGGATATCAAAAACACTGAAAAATTTAGCTTCATGCAATGTATCAATGATATCCTCTATTCGAGGCATTGGGTACCCATCAGTGATCACTTTATCATTTAACTTTCTGTAGTCAATACAGAATCGGGTTTTACTGTTCTCCTCTTTCTTGAAAGCTAGGGTTACTGGTGCTGAGTATGGGGAGAAAGAAGGTTGTATCAATTTAGCTGCTAATAAAGAGCTAATCTCCGCGTCAATTTTCCTTTGATTTTCAATTGATGTTCGATAAGGCTTTACGTTAATCGGAATTTTTGTATCCAACTCGATAACACAATCAAAATCTCTTATACATCCAATCTTGAACTTATTATCACTAAAAACTTCTTCAAATTCAATCAAAATCTTATGAAGCTGTTCATCATTAGGCTTAGTCAATTTCGATTTTAAATCTAAATAGAAGTTATCTGGTAAATCAATGGAATAATCTACAAGCTTAATCACTGTTGGATTAACTGTGTTTTGATTCTGAGTTATGGAGTAATCTGAATCGCATTTTAGGTTAAATTGGTAAATGTTATCGAGGCCTAAAAGTAAGTCAATTCTTATCAACTTAGTCACATAAGCAACTAAAGACTTATTAATGGCACCAATTTTTAAAATTATTTTTGCCAGACCTGAGACAAAACCATCCCCAGACAATGTTGAAAATCTGATGCTTTCATTTTTGAAAACAAATACCTTCAACTTCTCAACCAATTTTTCATCAATCAAAGTTATACATGAACCTGGGTCAAACAAAATTTTTATTTCAATTTCACTAACACAACCTCTGATGATGATATGGAATGGCTTGGAGTCAGGTCTGGTTATCAGTTTAAATTATTTTGATTAACTTGCGGTTTTTGTTGGTAAAGAGGAGTAGATGTGCTTGGATCAGTTGGTTGATTAATTTGATTAACCTGTGCAGGTTGAGAAAAATTCTTTCTTAATGGACACTCATTTGACCAGTGCATTTGATTAGGTTGACCAGCTTTTTCACATTTCCAACAAGCACCTTTCGGTTGTCGCTTGGTGGGTTTAAAAGATTGTTCAAATTTCCTCTTTTGTTGTTTATTATGTTGGTCTGGATAATGATGAAAATTATTAATTCTTTTGTTTAAAGTAACCTCAGCTGTCTTGGCAATAGCCCAGAATTGGTTGAATGTCTTGGCTCGATGACCGATGAAACATCTCTTCAGTTCATCGGAGAGATGCTCAATCATCAGAGTAACTGCCAAGTTCTCAGGTAAACCAGATAACCCAGCAAGTCTTCGTTTCTTCTCGAAATACTCAGTAACACCTTTAGTTTGAGAAAATTTCAATCGATCAAATTCGACGATTGGATCAACTGTTTTTACACCAAACCGAGCAATTAATGCTTCTTTAATATCTGACCAAGAACTATTATCTCGACAATCTAAATAGAAGTTGAGCGCTTCTCCGCCTAAATATTCACCAAGCAAGTCAATCATTTTATTGGGGTTCCATTTATATCGTAAGGCTGTTGATTCATATAACTTCACCCAATTCTCCACCGTAATATCCCTCTCTTTACCTTGGAATACATGCAACTTTGGTCTGAAAAATGGACCTGTTTGATTTTCAGGTTGAGCCGAATCATTAGTCAGGTCACCATCAGTTTCAACAACGAAACTATCATGAATCGATCGCTCATCATCAGTGATACCTCCAATGTCATCTTGAGTTGGCAATAAATTCCTAGATGCACCTTCTGTTTGCATCCTGTCGACTTGTAATAATAAAAGCCTTTTCCAACAAGTTAATAATAGAATGTATGTAAAGGTATAGCGCAGTCTTCGAATGTACGTTAATATGTTAGAATGTATGATCTATGTCCATGATAGAATGTAAGTATTTCGTGATATTAGAATGTATATATTCCGTTATATCAGAATGTATAGTTTAACAAAGGTAATTCTTTCTTTCCCAAAGATTAAATTTTATTCGATTTTGATCAGTCGACCAATCACTTAGGAGTAAAAATTACAATTCATTCTAAAACAATGATAACTATTACTTTATTACTAAAACTGAGAATCCTTATCCTTTTTCAATGTCCATATCATTAGCTTTTTCCAACAATAGTAGTTAGCTTGATTATCCTTTCAATTTTTGGGTTTTATGATGTTGGAATAATAATTAAAAGTAAAACGAACAGCTACTGAAATTATGACAATATCCTCCTGTCTATCCATGTACCACTCCATCTACCAAAGCATACATTCTATTATAATAGAATGTATGTAAACCCAATGACAATGAAAAACAATTGCTGGCACATATTACAAGTAAAACGAAAAGATGAAACAATTCCAAAATCCTCATGTCAATCCATATTTACATTACAGATATTTCTTGAAAATGTATGCTTAAAATGAAATAAAACAATTTTACCGTGAATTGTGAATGGTTGATAGCATCACAAAAAGTTTTGCCAGGAATTGCTGATTTGAAATGAACATAAAGTTACACATTGATCTGGTTAATCTGGTATTGATTTGAATTGAGTTATCGTAAAGTATGGGGCAAAAAAATTGGGAAAATTCATTTTAATTATGAACTACTACCAGCTGGCTGTATTTATCAGGATTTAAATTGCAAACACAAATTGCCAAATCCCTTTGATGAGTTAATTTGAATAGATTTGAAATTAAAATTTCTTAATTAATCAGTTAATTGCCATATTTTAGACCATTGACATTGAAAAAATGGAGATAAACGACGTGCAAGTTTTCATGGATTGAATTGTGAATGTCTCACAGTAGAACCAAAAAAATACTGAAATCGGGTCTAATTAATCTTCATCAAATAAACTATCATATGAAACTGCATCATATGATCGTCGAGGGATCCTTTTATTTTGAAGTGTCGAATGCTCGATTGGCAATACTTTTGCACTAAGCTTTAGTTCGCGAGATATAACAATAGATATAATGTTTTCACTAGGAGCTCATGAATGAGGTTATTTTTGGTTTGCATGTTTTCCGATAAATAAAAAGTTGATAATGATAAACTGAATTGCATATCACAAAAGTGATTGTGAATTAAAATCAAGGATAGTTAATAAGTTAATAGATCTGCTTTTTTATTATTCTCAACCAATCCAGTATAATTTTGAACATTATAAAGTTATTTTTAAATTATTGCTATGAGAGGATAACTTTCCTTAAAACAAAATGATATTTTTACAACTATTAACAGTTTTTCTGGTTCTTAACATTTCATTAGCAAACGATTGTGTAAAAAGGACTTATACAGCCGATTCATTTGTTTGTGTTTGTGATGCTGATAAATGTGACACTTTAGATATTCAGAAAACTGTTCAACCTGGTTATATAGCGATTTATGATTCAGACCAGAAGTCAGATCGTCTTGAAAAAACCATTGTACCAGTTGGTCAGTTAAAAAATCGAATCGATCGAATGATGCACAATAAATTTACTTTAAATATAAATGTTAAACATTTAAATCAAAAGATACTTGGCTTCGGTGGATGTTTTACTGATGGTGCTGTTCTCAATATAGCAAGTTTATCAAATGGTTTAGTTAAATCATTGATGTATGATTATTTCGGTGAAAATGGTCTTGAATACAATATTGGACGAGTACCAGTTGGTGCATCGGATTCATCAACACATGCTTATTCCTTGGACGATACTCCATTTGACTTTACTCTATCACATTTCGCTCTTGCTGAGGAAGACACTAAATACAGGGTTAGTAAATACATTTTATAAGCAAGTCTCTTGCTGCCGTTTTGTTTTCTTTGCTTATAATATAATGATATAATCTTCAATCTAATAGATTCCATTTTTGAGAATAGCAAAAATGTTGAATCCTGAATTTAGAGCTTTTGCCTCTGCTTGGTCAGCACCAGCTTGGATGAAAACTACTCTTTCATTCAAAAATGGTGAATTGATTGGGAAACCCGGAGATGTTTATTATAAACTTTGGGCTCAATATTATGTCAAGTAAGTTATGTGGGAATGATAGTGATAGTCAAGCAAATTAAATTAAAATCGCAATGTTCATCCCGAAAACCATCTCGATTGATTTCTTCCTCATCATATTTTCTTGCAGATATTTAAATACTTATTTGGACCATGGAGTGAAATTTTGGGGACTAACTACACTGAATAATCCTCCTGCAGGGTTACGAGGAGCTCCTTGGGGTACACTTGGGATGACTCCAGAACAACTAAGGGATTTTGTAAAACTAGATCTAGGACCAGCTCTGAAAGCTGCCGGTTGGGGAAGGGATAATTTAACACTCATGATTCATGATGCAGGGGCAAGTTCAATGGATGAGTATTTACCTGTCATATTGAATGACCCAGAAGCAGCAAAGTATGTAAAGGGTATTGCTTATCATTGGTACGACAGAAAGTATCCTTGGACATACGGAACTATATCAAGATTTATTGGTTATGGTGCTTTCCTATTCTCATCAGAAGCTGGTAATGAAGGTGTTGGTAAGTATCAATTGAGATGCTGCTTTTATTAATTATTGTGAGATATTTTCATTTGTTTCTTTCTGTAGCTTCTGAGCATTTAGGTGGTTGGGGACGAGCCGAAGCTTATGCCCTTGATATAATTGCAGGTTTACAACATTGGTCAACTGGTTGGACTGATTGGGCTTTAGCTGTTGATACTGCTGGAGGACCTAGTTGGGCTGAAAGTTGGATTGATGCTACAATAGTTGTAAATGCAACAGCACAAGAGTATTACAAGAATCCAATGTATTATGCATTAGCACATTTCACTAAATTTTTACCAATTGGATCGACGCATGTTGAAACTTCTGTAGAAAATGCTCGACGAGGTGTTTATAGAGTTGCGTTTATAACTCCTGATAATACTTTAGTATTAATCTTGTTAAACATGGACGAATATGAAATTGATTTAACAATCAATGGATTTGCCAATGTACCTTTTACAACTACACTTAAACCAAGATCCATTCGCAATATGCTTATCGCATTGAACTGAAATTTCAGAAAATAAAGGTTTTAAAGAATGATAGAGATTAATATGATTTAATTCATCTAATATTTACACAGTTTAATTAATCAAAATTAAAGTCAAATGTTTGAATTAAACGAAACAAATGCATTTTAAGTTGAGGCGTATTGTTCAATTTTACAATGAAAATTCTTGAATAAATTCCTAAAATGCAATGTAGGGAATAGTGATGGGAAATCTGCAAGAATCAATTATGTAATTATTGATCAAAAATAGATCGTGATTGGATCCTATGAGATTTTGGAGGTATGGCTGGTTTAGTCTTTTGTCTATCGTTTGATGCATCTCCACCATCACTTTCAATTGATTTTAAAGAATCGGCACTAGAATCACTGTATGAAGATAATTGCTGAGATTTGTTATCTCTATTAAAAGGTTGAGTTGATCGAGCAACACCAATAACTCTTGGAAGTGGTGGTTGAGGTCGATTAGTTATATTAGTTGATGAATTGTTTTTATTTGTAAATGGCTTTGGTCCATCATTATTTCCTTCAATTGATTTTCGTCGGGGTAGAGTAACATTCCTAAGAAGATCATCGATTACTCTCTGTCTAGGTGCTGGTGCTGGTGGTGGAACTGATTTAGTTGATGTCGGAGTTTTAGGTGGTGATGGCGGTAATTTTGGAGATGGAGGTGGTTGATATTCATGAAATTCTGGATCATTCTCCATATCATAACTTGTTAATTTTATAGTCGACTTTATTTTAGGTTGTTGATTTTGTGACCGTTGAACATTTTGGCTTTGATTAACTTGGCTACTTTGAGATTGTTGTTGTTGCGTTTTTTGTTGTGATGGTTGCTGTTGCGTTTGTTGTTGTGTTTGTTGATGCTGTTGAATTAGATGTTTAGGTTGTGGAGGAAGCGGTGGCGGTGTAACATAATGTGGACTTGGAGGTTTAGGAATAAAAAAATTTGATTCACGATTCAATAATGGATGGACTTTTGCATATGGAACTTGTGATGAAGATAATGATTTACGTGGAGGTATTGAATTCCCGCTATTTTTTGAACAACAACTTTCACATGATGTTCCAGGAGAAATTTTGGATTTACCAGAAATTAGTGAATTTTTACCATCATCATGTGAAACAGTTCTCGATAAAATCATATCTCGTCTATTATAAACATCTTCTATCCTTGTTGGTGGATTTTTAGCGGTAGGTGACGATCCACTTATACTAGACCTTCGTCTTACGATACGAGGGCGTCTTGGTTGTATAATCGTATTAATTGGATTCTCTGGTACAGTTGATCTTTCCTTTATACTTCCATTATCACTATCATTATCAGAGTGTCCAGTTGTTGTTGACGCATTTCTATAACGACTACCAGATTTTAATTTACGATTAACGATTTTAAATTGTTTTAAAACAGTTATTTGGTTACTGTGAAGAGGTCTTTTCTTTAATGTTATAGCAATTTCTGTTGAAAATTCTTTGATAACATTCAACATCTTCTTTAAATGCCAACCAACCACAGTTTGATAATTTATTTGCACAATTTCATCACCTTCTTCAATACGGCCTCTATAAAAAATAGATGAACGCTCTATTCTCTCAACAATATGAATACCAGAATAAGATGATGAAAAATGTACACCAGAAAAAATATCTTCACCATTTTTCTTTTTTATAGTGATTACTTCCAAGTATGCTGGTTGTATAGCAAGTGGATCATTGAGATCTTGAACAATTTTATCACATGTTTCAGCGAAAATGGCACAGTTTTCTTTAATAACCTCATTTGGCTTTTCCACAAATTGATCACGCTGAGCTGTTGATGCTAATTCAATGCTTAGTTTTAATATTTCTTTACGAATTGATATATATTCTTCTTGACCTCCAAATGGATATCTATCAATCCAGGATACAAACAGTTTAACTGATGTTAATATATCACAAACACCAGATAATGTTTTTGTTGTTACACGATCACGATATTTTTCTTCTTCATCAGTTTCACGTTTCAATATATTAAATAAACTTCGAGCTTTACATCCTAAACGAAGTGATAACATTTGCAGTGTCTCGGAGCAAAAATTGTAATGTAGATGTTTCAATAGTTCAACTGCTTCTAATATAATCTCTTGATGGCCAACTTTGGTTACATTTAAATTTTCCAAATCATCACATGAAAGAAGTAATAACCGGCAACCATTTATATTATTGTTCAAGAAAAAGGCAACATACGGTAATATAGAGTCTTCCAGACCTACGTAAGCAAAAAAAAAGAATAGACAGACATAAGAAAATTGATATAAGGTATATTATCTACAGTAAGCTGTTGCTATACAATAATATTTAATGAATTTATATTATTTTACTAACCTTGTAGCCAACTGACAACATTTTGTGGAGTCCATTCAGCAACATTTATAAAGGCCATTTTGGTTTGAGTTATTTTTCTCTAAGATGTCACACAAAAAACAAGTTTAAAAGATGAATCACAAAGGCACATAGATACCAGTGAAAGATGGTTGTATACAACAATATAAAAAGAAACAACAAAGATTTATCAACATGAATCACTGAAAATATTATCTAATTATTATCAGGTTTATTCAATTAGATGTAATAGATTAAAAATTACGATACATAGCTTATAGAAACTAATGCATAATATTCTTCCACCTTAGAGTATATCCAACAAAAACAGAACAAAAGAAGCATTCAGAAGCAGAAGCTTAATCAAAAAGAGTAGCTTAATTCAAGTAAACTATTAAATGCGCCAGATTCAAGCTAGTCATAGTCTGACATTCAATGATTTTACTAAAATCTAGTAGATTTTTCACATCTGATAAATACAATGACTATGGCGAATAAAATGATATTGCTAAACAATTAATGAATTTCATTAAATAACAGACAGGTATAAAAGAGTGGACGAAAGTGGAAAATGAAAAGTAGAAAGTGGAAAGTGGAAAGTGGAAGGAGGATAACGTTAACAGAAAGACACAAGAAGCAGAGAATGAGAGGGACACATAAATGATAATAACGATGAGAAACAAGTTTGGTTAACAAGAAGCAACAACTTGTTCCTTTCCTCTTCGCCTTACATTGTCTGATGATTTCGGGAGCAACCCTTAAAGCTTTAGCCCCTTGTACTGCTTTTTTTACCTCTCACTTTGACAGAAAGAAATATACGAAAGAAAGCTTAGCTCTGACGATTGGAGTAATATTCCTCATATGAAAGGAATACAAAATTAGGCTTTCCTGTCTCCTTTTCTTTCCCTTTTCTTCAACTTCTCTTTCTTACAACTTCCTCTTGAATCAAATAAGATTCCCACGCTTTTTCAAACACATGCTAAGGTTAGATGATGGTAAACATAAGGCGCGAATACAAAGTATCGATCAACATTAGACTGCTTCAATTTTTACCGTTTCATATCTCCAAGTACAACGATCTATCACTTAATGACTGGATGCACTCAAACTGGAAAAACATTTTCTTCATGGTTCCTCAGTCGCCAAAGGAAGTTCTCATTTATTTTGAAGGTCTTCTTTTGGTATTACTGTGCTACTATGCTATTGTATCAACGTTAACAATGGTACCGTAATATACAGGCCAAACACTAGAAGAAACAAAAAGTTAAATTAATAATTATATAAAGTAAGACTTACCTCATTGGGATACAGCCACCATTCCGTAGTTGCACTATTGAATCAGCACATAAATTTTAAGGCAACCCCTAGAAAGGCCCTTGTTTTGTTTACATCCTAATGTATTAATATGATCAAAAATTTATTACAAATTTAACGGTACTTTGATCCATGTTTAGACTTAGGGCTATTTCACGTGAATACGGAAGGGTGACTGTATACATGAGAGCGTTTTACATCGAACAAAAAAATGAAATTCACCTCATAATGAAAAGATTTTTTTTGTTGACGATTCAATGACTTATCACATTTCGTTATTTTCCATAATACTTTGGCTTACGATGATTTTTTATTTAAAAACTATGTTAAATGATAACTGACAAGACTTGTGAGACTTAAGTTGGTGTAAAATTCATGGGCTAGAGTAACGACGTTTGGTGAAATGACCAGAAGTGAGATCGGATCTTGGATTCGATACTTATCTATTAAACAAGGCATTAATAAGGCATAAAAAAGATCTAGTCTGAATATTGATGATTCAATCAATTTAATGAAATTGCGTGAAAATGATTAATTTCGTCACTTTAAAAATCACATTTTGGTTTGAACTTTGAGTCGATTTTTAATAGGCACATTTATATGAAATATTTGTTCAAGTTGTGAATGAATTTGCGAAAATATAAAGTTTAATCGGCCTAAACTCTATGATTAAATAACCGCTGGAGATTGCATCACTAGAAATTTGAGGCCATAAAGCTTATTACCGAATCAATCCCGACTTTTTCATAACTTATAGCCATATTTTTCAATGTTATCCTTAAGATGGTCATGTAGCTGTTAATAATAACGACACAGAAGCCAAAAACAAAGGTACTAACAAACGAATGGATATATGCGCAAGTTTTATCTATTTTTCATGCTCTTACAAGCTCTCCAACTCTTAGCTCAAGAGTTTTTGCATGGACTCTTTAAGTATGAAATAAAAGCAGAAAGAAAAGAGAAAAATGAATCAGATTCGCACAATTTGTCTTATTTATAATTTAGAAACAAAATTTACATCGAAAGATTATTGAAGAGATTCACATCAAGACCGTATTACGAGAAACGGAGACGGTATACATTTTATGAGATTACTAATGAGATAGGGTAATTTTAACTTTACAAAGCAAATTAATACATTAGAAAATTAATCGTGAATGGATCCTATGAGATTTTGGAGGTATGGCTGGTTTAGTCTTTTGTCTATCGTTTGATGCATCTCCACAATCACTTTCAATTGATTTTAAAGAATCGGCACTAGAATCACTGTATGAAGATAATTGCTGAGATTTGTTATCTCTATTAAAAGGTTGAGTTGATCGAGCAACACCAATAACTCTTGGAAGTGGTGGTTGAGGTCGATTAGTTATATTAGACGATGAATTATTTTTATTTGTAAATGGCTTTGGTCCAGTCATTGTTGTTAATCTATTAACAAAATCAAAACTACTTCCTTCATCTGATTTTCGTCGGGGTAGAGTAACATTCCTAAGAAGATCATCGATTACTCTCTGTCTAGGTGCTGGTGCTGGTGGTGGAACTGATTTAGTTGATGTCGGAGTTTTAGGTGGTGATGGCGGTAATTTTGGAGATGGAGGTGGTTGATATTCATGAAATTCTGGATCATTCTCCATATCATAACTTGTTAATTTTATAGTCGACTTTATTTTAGGTGGTTGATTTTGTGACCGTTGAACATTTTGGCTTTGATTAACTTGGCTACTTTGAGATTGTTGTTGTTGCGTTTTTTGTTGTGATGGTTGCTGTTGCGTTTGTTGTTGTGTTTGTTGATGCTGTTGAATTAGATGTTTAGGTTGTGGAGGAAGCGGTGGCGGTGTAACATAATGTGGACTTGGAGGTTTAGGAATAAAAAAATTTGATTCACGATTCAATAATGGATGGACTTTAGCATATGGAACTTGCGATGACGATAATGATTTACGTGGAGGTATTGAATTCCCGCTATTTTTTGAACAGCAACTTTCACATGATGTTCCAGGAGAAATTTTAGATTTACCAGAAATCAGTGAATTTTTACCATCATCATGTGAAACAGTTCTTGATAAAATCATATCTCGTCTATTATAAACATCTTCTATTCTTGTTGGTGGATTTTTAGCAGTAGGTGACGATCCACTTATACTAGATCGCCTTCTCACAATACGAGGACGTCTTGGTTGTATAATTGTATTAATTGGATTCTCTGGTACAGTTGATCTTTCCTTTATATTAACTCCATTAATACTTCCATTATCACTATCATTATCAGAGTGACCAGTTGTTGTTGAAGCATTTCTATAACGACTACCAGATTTTAATTTACGATTAACAATTTTAAATTGTTTTAAAACAGTTATCTGGTTACTGTGAAGAGGTCTTTTCTTTAATGTTATAGCAATTTCTGTTGAAAATTCTTTGATAATATTCAACATCTTCTTTAAATGCCAACCAACCACTGTTTGATAATTTATTTGCACAATTTCATCACCTTCCTCAATACGACCTCTATAAAAAATAGATGAACGCTCTATTTTCTCAACAATATGAATACCAGAATAAGAGGATGAAAAATGTACACCAGAAAAAATATCTTCACCATTTTTCTTTTTTATAGTGATTACTTCCAAGTATGCTGGTTGTATAGCAAGTGGATCATTGAGATCTTGAACAATTTTATCACATGTTTCAGCGAAAATGGCACAGTTTTCTTTTATAACCTCATTTGGCTTTTCCACAAATTGATCACGCTGAGCTGTTGATGCTAATTCAATGCTTAGTTTTAATATTTCTTTACGTATTGATATATATTCTTCTTGACCTCCAAATGGATACCTATCAATCCAGGATACAAACAATTTAACTGATGTTAATATATCACAAACACCAGATAATGTTTTTGTTGTTACACGATCACGATATTTTTCTTCTTCATCAGTTTCACGTTTCAATATATTAAATAAACTTCGAGCTTTACATCCTAAACGAAGTGATAACATTTGCAGTGTTTCGGAGCAAAAATTGTAGTGAAGATGTTTCAATAGTTCAACTGCTTCTAATATAATCTCTTGATGGCCAACTTTGGTTACATTTAAATTTTCCAAATCATCACATGAAAGAAGTAATAACCGGCAACCATTTATATTATTGTTCAAGAAAAAGGCAACATACGGTAATATAGAGTCTTCCAGACCTACGTAAGCAAAAAAAAAGAATAGACAGACATAAGAAAATTGATATAAGGTATATTATCTACAGTAAGCTGTTGCTATACAATAATATTTAATGAATTTATATTATTTTACTAACCTTGTAGCCAACTGACAACATTTTGTGGAGTCCATTCAGCAACATTTATAAAGGCCATTTTGGTTTGAGTTATTTTTCTCTAAGATGTCACACAAAAAAACAAGTTTAAAGATGAATCACAAAGGCACATAGATACCAATGAAAGATGGTTGTATACAACAATATAAAAAGAAACAACAAAGATTTATCAACATGAATCACTGAAAATATTATCTAATTATAAAACAGATCGCTTGGGTTACCAAAAAAAATATAACCCACAGTATACAAAAATAAAGATTATGAATAACTTGCAAAGAAAAAATAAATAGGTTGAAAGCACAAGCAAAGTTTCCTATGAGTCACTTCACTTTCTTTGCTTGCAAACACTTTTCCAACTTTTTGTAAACACTAAAAATCAATAGAAATCTTCTGGTCAATCAAATATTTTGCTGAATTCACCTGAATTATTGATAAGAACTTTCAACTAACAAAAAATGAAAGAGGAAAGTGGAAAGTGGAAGGAGGAATAACGTTAAACAATAAGAAAGACACAAGAAGCAGAGAATGAGAGGGACACATAAATGATAATAACGATGAGAAACAAGTTTGGTTAACAAGAAGCAACAACTTGTTCCTTTCCTCTTCGCCTTACATTGTCTGATGATTTCGGGAGCAACCCTTAAAGCTTTAGCCCCTTGTACTGCTTTTTTTACCTCTCACTTTGACAGAAAGAAGTCTCTGACGATTGGAGAAGGAATATGAAAGGAATACAAAATTAGGCTTTCCTGTCTCCTTTTTCTTTCCCTTTTCTTCAACTTCTCTTTCTTCAACTTCCTCTTGAATTAAGATTCCCACGCTATGTATGACAATCTACGCTAATGCAAACACATGCTACGGTTAGATGATGGTAAACATAAGGCGCGAATCGTGCTTCTAATTGAACTAAGCGAGCTGGCTTTTACTAGTTAATAAAATTTTCAGTTTACGCCACAGCCTCTTCTTTCGTTTGACTTCAAGAAGCAACTCGTGCACAGTAAATGCTGTAAACAATTTTTAATGATAGAAATGATGAAAAGCAAACATTTAATAACATTGAATAAGCTTTCATTCAATGAATTAATGTATTATAATATTTCATGGTTCCTCAGTCACCAAAGGAAACCCAATTTTTGAAGGTCTTCCGTTTGTCTTTCCATTAGTGTGTCATTTACTATGTTATTGTATTATCAAAGCAAAGGCCAAAACCGATTAAAAAGCTAGGAGAATCGTTGAAGCTTTTTCCTTTGGACCGTATTTGCATTGATAATTGGCTGATAAGATGAGCTTATCTGTTTGAATAGCCGTCATTTCACAAAAAATTGTGCGATTTCTCCCAATTTTTAATCCATTATGCCTTGTCTTGTATATTATACAAGTCATTAACAATGATCCTATCAAATAAATTCAGGTAATTTTGTTAGAAAAGCTGGTTTTTTTTGCACACGAAACGTTAACCACTCACAGCTTTAACCGAGCTTCTCTGTCTTCATATTTACATCATTCAACTTGATATTTCTTCCAGTTCCAATAAAACATGATTTAATCATATCAATCAAACCTCCACTGGGGATCTCCTTCGATACAAGCTGTCTCAAGAAGCAATCGTCACCGAGAAACTACATAATATTGTAACACCTAAGAGTCTTATCCTTTTTAACACATACTGTTACTATTACACATTTTGTGATCTTTATTATTGTAAACTCTTCAGTATTGATTTTTTATAAGAATTGAATTTGTGTCCAAATCATTGATAATTCACCAAGACCAATCATGGAGAGTAAAATGTCATCAATTCGTTCTCTTGAAATGAAAACATATGATTTAGATCAATTACCATTGGACGAGTTATCATCAACATTGCAAGATCATCTTTCAAAATTTTATGGTCATGTTGAAGTATCGGTTGTTGATTGTCCTGATCTATCCAAGGAACCGTTCAATCTAGCTGGTTCTGGTCTTGGAGGGAAAACGGCTTTAGCTGATATTGGTGGGGTTCCTTACTTGATGCCAGTTCCATACCATCCAGCACCAATCTATTCATTTGTTAATTTGGGTAAAAGAATGGGTCAGTATTGCTCTTATCATTAGAACAAAATTTATTTTCTTTTCGTTTTATATCATCTTTGTGCCAATTGAAATTGTTATGTCAAGTTACCAGGACCCTGGTGCCATAAAGACCATAAAACAGACTTTTAATCGTCTCTTGCCATCTATTTTAACCTTGGAATACTATCTTTACATTAGGAATCTTTATTGACATGAGACCTTATTTTTCTCATCATTTAACAGGTTTCCAAGATGCTCATCTTATGGGTGCTGCTTGTGTCCCTTTTCAAATTACCGGATCAATTGCTGAATTCATGCCAAACATATCTTACTCAATTGATGAAACTGGTAAAACTTTAGTCAATCATGGCTCTTATTATTCAGAAATGGTTGATGATAAAAAGTATATAATGCGCCCATTAGCATCTGATTGCACCAATACTTTGGCAAATGTGTTCATCAGTGAAAACAAACCTTCGAAAGTAATTAAGATTGTTGCTTCTAAGCGAGTTGACAAACGAGGAGAAAGCTTGACCGTCGCTATCCGAGATATTTTAAGAATAGCTTATCCTGAAAAGGCTATTTCCATGGGAGGAATGTTTTTGGTTCGCAAGGGTAAAATCTACATTCACGTTATGCCAAACGACTTCTCAAAAACTCCTTGTGATACCGAGGAGAAGGCTAATGAATGGTTGAACTTTTTTGAGGCTTCGGCGCCAATTGTTGGTCTTGTCACTCTGCATTCAAAAGATCCTGGTTTTAATTTGAGAGATGAGCACACTCATTGTATCGGTAAAGGAGAGGGAGGACATTATCATCATGATACTACTCCAGATACAATTGAATATGAAGCTTACCTCAACATTGCCCAACAAATAGTTCGGGTTGATCAACCTGTTGTTGGCAATGAAATGCTCAAAGTAAAATCAAAGGCTGGTAACCATTAAGTCACCGAGTAACACATCTATGTGTGTTATTATAATTATTATCAATTATTTTTTCTAAATCAAACAGTGACTAAACCATCATGATGTTATAAGGTTAGAGTAGAGATAAATTGAAAACTGTTCAAATTGTGAATAAAGTGTTTAAATGTGGGATGATAAATTAACGAATTGGTTGATTGTGTTGTTGTGAATCAAAGTAAAATTGAAAGCAAATTTTACTGAAAACTGTCCGGTTATTTGAATAAAATCAATATGAAAATTCAATATAAAATAAAATTCGTTTTCAGAACTTTTTACAATATCTCCATGAAAGATGACGAAAAGATAATTGGATAGATTTAGATATAATAGTTTTGTTTGAAACATTACATTGTTATTGGAGATCTTATGGCTCATTATCATCTCTTCCTCTTTTTAGACTTGATCAATTGATTTAATTTCCCTTTTAATTGTTATTCATCTCATTAAATGCAAGTGAAATAATGATCAAGACAAATGTATGAAGCCAAGTGAATCAAACGGTCAAGTGCTTAGGGGCAATAATGATCATGTACAGTGAAGTGAATCAACCAGCACTTAGGAAGATGTCAAGATGAGTCTTTAATAAATCATGCATGAAATCAATAACCTGTGAGGGAATGGCGATCTTTGGGTCATTTCCGTTGTCTTTCTGTGCAGTAGAAGCACATGTTTTTATGCTTCTCTGTAATTTTTTGAATAATTGTTGAAAAATGCATCATGGATTATCATGAATTTAAACAAAATACACTGTTTTGTGCAATAACCATTACTTTAGCTCATGTTTTTGATTCCATCTTTAAAATGATCACATTATTCAACTGACTCCATTGTTGCGCCAATCGTTATTTTCACATCAATAAGGATTTAATAGAAGTTTAATAAGAAACTAAATGCTTACGATAAGTAACATTTATGCAGTCCTTGAGTAAGCGTATTTATTTTTTCCGCATTCAATGCTAGATTTATTTCACTGAACGACTGACATTCTCATTCTCATTTCCAATTATTGCTGCCAAACATCACAATTCAATAATCCCACGGTTCATTAATTTGATCAGGAAATAAGTTTGGACTTTGATTTGAAATTTCCAATCAACATAATGAATGGATCAACTAATGGATGAAAGATTTCAAAATATTTAAAATCTCCAACAATTTTACTTATTCCCTAAATTGTGAATAAGTTCCGGTGATCAACAATAGGGCCGATAGAAATCAATTGTTTAATATTGACTCGTTCAGTAATACCGCTTCCAACTTTGAATCAACCGAAAGCCTTTCAGTTGTACACAGAATTTTAATTGTTTATGAAATATTAAAAAATATGAAAAAGGTCCTTAAAAAGATGATTTTTTGATCAGCTCTCTTCATTTCTCTAGATTCAGTCGAGGATATGTTTTGGGTTAAAAATAACAGTAATTGCAAGAAAATTAACAAAGGCTTGGAAACAGGTTATCAACAGCTGTGAGCCAAGAACCAGTTGATCATTTCTAAGCATCGGCAGTGCATCGTTTATAGATGATAATAAATAGTTAATAATGGATTGCTCGAATTTTGTGACTTGGTAATTGTCTATCAATTTCGTCTCTTCTGTTTCTTTCAAGATCCCAAAAGTAAAACTCCATTATTGTTGGAGTTAAAGGCAGGGGCAACTTAACCCCACACCTTACTTGCATTCGCTTCACTTCTCTTTTAATTAGTTCGTAAGCATGAATAGCTACACCTCTCATTTCAATTACATCAGGATCGTCATATTTAAGTACTTCTCCCAGTTTTAATTTTTTCCGTAACTCCAATGAGTAACTTAGTACGTTGCAAAAGTGTAAATACTGAGGAGCTCTGAAAAAAAGGTGAAAACAAAAGATTAATGAAAATGTCGATAGAAATTAATGGCGATTGGATTTACTGACCTTTGATCAACGAGCAGGGTAAGGTAATCAATGTCATCAAATTTGCCCAAATTTTTACCCTCATGGCAAGCATAAATATCAGAAATCAAGAGTTGAGCTCGTCTGTAAAAACCAACTGAAAAATGGCAAAATATATTAATAATTGAGCTTTGTAACAACAATAAAACAAATTAACTGCTCTGTTCAATTAGTAAATGCTTGCTTATTTGAAGAAAAGAGCAAATAGTCAAATTTAACTGTTCAGATCAACTAGTAAGCATTACAATACAATAACAGTTAGATCTTAATGTTGACAGACTAAAATGCTCAGGATAGCTGAATAGGGTTAAGGATAAAAAACACTTACCTCGTTCCTTATTGAAAACACACTCGTCTCTAAACGAAGGAAAATTTTCGTATATCAGCTGGAGCAAAGAACGGGCACTCTTTTTGGCTTTTACCACCACGGTAACGAAATTGCTACTGAATTTCTGGATTGATAAAATTTAGAATATTTGATTGTCCAGATCAATGGGATACAGAAAGATATCAAAAGGTAACTTTACCTTGACTAATATTTTACCATTGTCTTTCATTATGTTTGCTCTTTCTTTCAACAGAGGCAATTCCATTGGCTCATTGGGTTTACCCTTTTTATGCGCGCGAAATATCCTTTGAACCTGATCGTAACTTAAATTAGAATAATATTCTGGACTGACCATTGGGATACCTTGATTAAGAGCTCTATTAATGATTGCACAGATAGCCCAATAACCGGTATACTCGGCTTGTTTGTATGTCACAGCAAACTCTTGATCCGGATCTGGCCAGTAGGAAAAGTTAATTGAGTTAACTAAAAATATCCAATTTATGGCGAATTCATTGGATATTCCTGGGTTTAAATTATGTTCTCTCCATAAAGACAAAGTATATGCACCTCTGAATAAAGATGAATAAAGCTACCAAACGATGACACGAAATTAGAAACTCATGATGAAATGATTTCGATAACTTGGTTAACTTACATCTGCTGCTACTTTCTTTACACCTTTGTCAGTAACCTTAACATTTTTTGCTCTCTTGGCGATGAATTTTGCCGTTTCTCGAGGATTCACTGGCTTTACCATGATTTTACTTGATTAAACAGGAGACAGGACAGATGACTTGAAAAAAATATACACTAGAAAATTAGAAAAGGCTATTGCAAGAGTAACAAGGGTTCCAGTAGTTGCATTACTCTTTGAGGCACTTAAGAAAATGAAAGGTTATCTGACGAGGTAATTTTGAAAGTTAGCAGATTATTGGTTGAAATTAAACTAATTGAAAATGTCAATATGTCAATTGTCAACACATTACGAAACACAGAAACTCTATATAATGTTTAGTTTTAGATTGGGAAATAATGATTATTGGATTTCAATATCAGTGTAGCCATTGAAACTAATCAATATATGATTTATTTAATAATGACACTTACATTTTTACACTATCAATCAGAAACTATACATAAATGGTAAACTTTTTTCATTTGCTACATCATTGAATCAATATTTGCAAGAATTAATTTTTTTATCCTCAACATAGATGGCCATGTCTTGAATTTTTGGATCATACCGGAGCAATTCCAATTTTTCAGCATTTCTTGGCCTGATAGCAGTCCGAGGATGGCCACTGACTAAACTCCTCACACAAACCATTATGAATCTAGAAAATAGAAAAGGTTTAGTTAATAGAGAGGTAGTAACACATTCGTGTTCTCATTCACTTCTTCATACAAGTTCTGTTAAATTGGTCCGTGTAGATATTAGATAAAATAATATTATTAACTTACTTCGATTTTCCAGCCATTTCAATGTAACTTGTGGATTAGGGATTTAATTAAGTTAACAAGATAATTAAAAAGGCAAATCACAAACAATATTTGCTATAAAGTATCACAATAATGAAGTCAACACCAGAAATCAGCTGGAGCTGTGTAACCATAGAGACACACGGCATGCTTTTAAAATTGTTTATTCTTATTTTGAGATTAGCACAACTTATTGCTAATATTGCGAATGATATTGCAAATAATACAAGTTTTATCAGTCAAATACGGAACGGAAATATTTTATTAATTTATTAAAATAGAATTTTCAGCTTTCTTGAGATTTCTCCAAGCTTAGAGAATCAATAACCTTTTGTACAATTTTGCCATTTTTCGATAGTTTTTTCCTATTTCGCTTTCTTCTTCTTTTCTCTTCGTCTTCTTTAGCTTTATCATCAGGCTTTTGATTAACTTCTGCTTTCTTTTTCTTCTTTTTACATGACAATGGGTTTGGTCCTTTAGGACCTTTCCTCTTTTTCTTTCTAATATCTGTCTCCTGTGGGCCTAAAATTTCTTTTTTCAGCTCCTTTAACCTTTCAATTTCAACCTCATCGGATCCAACTTGTTTGCGTTTTATTTCATGGCCACCTTCAACACTGGCTTTCGATGGTGGTTCCAAATTCAATGTATTCATCTTAAGATACATTAATGGACATCCAGGTATCTTTCTTAGTTGTTGAGTCAAGATCAAATCCGAGGTGGCTACGATGTAATGGTCTGCGTTTTCTTCACCAACCATTGACCGAATACATTCAGCTGCTTTCAAAGGATTTTTTGCATGGCCACATTTGCGTACATCAAATTGTTTAACAATCAAAAATGCTCCATATACTGATCGACCTAGAAAACCCATAGAGAAATAAAATATCGACAAACATGAGCAATAATTCCCACAAACTAGAGATTTAAAGAAATGAAATTACTTACCAATGTTTTGAGTTTCATTAATCACACAAACAGTCGTAAACATTTTAACTTCATCGCCCATATATTTAGGCAATTGTTCTTTAATGTTTACTTTATTTTTCAGAGCTCGTTGACAGAATGTACCATCTATGAGAACCTGGTAAGGAGCATGAAAACCATAATTTGTCCGAAAGAATTGTAGATATTTATTAACTCTCTTATAACGTTTTATCTTCATTATAATATGTTTAAATAATTATTCACAATAAAACAAAATCACAACTGACAATATTTACAAAACTTGAAACATAAAGCAGCTTAAATTTTTGTTTCCATGTGTTTAAAGTGGATTAGTTTTTTGGAGCCAAATTCAAATTTTATTTCGTAAAACAATTTTAGCGCATAAATCAAACTTGAATCTTCAGAAGTTTTAAGAATAGTTTAGCAATCACAAAAAAATGGTTGTTTCGATGTATTAAATCAATTAATAATGATTATTTGTTGATTTCTTACCAATCAAAATCCCAAAGAATGAAGTTTGGTTGTTAGCTTGCATGTTAGTTCAATCAATTTATTCCTAAATCACTTCTTTGAATGTGCAAACATGTTTCGATCAACTTTAATTTGTAAAATAAAAAACCCACACTATTAAATTTAAACTTAATTGCTAAATTTAATGCAAGCTATTTGTCTTTATTATTGCAGGTGCTATTATTACTGGTTTAGTTTTCATTAGAGTTTGCTACCGAGTTAATCGATCAAATTGGGTTTTTATTGAATCTTGTAGAATCTTAAAGATCACCAGTCCAGCTCAAAAATAAAACGATATAAATGACCATCAAATTATTCAATTATAAGATGCTTGCTTTAATTTCATCCTAATCAAGATTCCGTCATTTTTGAATTTTATATCTTTTATATTTGATCGGTGTCTCCGAGAGTTTTTATTGTTCTGGCGCTAAATATTAACACATTATACAAACCACATCGGTCATAATAAGCTTTCAGTAAGTGTAAATGGTTGGTACTAAAATTAGATGTGATACCTTTAACGTTTTAATTTGGGGTTTTATGCTATAAATCTAATGTTACTGACATTGAATTGTTAATCATGCCCTTATTGCTACTGTTGTGTCTCTTTTGGTTGATTGATCGCCTTTTGTCTTTACTTTTTTTGCAAAAGTGATTCTTCTCTTCTTTGAATCATTTGAATTGTGAAGATCACTTTACAACTTAAAAGTAATTAGGACATAAAGCAATCAGCTCATAGTGCCAAACTAGTCAATAAAAAGATGTGCGACGAAAAAATTTAATTTAAAGGTGGGTTTCTTTTATTATAGAATTGCATTAGTATTGTTTCTACATTCAAGGCAAAGCTTGTATGCATGCTGTACCTTTGAAATATGACAAAAAAAAAGGATTTAATATAATATAATTGTGATTTTTCTTTGTATTGACGATTTATATTTAATTGTTTCAATTTTCCTTCACTTTTTCAGGTTCACCATTTGGCTTTTTAAGGTCAACGTTTATTCGGATGTTAACTCGGTTTAATGTGTTATGGATCATCTGGTTGACACTATTGAGACCTGTATTGATAGTGTTCAAGGCACGAACAGCCATCTCAGAAGTTGCTGGTTCCTTCAATATTTTATCAGCGCTGGTTCGAGCCTGTTCAAGTCGAGTATTTAAATGTTCCAAGATTCTTCGAACCATGACATCACCTCTATCACGCATAACTTCAATGGCTGAACCAACAATCTTTTGCAATTGTGCAGTTCTCCTGGCAATCTCCACTCTCAACTCTTCTGCTCGTTTGTTGTTTTCCTCCTTTTCTCGGGCAGCTCGTACACTATCAGAGGCAACTGATCCTTTTGGCGATGAGGATAAAGCTGTCAGCGTACTATTGACCAAAGGCATATCTAAACCTAAAGAGGTTCGTTGGTTCAAAGAAGAATTCTGGTTTTGGTTGATCATTAAATGGATGGCTTTACCAACACCACTGACCAGCTCTAATAAATTAATTTTCACTTTATCTGGTTGAGATAAAATACTACTGATGTCCACAGGTTTCTTGGTGGTCTCAGCTTCATTACCAGCCTCAGGTCCAGCATGAGCGAGTGTCACTGTTAAACAAAGGCAAAAAAAGTGTACAAATGGTTTCATTTTGATGACAATACGTATTGTTTGGTGAAATTGGTTAAAGGCAAGGAGCAGTTGAAGATTCACTCTTTGGACTATGGAGATGAACTATAACAAGGGAAGACACGAAATGTAGTTGATGTTGACGATCACAGTACCATCAGTTGGTCTGAGAATTGATGAGACTAAGTTTGGGTTTTATGACCTATTCTAGTTAATCTGTTTTTTCAGGTCGATACTCCCCATCGTTATCGTCATTTCTTCATCCAATCTAAAGTCGATTCTTTATCCCTCTTTCTCACTCTTTCTCACCATTTCTTTCTCTCCATATCATAATCTTTTCTCACTCACCAATTTACGGGATAAAAGGTTTGTATACCTTTCAAACTGCGATAAGTCACAAATGACCCAAATCTTCTCGTTTTCATCCTTCGAGATTCAGAGGGAGCTACCTTTCTTTTTTTGGTCAAACAATGACAAGAGACTTTACGAGTAGGTCTTATCTATTCTCGGATTACTATCAAAATTTGACAACCTTCAGGTCATTTAGGGCTTTCCCTTTGCCTCTTTAACTTTCGCCATTCAACAGGTATTATAACTTGAAACTGAAAGACCCGTGATTTACCTAAAGCTATCATCCTGTAAAAACTTTCTATTCTTGCTAACACACATTAATATCACTTTCATCATTAGTACCATTAACATGATTATTATTATTTCATTTTATATTTAGGTCCGACTACACTCAACCAAGAAAAATGAAAGTTAACCAAGTGTCAGAATTGTTCTGCATTTACAATTATTATCGCTTCTAATCATCAACGCCAACAAAGTTGTTACCATGAAGAAGAAGAAGAAGAAGAATTAAAAGGGAAAAAAGATTTACAACAAACCATGAAATTGGTCATTTTCAATTCCTCTCATTTTCATGGATTTATGCTAAGCTGCATTTCACTTAACGAGCAAAACATTAGCATCCTTCAATATGTTGGTCAATTTATATTGACTACCAATCGAGTGTCAGTATTGAGTGTAAACAAAGATGACCTCAAATCCATGATCCATCTTTTGTTTAGGGAAATCAGTTTCCAATCCAACACCAACCATATCATGCTAATTGTTAGCCTTATCCTACGTCTTAATATAATCACTGGTCACGATATTTCAGAGGAAAATTCCAATACCAACTGATCTTCAACCAAAATCTTAATACACCGTATTTAGAGTTAGCCATTGAGCTTGAAAAAGTCTAGAAATTTCTTTAAACTAATATTTTGATCTTCAAAATTAACTTTAAATTGTCCACTGTTAGATGGATTTAAATTAACTCTCGTTTTAAATTAGTTGATGAAAGTAAAAGTGTTTTTACATTAATACAAGAGTTACAATCGTTTAACTTTGAGATGCCAAATGTTGAATGCAAGCTGAGATTGATTCATGAAGAGGACTGTTTTGGAATCAGTCAATGCGAAGGAAATATTTTGCCTCTTAATTACTTGATAATTAAGAGTCAATTAATGTTTATTTCCTTAAGACTTAGTAATATTTAAATTTTGATTCACGCTTTATTTCTGAGCTCAAGAAACTGTCCATTCCAAAGAAATGGAAGACTGATTTTGCTATCTTGTTCATTAACCGGATCGTCCAAATTTTAGAAAGTTTGTTTTCTCATTTTTACCTCTCATCTTAATTGTTTCAATTGTCCAAACATCATCACCAGTAAGTAGAGTAACAATCATTTTCAAAATTGTTGACTAACATATCACCGTTGTGTCTTGAAGTTACATTTTGTGTTGTTTCTGAGGCCTTGTTTCTTAAAGAAAATCAAAAACTGATGAAGATGTACAAATTTGTGATTTCGCTATTAATGATGTCCATCATTTCTTGGAATTTAACATCTGGTGAAGGCAATTATCTGTTCCGAGTACCAATTCCACATCAATTAGGGAATCTAATTGATTTGATTGCTCCAATCCACATACGTTTTGCTACTGATGGAGTCAAACATCATCCGTAAGTATTGATTCACGAAAGATGATTTTAATTTTATTTCATGAAACTGCCATTTAATGAAGTTTACTTCTCAACACCTTTCAGAGTTGTTCGTTTCCCCATTCTTGATCTTATAAGCAGAGGGCAAATATTCAACAAACCAGGCATCCATCATTTAGTTCATGGTCCAGGAATACCATGGTAAAACTCTTGTTTCTCCCGATTCAAAGCAAAAATCTACAAAGAAACCATTTAATGCAATTAGTACCTCACGAATAAAAGATGTTTGGGAATACATGTATTATGGGAAAATCCTTATCAATACTATGTAACCATTTCTTTAAATCATAAATTTTAAAAATGAACATTAAATTTAATAAAAACACCGTTATTATCCTTTGAATAATTGTCTAATCTTTGACATTACCGTGATCTTTGTAAATGTTTAACGTTAATGTTTAATGTGTTAACGTAAATGAAAAAAGCTTATGAGTTGAAGTTGAAAGCCGTCGTTTCCGTTGTAAATTTAATGAATGTTTTAAATGATGACTTTATTACCTAACCTTTTTACAAAGTATTAATGATGGACTTAGTACCTGAAATTAAATCAAAGGTTAGTATCAAAAAGATTTAAAATGCTTACGACAGTGCGAAGAATCCAAGGCTGATTTGAGAAGCTGAAATTTCACTATTTTTTGCCTTCAACCATGATTAAATGATATCCAAATTTTGTCTTAACTGGAGGATCAGTATAAATTGGATTGTTAGGAGTCGATGTGGCTAAAGCAAATGCAGCATCTTGAAAAGGTCCAACCATAGATCCTCTGGTCATCCATCCCAAATCACCACCATTACGAGCTTTATCTTCACTATATAGCCTAGCAACTTCAGAAAAACTAACGCCACTTTTCAATTTCTCAATGGCTTCCAAAGCTTTTGACTGTTTTTCACAAAGTATGTGACGAACTTTCACAGAATTTCCTGAGCCGGTCTTTTCTTTACTCTCTTTTTTACCAGAATCTTTGGAATCACTTTTACCAGCCGATTTACTGGATGAAGCCGCACCTTTCTTTGGAGGCATCTGAAGTTGAATAAAAGGCTACGAAGAGTCACTTCAAAGATACTTTAGTTGCCAAAATAAGCTCAAAACAATTAAAAAACTAACAATAATTTAAAAAAATACAAACAAAAAATTCGTCGTTAGATAAACACAGCTTCATCTATCATTGATTCTAGTTACTTGATACTCTTGAAAATGAGCGCCCTTCTTAAACATTAAAATATTACCAATAACCAAATTATCATTTTTGACGATTAACGATCATAAATTAAACTAATAAATTCTTCTATCATGTGAAACTTCAAAGATAATTTGAATTGAAACAGTTGTTGGTTTTGAATCAGTTACTTCAGTTTACATAGTTTTGCACATCTGAAATGAAATAAAAATCAGTCAAATGAGTCCGTGACTCACAACTGTTTCATTCATTAAGTACAATCATCAAACACTGATCGGATATCAAGAATTATTGTTCCTTCAGTTTAGCAAGGACAGTGACATCAACTGTCCGTTTGAAAGTTAGAAATTTTCAGCGCTATCGATAGATCGGTTCTTAGCGATGCGAAAAGTTGAAATCTATTTATAATTTACTTTTTGCATCTTAAACCAAGAATCGCGAAAGATGATCTTCGTTGGAGAAGTCAATGGCAGATAGTCTACGATTGAGTCAATCATTGTCAATTCATTGTTAATTCATTGGTATAGAGAAATGGTTTAAGGATCCATATTAAAGTTAATTGGCTGATCAAAAATCCTTTCAGTTTCATATTCATTTCATTTTTATTGTTACTTTACATTAATTTAAAATTAACTGTTGCTATAGCCAACAGGTGGCACCGAAGTTGTTGATAAAATGTTTTTTTTATGAAGAGATATGAATAACTAACTGTTGACATTTGTTAATATCCTTAACTTAACGTTTTCATCAATCAATCCACTGGATTAACTTTTGTTTCATGTCCTGAATTGATCAACTGAATATGGTTAGTATTGTCTTGTCCTTTTTTCTATTTTCTTTTACTTTGTTTTGTATATTGAATCCCTTCTTTCTATTACGGACTTGTTAATCTGTTAATACTTCTTCATATTCAATTTATTCTCTATTTTTTTCTCATCTTTTATATTTTAAGGAGGCAGCTGCAGGGCTTGAGAAAGAATCAAAGATTGAAACTGCTGAAGTTAAATTTGGATCTAATGACGGTGATAGCTCGCACCATGAGGATATTGAGATTGCAATGTGGAGGAAATTCCTGGATAAAGCCTTTGAAAAGGTATTGTTTTTATCATTTATGAATGATAACCCATTTTATTGATTTGATAAATGCATGCAACTCCAATGTTCATTTTTGGGAATACCTTCAAATGTTATCCTAATATTAGCCATATTTTTAGCTTCTGCTCTTATCATCATTTACATTATCTTTTTGATGCTCTATAAGCATCATTCTTCATCACCTAAGCTAACATTTTCACTGTTGCTTCTTTTTTTCTGCTAATTTTAGAGAAGAAACAATTGTTATGATTTAGAGGCTTATGCTCTGTCCAGTTATATTCTTGATCATAATTCAGATTTTCATGTTATATGGAATTTCCGAAGAGAAATACTAAATCATTGGAAGGAACATGGAACTGCCACAGAGAAAGCCTCTGCCGAGTTGAATTTCCGTGAATATTTTGCAGGGTATGAGGATTATGAACTATTCTATATACTAGACTGTGTTAAAGCATGCATCTTATCAGAAGAACTTTACTTCGACAAAGTTCTTTTAAATGAATTGTCTTTCACAACAAAGTGTCTAACCAAACATCTCAAGTCCTATGCTACATGGTTTCATCGTACTATGATCGTTAAAATGATGCAAAATCCCCCAATTGAGTCAGAACTGGATGCTTGCTCTGATTTTTTCACTTTGGATCCAAGAAACTGTAAATTATAAAATTACCATTTAGCATCCAGTAACTTTATCAAACTAAATTCTTTTCCTTTTTTCCCCGTAGTTCATTGTTGGAATTATCGGAAGTTCATTTGTGAACTTCAAAGTGCAGATGGATTTACCACTCAGTTAAATTTCATCGGAAATATGATAAAAAAACATCCCGACAATTTTTCAGCTTTCCATTATCGAAGTGTAATACTGCAAATAGCCAAGGAGAAAGGATTGATGCTCGTGGACCAACCGTTCTTAGATGATGAATTCAATAAAATTCAAGAAACTTTAACAAATCTAGCTTCCCATCAAGGTCTTTGGTTATATTTTTGGTGGCTTTGTTTTATGAATCACGATATGCTAAACCTCAAGTCTTCTGAATCTAAATTTTTTGTTTGTCGCGTTATTTTGGATAATGATAACCACAATCTAATTTACCAGTTTAACCAATGTCTTCGTAAACAGCCTTTTGATGAACTCCTCATAATATCCGACAAAGGTGTTTCGTCTTCCATTAAAATTAAAGATTGGCATTCTACTGGAGCTCTCACATCAGATATTTGGTTTCACAAAATCAACACAAATGAAAATATTGCTGAAATTATATTTACTTATTCTAACAAGGTTTATAAGGTTAAGATGACCAATCAGCCAGACCAATCCAAGCTAATTATTAGAAAAATCAATGGGCTTCCTAAAAATAAATTTGAACTTATCCGGGAAACAGATGCGTTAAACAAGATCAATGAGCTTAGTGATCATTCGCACAAAACAAATTCACAAATCGTAATGGAACAAAATAAATGTAAGTTTCAACTCAGAACTTTTCCTAATTTAATTTAATTCAAATTTTTTCTATCCATCTCTAGATTTTAATCTGACAATGGCTTTACTTTACGATGTTACTTATTTTGACAAATTGATTCAACTTGATCCTCTTCGGCGTAATTACTACCTTGATTCCAGTAAGTTATGAAAGGATGAAGTATAACAATTTTAATTTAATTTACTTACAATTCTGTTTCATTTTTAGAATCACATCATATTATCTGTGGAAAGTTAAAAGACCAGGAAGAAGAAATGAACCTTAATTTAGAAAATTTATCTTTAACTTGTTTACAACCCGTTTCTCGTCTTACACATTTAAGATCCTTGAATTTGAGCAATAATCAACTGACCCGAATCAATGGATCATTCAATTCACTCATATCATTGCAGTCATTGATTTTAGATAATAATCAAATTTCCTTCATCGATTCATCATTCAAGATGTATTCACTAAAAACATTATCACTGAAAAACAATCGTAAGTGTTGAATTTTGTTTAACATGTTTTTCGTTGAATTAATTCACTCACTATTTCTTTGTTATTCCAGAACTTACTGAAAAATCGTCACTAAAGCCTTGCAATAACTGTCAGCAATTAGAACTTGTTATTATTATTGGAAATTTGATTACCGAGTTAGAACAAGCGGATCTGGAGCTTGACAAACGCATCACAATCCAAAGTTGAATGATTAATTATTTACTCTGCTCGAGGAAAAATTGGAAAGAATTTTGCACTTATATACTTTAATTACACAATCAAATGAATATTGAAAATGATTATCAACCGATTTTTGCACCACACCGTATGATCAATCTCTTAATCAAATAGAAACATTTCCATACATTTTTATTGAATTAATGTTTTCGTAAAATAAAATCATTTTCAAACCAAATGACTTGCTTCACTTTTACAAGATAGTTTTAATTCAAGATGATGTTTTATTTACCTATCTTTGCTGAAGGTTAGTGGTATTATTTGAAAATGGTAAAAAAGTTTTACTTTAATTACAAAATGTTAATTCAGATGTTGATTACTCGACTAAGCTTTTGAATACGGTTCAATAAAATATCACCTTGTTTTATACAAGACTGATATTGATAATTTTTTACATCTGGTCTGTTTGTTTCAACAATTCCGTTTACTTTATCGATTTTACAATGGAGGCGACCAGCAGCAATGAATCTGGCGAGTTCCATGTCGATGAAAGAAACAGTAACACCGAAAACATTAGCCATGTACTGCAAAGTTAAACTTCTATAAGATTCAAGAAGTTGATTGTAAGCCAGGATTCGCATTTCACGGATAAAGTAACGACAATGAGGAGCGAAAAACCGATCAATCTTCATGTAATCTTCGACCCACGCAAGTTTACGGAAGAAGTCTCCATATCGACAATTGTAAAGCGAGAAAAGAAGCTCTTGGATATTGGGAACACTATGAAGAACTTCCAAAATTTCTGCTCCTTTGATAACTTTCTCCCGGAGATCAACCCTTTCCAAAGATATTAAACTGCAAAGGACAGTGTACGTGACAAATGTTTTGTAGTCACAGAGCTCATAACATGTAAATGTTGACACAGTATCCAAGAATAATTGGGCTGCTGTTTTAAAGTCTCTGATCGCCAGACAGTATAATCCTTGATAGACTCGGAGTCTATTTCGACGATCCCAATCACCACCTTCCTCAATAAGCGTCTTAGCCTTTTCTATGTTCTGAGAGATAAGATCATGGTCAAGATAAAACAAACCAATTCTAATCACATGGAAGAGTAGATCCAATCGATGTCCTAATGATACAGTTTTCTCATAAGTCACTTTGAATGCTTCCAAAGCATTTTCTTTATCTCCAATCAAACTAAGATATTCAAACTTTGCTAAATTAGCGTCTCTAACTTCCATTTCACCAAGATTTTTATTTGCATCTTCAATAGCTTCCTCCAATTTTTTCAATTGTGTTTGATTTTCTGCCCTCATACGCTCCAGCAGTTCTTTGTCAATCGGCTTGTTAAGCGTAGTGCTAACCTATGAAGAGATAAAAGTTTAAATATCTAGCTTATACCAACAAATAATGATTAAACCATGCACAAGAAAAGTATGTAATAATAATTAATTTACCTGTTCATAAAAAGGAGCCATATTGTTCTCCTTAATTGCGTCCTGCAACAATCCCAACAATTTTGCATCATCATTCCGAGACTCGGTGGTCAGAGTAAACAGATATTGAGCTAATTCAAGGTTAGGATTTTTGGCAAGACTCTCTTCAGATAGATCTTCGATAGGCATGATGGAAAACTGATTAATTTAAGTCAAATATCACGATAAACAAAGAAATTAAGGTGAAATTTTTAATCACAATAGCATTTAAAATTGTAAACCTCTAATAACTGAGAAATTGATTCAACCAAGTTCAGAGCCACCTATAGAAGCAAAAAAGAAACTCAGTATTGCAGCAAATTTCAAACCCATAAACAAATTTTATTTCGTATTTAAATCTATTAACAACAATTAACGTCGAAATCACTATTAACTAATAAAGATAATCAATTGCAATTTTAAAAGAAAGTGAATGGAATTTTTTTTCTGACAATTATTCTGTAACTTTTCATAAAGCATTGAAAAAGCTATGAATAATAACAATGAATATTTTACATTCCCGATTGATTGATACAAGATTAATGGTAGCGAGAAGTTTATTTGTTACAAGAAAAGGATAGGATTAATTAACAAATTGTACAAAAAAAGATACAAAAAATGAAAGTTGGTAGTGAAGCATAAATACAAAAAGATATTTGTAAAGGCGCACTAATTGCACATTAAGGTGAAATGAGAGGATAAAGATAAATCACAAGGCTAGTTTAGTCAGTTTAACAAGAAAAAGATAATCATAATTAAATAAAAAAAACGATAACATGATGATCATCAGTTTGTTGAGTCCATTATCTAGATTATAATCAGATTACAGCCAACCTTCACAAACACATTACATTATTCAATTTAAATTTTTACAAATAAAAAGAGGATAATATTGATGATAGTCACGATTCCATTTAGTATAATATAATAGCTTTTGATTTTTAGGTTTCAATTTAGTTCTGATTTACACTACAATCTCTTCGACTTCGCTAATCTGCTCTTAATTGAACCAGTTATAAGACAATTGACGACTTTTTTTGTTCGAAACTAATCAGTCCTTAATTCAATCCTTAATTTTGTGGCAGTGTGTTGAGTGTTCATTCCTTCAACTCTGGTTAGCCATTTTCTTCCGTCGAAAGCTCGATTGTTGTTGTTGATTCATTAAATTGTTTAATTGTGATTAAAGGTAATAAACGAAAGCCCATTTATGGTCGTCTTTTTGTTTGTGTTCAACAAAAAATAAAATGTAAACGAAAAAATGCTTCGATTTCAAGTCGTTTAAAGGACAACTTCCAATCAACAAACGCTGCCATAACTCTTGACTTATCTGGTTCTTTGCTTAAAATTTAACCTAATCACCATCTTTAGCCTTATTTTTGGTCGTTAATTCACTTTTTGGTTAACTAATCAATTTAATTATTTTTCAATGTTTCTCCTTCTATTAGGCTCTTGCATGTAAAACTAACCACAATGGGCAAAATTAATCGAATCCATCTTCTATTTCATCTGCAATTACGATTCCACGATATTGGGTTAACTCGTTTTTCACCCAATTGATACTTAACACAAAAAATTCATTAATTTTGTATTAGTTGGAACGATTATGTCAGTTATGACGTTTAACCTTTCGTTGTCTTTGCTCGTCTCAGCCGAAACTGTCAGAAGCCATCATTCCTTGTCGAGCCGATGCTTCGATTGGCAAACTTATGAGAGAAGATGGATGGAAGAGCTTGTACCATCCTATCACAATATTGGAAAGATCAAGATCATCTAAAACAATTTGAACGACACCCATGAATGCCTTCTTTTCAATTCGTCCGTAATCACCCCAAACGGTAACCTAAAATGATCAGGATAAAAAATTAGGATAAATCAAAAAACATTCAAGAAAATTTGAGTTTATATTGAATACAAACCTGTAAAACACATCCTCTATAGTCTTCATGAAATATTAACTTCTGTTGATAAAGTGGATCCAAAGTTCGACGAGCAATGCTAGTTTTGGCCTTTGCTATACATTTCCTCCCTTTAACCATATAAACTTTAACATAGGTAGCTGGAAAAATTAGATTAAAGAATTGGTTAATTTGATAAATAAATTATCGCAAATTTTAAATTTGATTTCCGCTTTAAAACTTACCAGGTGACATTTTTGATCCAGGTTTAGTTTGAAGACCTCGAGCTCGAATCACTTCAACTTCAAGATTACCTCTACTATCGCAAATACTCAGCTGAATATCACCTAAATTAGGTGAGGCTAAAGCTTGACGACCCACTAATTGACCGGGTCCAAGACCTTCCACAAAATTGGAGACTTCTCCTTCAGCAACAAAACGCATTTGAGGCACCCATCTAAAAGATTATTAAAATTAGTACATTAATAATAATTTCTGCTGATTGAAATGACATTTTGTTGTTCACTTACGTTGCTGAACTTTCACCGCTAAGACTACCTTCGCCATCAGATGAAATACTACTTCCTTGTTTAACTAAATGCCGAATATCATCAGGGGCAACTTCTTCTGATCTATGAACACTAAATGATGTCGCCTGTTTCCGACGGAATCCAAGTCTCTTCTTGGTGCCTGTGTTGTAATTACAAAATAATAATTTGATTAAATGTTTTGAAAATTATCGTTCTGTAGTAGTTGTTTAGATACTGACCGGTAACACTTAATTGTGATGTACTACTACTTTTTGCTTTAGATAAAGCATTCATTCCAGACTGGTATTTACCAGTTTTTGTAGTAGCACCAGAGGCTCCTTGGCTGGTGTTTCCTTGTTTATCACTTGTTTCTGACCTTATCTTGCTTGAGCTAGCAGGTTCGGAAGACGCTCCATCTCTTAGAATGGCTGAATCTGATAAGCTGGCATCAATTTTATTATCTTGACTATCTTCTTCTTCATCCATTGAAATTCGCAAAGTCAAACCATGACCCATGGCCTCTGATTTTCCAGATATACTTTCTCGATGCGTTCGATGTTCACGACCTTCTCTGTGATCTCTATCTCTATGGTCTCTATGATCTCGATATTCTCGATATTCCCTTGACTCTCTATGTTCTCTATGTTCTCGATGTTCACGGTATTCCCTAAAATTCATTTATAAAGATAAATTAATGTCAAATAATTTAAAAAGAAATTTAAGAGTACATACCCTTGAGTTCGACTCATTCGAGGTCGAGAGGAAATATTAGAAAAGGCACTATTTTCGCTTGCTTTAGAGCTTGACTCAGATTCATCTTCACTTGCGACATTTCCTGGTTTAACTTTAATAGATCCACGTTCTTTACGATGTCTTACTCCAGTTCCAGCCAGGTTATCATTGCCCGGTGCATCTAATTCAGTTCGCCCAGAAGTGTGCTTTTGTCTGCTATCTCGTCTTTCAACTGGTGCTTTTTCTCCGGCATAAGCATCAGATGATTGATTTATTTCGGATCCTCGTCGATTGCGACCACGACTTGAGGTTGAGCTTCGATGTGGATGGGCATAGAAGAGTCTATCATATTGTGGTCTATTGACGATCTCACTGTCGGAATACATTCCGCCCGAGGTTAAGGCTTCGGTAGAACGACGTTGATGAAGCGATGTTTTGTACTGTTTCGATCGACCGGCTAAACTGATCTCTGGTTGTAAAGGATATCCTGATGAGCCAATGGCTGAATCATATCCTTGAGCTTCCTGAGCAACAATATCACGATCACGACTCGCTCGGCGAAGGAATGGAACTGCAGGAAGGCGACGTTTTTTAATCTGAAATGGAGATCCAGTTGGTGTTGTTGGAATGGGCTTTGAACCGCGATAGTACCCTTCATCAATGGAAGGCGAAGCAAAACGAAGTGATGGCGGTGACAATGAGCGAGAAGGTTGACTTGAGCTTTTACGAAATTTGGGCTTCATTCGGTCGAGTAGATGAATGGAACTACTTGGAAGGGACGTGGATGCTTGGAATGGATGAGCGGCACTCAACAGTGGACCACGGTTAAAGTCACCAAGAGCCTTTGTTTGAAAGGCACGACGATATGCTTGGCCTTGATAACCAATCGATTTGTTGGCTGATCGACGAAGCTGACTGGAAGCATTTCCAGCTTCAGCACCACTTGCTACACCACCAGTCTCATCAAGAACTAAAGGTGGACTGGCTGTACTTCCGAAAGAGCTCTGACTAGTTTCCGCCAATAGTCCATGCCAAGATTCTGATGTTAAACACAAAATCAAATCAAAATTAATCTGAAATCAAATTAACTTTTCACTGTAAACTTACCTCTGGAAGCATTTATATCAATTTCTGAATCATAATCATATAAATCTAATTCAGAGGTATCACTATCTGAAAGCCTTGATGACGGAGAAGGTGGGGAAAACTGATCAGATGGAAGAAGGTAAAGTTTCTGTTGGATTCTCTGTTGGCAATGAAAAATTACAATTAATTAGCGATTAATTAAAGTAACAAAAAGTTTATTTAAAAATGAACAAACCAGTTGAGCAATCGTTTCTTCATGAGTTTCAAGAAGATACCATTCAGGTTCATCATCAAGGGGAGCGGTTGCAAGTTCAATTATAACTTCACCGAGAAATTCGTTGCCTGCATACCGATCATGATCCCATATCATGATTTCAAGAGCTTTTGTTTTAAGGTCAGATCTTCTTAACGGCGAATAAACAAAACTCTTGTCCCAGCGAGGTTCATTAGTACCAGGAATTGCACGCGTTCGACGTTTGCTTCGTTCTCTGTCAATAGAAATTTGAATGTTAAACAAAATGAATGTTTTAATATTTTGTTGACTTACCTTCGTTCTGGAAGTAAAGCTATTTTACAGAAAGCAGTTCTCGGTGAACCATTGCTTCGAGGAGGAAGCTCAACAGCACTAATGATTGTAATCATTAATTGTAATGACTGAATATCGTACCATAGCTTGACCTGTTGGACAAATAGTCATTTACTGTTAGCTCGCAAGTTTTAGTGATTTTTTGGTCAACTTACTTGTAAACGACCGCTTATGGTCGAAGAACGACTTATTCGTGTTCGAGGTTGAATTATTTCAGCTCCGAGACTTGTTTGTCTCAACATTAGTTCTGAAATTGAATGAATAAACATTTTATTGTGAACAACTAAATCAGATTAAATCAATAGAAGAGTTTTGAAGTTTTAAAAAAGTCAATACTTACGTTGTTTGTCATAATGAGGATCAATTGGTAAATCAACATCAGTAAAACGTCTGGAGATTCGAGATCTTGGTTCAAAAGTTGATCTTGAAGGTTCACTTTGGTAAACAGTAGCTGGTAGTCCGGCTGGTCGTCGGATTGGTCGGGAAACAATTAATTCAACTTGTGGTTCTTGTTTAGATTCAGCAATAATATCATAAACTTCTTCATAGGTTTTATGGCGAAGAGATCGTCCATTCCATTCGAGTACTTCATCCCCAGCTCGCAATCGACCAACAGTGTCTGCAATTGAACCTTTTTTAACCTTTTCAATGATGGCACCAACAGTTCCTGCTTCAGTTATTCTTCCACCAATAACTTTGAGACCTAAAATAGCAGCACTGGATCCAGAGCCAGGTTCATCAGAGAGATTCTTTTTCAATATCATGTGTCCAATCAATCTTTTACCATCATGAGACGGTTTCCAAGTTATTGGATGCTAAAGAAAACAATGGTAAAAAAGATGATCAATATTGCTGTGTGTTCGAGAACTCGAATATAAGTGGTAATTAAAAGTTTAAGACTATTAATAATGGAAAGTTAACAAGTTGTAAGTGATTGTATTGCAAACAGTGAAAATTGTTGCTAAAAAGACTCAATCAACACATTTGCAACATTTTTGCACAAATTGACTCAGACACTGCAAGACAAACGGTCAAAAACGGGTAAAAATGAGTTTCATGCAAATTAAAACCATGTTAGTTTGTAGGGAAATGAAAACTGAGTCCGTTTGTGCGATTCAAAAGTTTCTCCGGCTCACAATTTTTGAGAAAATCGAGTTCGAAGTTGAAACTTCAATCGCTTTTTCTACAGTTGGGCGACCAGGTTTCTTCATGAAATTCATTTTGCATTTTTAAATTTTGATAGTCAACCACAAAATGCCCTTATTTCATCAAATAAAATTTTCTGTTCGAAATAAAAGCGATAAGTTCGATTTTTAATTAAACCGACCCCATTCTTCGACCGAAGAATTTAAGAAGCTGAAACTTATTATTAGTACATAAAAACTGTGTGGTCACATCGACGAATGAATATTTTTTTCAAATTATCAATAGTTCTTTCGATTTTGGCCATTGACCTAAAAACTTTGAACTTCGATATTTCGAGAAGGACAGCACTCACAATCATCATTGTTTTATCAATCAGTAGATTTTCTTATGGACTATGATATGTACAAACTTTAATCAATTCAAGGAGTTACAAAAAGAGTTATAACATTGTATTATTTGGGTTGTCAGATTTGATATTTGATAACAAAATAAACTGGTTACTTATGATGTGGTAGAAAAACATTGATCTTTAAAGGAATTGGCTCAGATTTCTTACGTTTTCAGTTGTATTATGTTATAGACAATTACAAAATCTAGTGATTGTTCAAACAATGATTATTGTGAGGGCTGCCGTTCTCGAAATATCGAGGCTCAAACTTTTTAGGTCAATGGCCGAAATCGAAAGAACTATTGATAACTTTAAAAAAATATTCATTCGTCGATGTGACCACACAGTTTTTATGTACTAATAATAAGTTTCAGCTTCTTAACTAGTTCGGTCGAAGAATGGGGTCGGTTTAATTAAAAATCGAACTTAGCGCTTTTATTTCGAACAGAAAATTTTATTTAATGAAATAAGGGCATTTTGTGGTTGACTATTGAAAGTTAAATATCCAAAATGAATTTCACGAAAAAATCGAATCACACAACTGTATAAAAAGCGATTGAAGTTTCAACTTCGAACTCGATTTTCTCGAAAAATGTGGACTATAGAAACTTTTGAATCGCCATAACGGACTCAGTTTTCATTTCTCTACAAACTAACATGGTTTTAATTTGCATGAAACTCATTTTTATCCGTTTTTGCCCATTTTTATTTCAATGTTTGAGTCAATTTGTGTAAAAGTGATGCAAATGTGTTGATTGTGTCTTTTTAGTTGCAAACTTTTCAATGTAACTTTAAAGAGATGTATTTAATGAATGCTTACCGCTAGAAACTTTTTGATCTTAGCATCCAATATTTCTTCACGCTTAAGGTTTCTTTGGCACTTTGCGAGATCACCATGGAAGCCTTCAAAGTCAGTTTCTTCGGTTGGAAAATCTGGTGTTGTTCGGAAATCTTCGTCAGAAGAGCTCAAAGAAAATTGGTATTGAAGTTTTTTACATTTACTTCGGGTTCGATGGTGTTGAGTATATCGGATAAGTGGTGAAGATGCTGGAGGTTGATTTGTTTGTTGTCGGTAATGAGGATGATGTGGATGACGATGACTAGTAGGAGATGATCCAGGTCCAATTGGTGAGCTTGATTGGTCAGATGAGAGAGAATCGTTGCGTAGAGTTTCAAAAGCACTTCTATGATGACTGTGGTGGTGAACTGGAACACCTGGCGGTAAACCAAGGTTTCTTTCAATTAGGTCACTTTCACCGGATACCGGGTAAGTTAAAGAAGAGCCTCGAAGAAGAGGTTGACGATGGCGATAAGGAAGAGCAGGTCCAAGAACATTGGTAGCAGCTGAAGATGGTTGAGGTACATTAGGAAGAAGTGGAGCTGATGAGTGCAGATTATGACGCTGGTGTAGATGGTGAATGTGCGAAGTGGATGAGGAATAGAGAAGAGGTGGAAGTGAATGATGATGAATCATTGGTAGTTGATGGTGTCGTCCCTCTCCTCCCGGGATTAGATTTGAATTTGGTGATGAGTAAGGATTCGATGTTAAAAATACTCGTGATGGCTCCGATGTTCCAGGATTATTAGGCACTGTGTTTGCTGCTATTGAAGCTGAGGCTGATGAATTGGCCAAAATTTGTTTACCCGTGAAAGGTACAGCTGGAAGTTGTTTGTGATGTCGTTGTTGGTATCCACTTCCACCAGACCCCTCACTATCTCCACTTGGCCTGACTTCACTTCCATGTAACATTCCCTCACCTGGCACAACATTACTAGCAACATTCCAAGGGTCATTGGTTAAAGGCTGACCCATTCCTGGTCGAGAGAGAGGATCACTTCCTGATGCTGATGAGGGTACCATTTGATTAGAGAGACGTCGAGTTGAACCCGATTGGTCTAAATCAGATGGTGGTGGTACCATTTTAATGGCTTCCGTTGAAGGTTGTCCAGACGAATCAGTGTGGCTAATATTCTGACTGGGATTGTGGTGTTGTAGCAACATTTGTTGTTGATGTTCATAGGAATGGTCAACAGAAGGTCTTGATCTGAATTTGGATAGATCAGGCATCAATCTACTGGTAAAAGCACTAAATGCACCAAAACCCCCAAACGATCGAGGAGGAGGTTTATTGGAGGTAGTTGGGATTTGAGGTAAAACACGTTCAGTTGTTTCAGGTCCATTGCCAGATGCCCGTTGATACCATGATCGACCAAACAAGTCTCCACCAACAGCACCGAGACTACTTTCAAATCCATAACCAAATCGACTATCTGGACGGTTAGCTTTACTTCCAGGGGTATCATGAGAGTATTGGCGTCGCAAGTCACGGAACACTGAGGGTCGTATTGGTAAACCAAGCGAACCCCTTCGCTCTCTTGAGTAAGGCTGATCATGATAGTCAAAGAAGGATCTAAAATGAATCAAACATTAGTAAAATAAAAGATCAGACATTTTAATGATAACAAAAGTGTTATTAAATCCAATGGACTCTTACCCCTCTAATAATCCCATTTCTGCCTCCAATTCCCGTAAGCGAACTGCCATTTTACTATGAATCCAATCTCCAGTTTTTATTAAAATTTCTTGCCTCTTTCTGCATAATATACATACCCAGAGAGACTGAGAATAGATACAAATATTGAATTAGAAAGCAAAATAACAGTTAGACGATCAAAACGGTTGATAAAGTTAGAGGAAACAATTAAATCGTCTTGTCGGGTAAATTTTGAATAGACCTGAAATACTTTTATCCGTTTACTTACCTTACAAGATCTAAGATTAACTTTGCCACCACATCGGGCACAAACCCGTACACCACAATAGACACATGTGTGTCCAATACCATCAGCGAATTTTGTTTTAAGGCAAATTTGACAAGTTGCATCCAATTCAAAGCCCAGTTTGAGTTGTTCCTCATTTCGCTTACGAATTGCATTTTCAAGCATGGCGACTTCATCCTGTTGTTTTCTGGAAACATTAATTGAAGGAGGATCAACAATGAAAATAAAAGGAAATAAGTTATTCCAATGAATTATTACAATAACCCAACAAACAAATACAGTATACCTGTGCATATAAATATAATAATGAATATAAATATAAGCTTAAACAAGCAGGTAAAACAAATGAGGCCAAGTGAATCAAGAAACAATAAAAATCAAGCATGAACATAGGAAATGGATGAGTTAAAACAAAACAAAAATGCATAATTTTGGCCTTTCTATAACAAAGGGTAAGCCATGCATACATATGACTGAATCAAACTGAATCAACTTTCAATCATCATAAAGTTTGTCATTTAAATTTCATTCCTTTTCAATCGACTGTTTACCAATACAAATTTACTAATAGCTGCAATTTAATGTTCGATATTTATAAATAAGTGTTTAATTGAGATGAAAATGGATAAAAAGAGAAACTGTTTGACATCATTAATTAAAATGCCATAAACATATCAACATCTATGAAGTTTATTGCCAATACAAAGCTAATTTCCCTTCTCACTGGTAAGTCATACAAATGTTATTGTGAATAATTAATGTGATCTTATCAAAGTCCATCATATTGGCATCTCTGAAACATTTTATCACTTTGGTCATTTGGAATGGACAGAAAGAGAACGAAGACTGATGTCTATTTTTAAGCATCTTCAAGATGTCCTAAAATAACCAGTGCTCTGACCAAACCTCATCAAACGACATTATTTTACATATTTTGATATTTTGGTGGAATCCCTGAAAACTCTTGGAGGCAATTCAATGGGAATATCATTGAAACACTTTTCAATCTTTTAGGTTGTGAAGATGATTGACCCTGTTTGGCTTTGGTGAAACCTAGACTGGTCATCTGTATCCTCTTGAGGATGTTGAAACTCTTGAATTTAATTTTTTAATTTGTTTTTGTTTTTGTTTAAATTTAATGTATTGCTAGTCGGGTGGACTTGGAGGCACTCAGCCATCTTGACTCAGACTCAGTGTTATGGGATGGAAATAAATATACATTATCAATGAAATGAATACAAACCAATTGATGGTTGTTGAGACTTACAATCAAGGTGGTGAAATAGATTCCTTTTGATCTCATTGTTCAACCATGTCAAAATGAATAAGAAGAGAGGTGAATGATCAATGTTTTGAATTATCATCTAATAATAGATTTATCTATTTAAAAGTGTGATCACGTAACCTCATAGATGAATATGGTAACTTAATGAACAACGTTAACTACACCAGCTTTTTGTTAACATATAAACCTGGTTTAGTCCAATTGCTAACTAATTTTCAATCACTGTTTTGTAATTATAGATAGTAATAAATCAACAATAATTTCCTATTCCAGCCAAATTTTGCACTCTATTTACGGCCATGTATTTACATACAAAATTGGGCTTTATTAATAATGTAAATCTGGCAAGATGACCTTTCATCATTGTTGTTGATAAAATGAACTCAGGTTAAGAGTAGATTAACCTTAGAGGAGACTTTCATTAGGCTAAATCACGACAAGTTTAAGGTGATCTAAAATTGAAATTAAAATTGGACAATTGCTAAAATAACTGAATGAATAACAATTATAAAATCAACCAACAACAAGAACAATGTAAACATAGATCTTCATATTCAGGTCTAGCTAGAAACCAGCCATTAAACACACATTGAGATACATCTATCATTCATTGTAATTAGACATTTTATATTTAATTAATCAGAGATGATTAAGATTAAATATGAATGCAAGGTTTGATATTAACAGGCAGGGAAAGCATTTACATTGAGTGTATGGCTCTTGATTAACAGTGCAAGGTAAGGTTAAAAGGTAAAGAAAAATGGGAAAATATTTGGATTGATTTATACATTAAAAAGATTTGGGAATTATCAAAGGATGATAGTCAGGTAAATGATTTGGTTTGAAGGGAAAAATGGGTTAAAATTAATGATAAAAGGAAAATATTGTGATGTGATGAAAAAGTGGAACAATGATATTTTAAAAGGAGTACAATGGATGTATTTATAAAAATAGGAGATTCTGAATGTTGGAGTTAAATATAAGGACTTACTTGAGGATTTCAGCTTCTTTAGCTTCTTCCTCTCGCTGTCTTATAATTACGGACTCAATTATTTTCCTTTCTTCTTCAGTAAGGTGACTTAAATCAGGAAAGGATGAGTCCATATCAATCCTCCCTGGCTGGAATGGAAAACACTAATTATTATGAAGATTTCAGTGATGATTGGTGAAATATGAAGAGTGATAGAGATGTTGGTGATGGTGATGGTGATGATAATAAATAACAATAATGATAATAATACATTAATATTGATGATGGTGTATACATTGAACTAGATTATTATAATGGTAACAATAAAAAAGGTTAAGGAAAGGTTTACATGAGATGGACTTGCTTTTAATTGTGATTAAAATGAACATTGCAATGTTACAAGAAAAACAAAAATTATTTTAAGAGTAAAAGTGTAATAGGAAAGAGAGGGAGAAAGATATTATATTCATTCCCAGTTCTGAATAAGCAGGGAAACAAGAGCATGCTCATGGAAACAGCTTTACTCCCATGCAACTTCGAAAAATAAATGTTAATCTCATTTCAGCATTTTCTTCCTATTTTTCTTTCTCTTTCTTTCCTTCTTTCTCTCCTTCTTCTTCCTTTATTTTCTGGTTCATCATGTCAAATCATCTAATTTGCTTAGATTGATGCAATTGAAGAAACATTTACGTTATTATACAGATAAATGCAATGGCGAAATTGCAATTTAATGTCAACAGTTATCATCAAAATTACATTGTATCTTGAAATTGAAAAATATGAGCAAAAGCAAATTACAAAAAAACATGTTTCTTAGGCAAGTTGATTATAAAATTGAATTAATTATTGTATACAATATGAAAATAGAAAAAAAAATTGTTTCCGAATTTTGTGGATTGGGATTGCATAGACAATTTGATGATGACTAAAAATGATCAAGGAGAACTGTGAGATAATTTTTGTCCATGTTACTGGCTGATATCCATTCGTTGGTTCCAAAATTGATGTTTTGCCATTCAGTTGGTTTACCTGAAAAAATAGATGAAATTTTTATTATAAAGAGCTTTTTTTATTTGTTATAGCTAATTATATTGTAAATTACCGTTTGGAGTGTCACTTAATTTCAGTGAAAATGTAGCTGTTTCGGGATTTAATGATGTACAATGAGGTAACCTCAATTCAACTGGCACGTTAAATTTGATTCCATGAGGTCCACACATGACTATGGGACTTAATAGAGTTTCATCTGTAAATAGGAAAGAACAGAGGAAAGGGGTTAATGAAACAAAGAAATTTAACATGATTCGACAAAAGATGATTGATCTATTATAAATTACCTTTATCTTTATCGAGAGGTGGAAGCATATTTGTATCATGGCAAACTTTGAAATATAACTCTTGTTGAACATTCATAGGGATTGCTCCTTCAGGAATGATTAAGGTAACTCCGGTTTCATCACAGTGTAGGGTTCCTCCTTTATGGTCAAATATTCCTTTGGCAATGGCTAATACATGTTGATTACTGTCAACGGACAAAGATGGGCTTGCTCTGGAGAAGTCAAGAATAAAATAAAAGCTGGTTAGAAAAATGACTAAAAATTGATTCCAATTAGATAGGAATTAATGCACAGATGATCAGCATGGATACATAGGACGGGAAAGGATATGAGTGTAGTGATAAAAACAACCCGCCACCAAAAAGATCTTGTAATACAAGCACCAAAACTTTAATCCAAATTTATTGTTAATAGGAATTGAATTAGAAATCGATTGAGAGTTAAGAGTTAGAAGAATGAGTTGAGAATGAGATTTTAAAGGTTAAAAACGAGGAAAGATTGCATGTCAACTTACGTATAGGATTAAAATTTGGCATTTTTCAGTAACAATAACATTGAATATTTATTCAAATTATCCATCGTAGTTGATTAATGAAATAACAATAAGAATAACAAATTTAAATATAATAAAAAATTATAAAGGACCAATAATACAACAACATAAGATCGAGATTTGAGATCGTTAATTGGTTATTCCCACAGATTTTTTAGTGAGTTTAGCCAATATTCAAGTTCGTAACATGAGAGTTTCAAGTTTTAAATAATTCCCGAGTAAAATTTGATTTCACGAATAGCAATTGATTGAAGTATAAATTTCAAAGAATCATAAAAATTCTGGATTATGGTTTAAAATTGCTGACGTTGAAATGACTATATCACAGCTGATGATAAAAATTGATATTTTTGGGAATAATTTTGGAGGTTAACAAAACATTTTTGCTGATTAACCGAAGAGTTATTTAATAATTTCATTTACATTTTAAGTATTCAAATATGCTGATTATGCAATCAAAATCATCAAGTTATAATTAAAATTGAAAGGATGGCAAAAGAATGGATTAAAATTTAAAAAAGTAAAAAACATTCTAACAAATTACCAGTTGGTGGCAAATTGTTAATATTAAAAATTAAGGTGAAAAGATTGGATTGTTGTACAAGCGACAAATAAAGAGTTAAAAAGTAGCTGAGCAAGTGGCTAAGCAAATAGTTTAAAAAAAGGACTTTATACAGTGCTCGATGCTAACATTAAAAAATTCAATCTGGATGATAAGACACCAAGATTAAAAAACGATTTCTTGGTGAATAGTAAAGTGATAAATATTGTATTATTGATACCCTTAATACAATATGTTGCGTTTGTAAGTATTACTAATACTAACATTTCATGTATTATTAATTGTTAGCAAATGATTATAAAATCAGATTAATTGAAAATGGCTTACGTCAATCCAACTAAAACTAGATTAAGTGAGCATTTAAGCAAAAATGTAAGCTGAGCACTGCATAATCAATTGACAAGTCGTCCAACTATTGTTGTCTTAAGTTAATGCACAACATAGAGTATTGCTTACTTTACTTCATGGTCAGGTATTAAAGGTGGAGGAGAAGGTAAACTATGGAGAGGATAACCAGTTCGATTTAAAGAGTCTCCAGGTTTTCGGTACAATTCGAAGGCACTTCCTCGATTTTCACGATTAGAGGAAAGGTCAATAAGGCTTGAGGGAGTTTGAACTTGTTGAGGGGTTGAAGGTAGTCCAGAATTTACATTATTAATTTGCCCGTTTCCAGAACAGGCAATCGAGTCACGATTTCTTGGGGGAAAGGGAATATTTAAATAGGCATTGTTTCCATTAAACATTGACGATGAACGGGAAGATTTATTTGCAGAATAAGGTGATCTAAGGTCATAATTGTTTTTGCCAGTCATATAGCCACTATCAGTATTTGAACATGGAGCCCTGTAAATTGAATCAGAAAAAAATATATTAGATTGAAATCAAACTTAAATTGAGAAGAGGATCATTGAATGCTGACTCTTTCACTACTTCATCTCACATACAATGTAAAGAGAGCATTGGATTTAGTTCAACTAACTTGTAACCTCGTAAGTAACCTGGTAATTCAGGTTTGCATTAAGTCTATTAATTTCAAGTTGATAGCCTGATTCCTGATTAACAGCTAATCTGAATAAAAAGCTGAATGCTAAATAGTCTACATTGTTAATATAAGATAAAAGTATCGAATATAATCTATAGTCTAACTAATGACACTTTCGTCCCAACAAACCTTCTTGTAGGTGAACTTAAAGATGAATGATTTACATAAGAAGCAGTTGGCACTTCGGGAGCTCGCGTGTTTGGAGGTTGGTCCTGTGTGGGTGGAAAGTAAGCGGGAGGCCCACCAGACATATCTATCGCCGATGAGTTTGATCTTTTCAATAATTGAAATGAATTGTTGTTAATTTGATCTTTATCCGATTCCGGTCTCCAACCTGATCTAGTCTGCTGGTAATGCATTGGTTTTGGAGGAGGCACAGGTCTTCCATCATTCATCCGTCTATCAGATTTAAGTGAAAAGTTAATTAGATTTTTGTGAAAATTTAGAAATGCAAAATCATTTTGATTGTAACTTACAGTGTTTGATAATTGGATGGTTTAGGAGGAGGAGATGGAGGCGTTTGTCTATAATTATCTCCTGGATATGTGTTACCAATTAAATTTGGTATGACTTTCATGGAATCAGGATCCATTGATTTGGGTGAACCATTAACTTGTTGTTTAGGATTACGAGCATACATGTAAGTATCATGATTTTGTCTTGGATTAGTGTTTAAAGTTGAATTGGCTGAAGCGATAGAACCATATCTTCTATCATCGAAAGTACTGGTAGGACTAATATATTTGTAAGAATCACTGCTGTACGATGAGTTATCAATCAAACTACTTCGACCATTGACCAAGGCTGAATGCCTGTCCAAGGAGCTATTTTTGGTTCCACCATTAGTTGGAGGAAACGTTTCGGCAATTGTGGTATTGATATAATCTGGAGGATTATTAGCATCACGATCAGAGATTCCAAATAATGCTTCATGAGCATTTCGGAAACGATTAGGTTTATTGGCACGGTCAATTCGTGGAGGGGGCTCATGACCATTTGTGGCAGGATGGCCAGACGTTCGCATATAAATTGGTTGAATATCAGCCATAATGGTGTTACCGTTGGAAACTGGGACGCTACTGTTTGGATACCTTTCATTGGGATATAATGCATTGTAAGGATCTTTCATGCTGGCAAAATACTCATCCCTTTCGAGGGCTTCTTTTTTCTTGCTGTAACCAGGTTGCTGCATGGATTGATTTAGATCCTAAACGAAAATTAAAAATACAATAATTTAATTAATCAGCAGTTCTTTTAGCTTGGTGGTTTCTTATAAATCAAATAAATGAATATCTTGAATAAATTGATTTACTTACTTGACGATGAGATCGTGAATTATATGGCGGGGGACCGAAAACATTGGGCTTTTCTACTGTTGCTATAGAACGGTCACTTGATGCTTTAGCTAATCTAGAAGGTCCACAAGCATCTTCTTTTCTTCCTTTTGATTCGTTGGCTAAATCAAGATCACTTTCAGGAGATGAAGCATAGCTTAACCGAGAAGTCATTGGTAACAAAAAGTCATCTGTAATAGTCTCTGGAGGCTTGGAATCACTAATCCAAATGTTGATTTGTTGCTGTTTTTCAATTGTTTCACGTAACTTTTTGTACCACATCTCAGCAGTTCCCAAGTTGATTACTGAGGTAAACAAATGACCATACATTTTTTCCAGTTTAACAGAAGATTCATACAATTTACGTGAACTTTTTTGACTTGGTTTAGCGTGTCGGGACCGCAATTCTTTCACAACTGACTTATTCTCTGCTCTCAAAAATATTACAATAGGCGAAAATTGTGCATAATTAAGACGATCTACGGCAGTAGGAGTGACATCAAGTAGAGCATGTTTTCCTTTTTCAATTATTTCCTTTATGGCACTCAATCGAACAATTCCAAGTGATTTCTGGCTTTTGCATTGACTATCTGGATCCTCGGTATCCTCCATTTGAGGTGAAGCATATTTATCAGGATAATCTTTCAACAATTTGTCTCTCGCTATATCCGAAAGAGCTCCAAACATTACAACAGGCCGAATAAAGCCTGGATGTTTGAGAGAAACCTTTTCATAAGCAGGGAACTTATATCCTTCAGATAAAATATCCTCCACTTTATCCAAAGATTTTGATCGGCGAGCACTTCTACGACGGAAAAATCCTACTCGAGACGAGCTACCTAAAGTGTCATCCTTTTTTCTGCTGTCATTAACCTGAGTAGCGGCAAATTCCTCTGCTCGGGTCTGGTTGGGAATGATTCCTTTCTGAACATCAGATTTACCATTTACACGAAAAGCCAGCCAAGAACCAACAACACCATTATGAAGAGTATCTATAACATGAAAAATTTCTCCTCGTTGAAAGTCAAATTCTCCTTTTGAGGAACCATCATACTTGAAATGGGTTCTCACGTAAAAAGAATCTCCCTTTTGAGTTGCAAGAATCTCTTCATACTCTTCTTTACAATATTGAACAATTAGGTCAACTTGATCTTGTACACTAAGCAGGAAAATCACAGCTTCTTCTTTCGTTAAACCTCGCATTTCCTTGGCATTGACTTTCAACAGTTTATCGCCCGTTTGAAGACCCTTTAAAGAGGCAGGACTACCAGGTTTAATGGCACAAACAAATATTCCAACTTGATTACCACCAGTTAATCTAATACCAACAAAACCTTCTTTCTTGAAAGATATTAAACGAGGTTCACTTGAAATGTTAGTTCGTCGCATATTCAAAGTTTCATCCTCTCCATAAGCTCCTTGTTTAGATCTGAACATTAAAGGTCTGGATGGGGTCATTTCATTGAGATCTCCATTATTATCACCTCCAGGATGAAAATTGTTCATCACAGGATTAACAGATGAATTAGGATCCAATTGAGTCAAAGATAAATCAGTAATAGGGCCTCGGTGTCGACCAGAGCTATTGTTCACTGGTGGCATTCGATTCATACTACCGTTTCTGTCCTCGGCAGGACTAGCTAACCTGCCGATACTCCAATCCGATCTTTGATTACTTATATCACCATTAAGTCCATTCTCTTTATAATTGTTAGGTATTGGACCATTGAAACGTCCATTATATTCAGAAGCATGATTGACATTGTTATTGTTGTTTTGTTCGCGTTTCAAAACCAAATTAAGTTTATCTTTACAAGAGTTTATCAATTTCTTTGCTTCTTTGAGAGTCAAATTTTCACAGCTTGTATTATTTATCTGAAATTGAAATAATATAAAACAGAGGTTAAATTGAATTTAAAGCATTCAAAGGTTAAAATGAAAGTTTTGAAATTGACTTACTTTCAATACCATGTCACCTTCGGCAATGTTACAATCCTTGTCAATTAAGCTACGATTTGAAATCTCCTTGATATATAATTGACATCCCAAAACTATCCCAAAATCTGCTCCAAATAATCATGAATAATTAAATGAATACAAAAAATAATTGATAAATTAAAGGTCAGTAGAAGTATGAAAGCCTGATTCACCGAACAAGCAATCTATTATAAAGCTATTAAAATTATCGCCTTAGAGGAACATGATAATAATAAAATGAGATCAGTTGTTCGTTGATAGTGAATGCTGTTAATTTGCATAAGTAATAGCGAAAAGAAAAAATGAAAAATTTTTGTTTACCATCTTTATTGTTATTTCTCGTTAACGTCACTTTGTGTAGATCATGGCCAGGCAGGACAGGCCGTCGTTTAATCAATAAATTGACTTTATTGCCACATTCTCGTAATACCTGAACAGCCGTGTTGTAATCACACTCTGGAGATACACCATTGACGCTGATAACTCTGTCAGACGGATTGTCAAACATTACTATTGGTAAAAAATGTGAACACAGGTTGAATAATGTTGAAACAATGAAAAAATTGGTAGCAAAAATTTGTCACAAAGCTAGCACAGTGTCATTTTAATTACATCCAAATGCAAGAGCATTGAGAAATGAGTTGAAGAAAAATTTTTTGAACATTTTTTCTGTTAAACATTTTCAAACAGAAAAAAGTAAAGAGTGAGAAAGGTAGAGAGATAGAGGGAGAGAGAAGGGGAAAGGGGAAGATAGAGAGAGAGACTGAGGCAAATAAATGTAGACACAGATGGAGTAAGGGAAGAAAAGAATGCAGAAAGAGGAAAAAGAGAGACGAAGAAGAAGCAACTATAAAAGCTAAGGCCAAGATCAACAAGTTGAGGCTTTGGCTTTGAGAATTCAAAAGTGAAGGTTTGTTGGAATGTTTTTAAGGACGAAGGATGAGAAGAAAGAAGAACATAAAGAAACCAGTCTGAGAAGAAAGAAAGAGAGACCGGATGCGAAAGAGAGTTTGGGAAATCTCAGAGAAAGAAGAAGATGAGAAGATGATGAGAAGAGGGTGAGAAGAAGAGGGTGAGAGGATGAAAAAAAGATGAAAATCCGGTCTAGTTATACGGACACAAGGCGTAACTAACAAGACTTTTAAATGAGTATCCAATCAAGACGATCTTTTTAAATTTTATCAATCATTGAAATAGAGCCACTGAACATCAACATGAAATGGAAAGATTTTCAAAGCAAATTCTGGAGCTGGTGCAGTTTGTGTGTCCTCCTAATTCAAGTATTTAATGTTGGTAGGAAAATACGGCAACAAAAATTAATAGAAATATCAGAATTAATAATTAATCAATTAAAATGATATGATCTTTTTTGTGATTGAATCAAACTGTGTTGAATTAACGCTCCTCCCTGAGTCCGTATAAATAAACTGTTGCCACTTTGACCACTGATTTTCATCAATGACAAAATTCATTTCGGAATATTTGATTTACAGATGAAAATCATCAACTTGTCAGATTTTGATCAAAGCCAATTATGATCCAATCCATTAATAATCAAATGCTGGCCCGTAGTATATAACTAATCATTTATGGGTGTTTATTTGTATAACTTAATTAAAATAAAACATGTTTAAATGTATTTTGATTTGCTGTACTCATAAATCGTTTCAATTGAAACATGATAGTTGAACATTGTTTTTCAATTGTTTCCCGTAACTTTTTTTATATAAAATCTCAGCTCAAGTAAACCAATACATAGACCTGTCATTTAGACTCGCTTTAAATAGCTATTTACACTAATTTCACATTTTGATCTCGAAGTTTAGCAAAAGTTATTCATTGTTCAACATAATTTGTAAGCTGAAAATCATTACGATTGACATAAATTTGTATTTCGTTTGAAGATCCATTGGTTTTGAACTAAAATCATTGAATCAACATAAAACGTCTAGGCTGGGATTTGGTGACTCTTAGGGCAGTAACAATAAAAAACTAAAAGAAAGGGAAAAAGATAGATGACGAATTTTCTATCATAGATTGCAGTTTAAAAACGCATCAACTGACTCTAATAAAAGTAACCAAATCCCAGGACCGTCTAGCCGGACTAGTTTGACAATACATTTGATGCCGAAAGAAACTGACTTTGTCTACACTTACCGACTCAATTTCGTTCATAATCAATATAGATAGAACAAAAAACTGATAAAAGATCCGATGCTAAAAAAAGAGGGAAAGAATAAAGGAAAAAGGAAAACAATCTTCGGCATTGGATAACCTGATTAATGAACTTTTTGAGTCAAAACTTTTCACACTACAGTAGTGTCATCCAGTAACCAACGTTGAAAATAGAACGTTGAATATGCCGAGAATCTGCGGGAAATTTAAAAAGTAAAACTACAAAAATGAACAAGAAATTAAAAAATGATAAAAAAGAACGATTCAATTGGTAGCCGAAAGAGGCTTCGGCCAAAACAAGTTGGGTAGGGTGTAAGAATGTGAAATTTTATGTATCACTTGTAAGTTTCATGAGTCGCCATAAAGAGTAAATTTTGAATAATTTCAATGATGATCAAGATGAAAAGAAGGAAAAGTTTCAACAAGAAAAGTTTACTTACAATAAAAAGAGTAATGTCAAAAAATTAGCTTACGAGCTAAGAGTCAGGACTTAATGGGTTAGTAGAGACTTTAAAACTGAATCCATCAGTGTTATTGAAAATTTAGTGTATAATATAAACGTCTAAATCTATAAACTTTACAATTTACAAAAGATCAAAAGTTTTCGAGGAAATCGAGGTCTTAATGGAAACTTTGATCATCTTCGATCATCGAATCAGTTGATTCAGTTGAATAATCAGCATTGATTTGAAATCGAAGCTATAAAGATAAGGATTAGTGCAAAATGCACGAACTTTTTGACACACCTAATGCATTGCTCACAGTATGTCAATGAATTCTAGGTACAGTGCGATTGGAAACATTAAAGACATCAAGATCGACTGAATAGATAAATGAATTGACAATACAAATTCACAGTTGATAATTGGAGGTGTTATAAAATGAAGAAAAGGCAAAGGAAATGATTAAAAATTAACCATAAAAATCATTCATTGATACTTGATTGTTGAGTTGAACACTGAAGATGAATAATCGAATAATTTTCAAGATGTTCTCTTTTCTGGTTTTTCTGTGGCTGAATTGTTCAATTATCAACTGCGGTAAGTAACCAATTGAATTAATTGAAATATTGTTTGATTGTTATTGATTGTACAACTTGTTTTTTATAATTCAAAGCATCTTTGGTGGGATCAAGAGCTACAGGTCACAGTGATACCAATAGACTTATTCATGCATCTTTAACGGATAAGGTTAGTTTAAGTGTAACTAGAATTGTATTTGATTAATAATCGATTTAACTATTTAATTAAGGACACTGGTCGCGTTTGGCAAATGCAAGAATGGGTTTACTCAGGAAGTCCAAGGGCTGGACGAATCGAAATAAAATCAGATGAAAATGAAGCAAATGTCTTCTATTCGTACTCAAACTCCGAAGACAACAAGAAACGTCTCGTTATTCATGGTAAGTCTCATTTATGTCAGATTTAAGGATTTATTGCTAACATTTGAGTTGCAAGTTGAAACTTTGTGGGTTTGTAAGAGCGCAAAAACTGAATACTAATAAAAATTGCATCAATCGACAGTTTTCGAGAAAATCGAAGTCTTGGATCTTTTTTTATTTATGGAACGAGATTTTTTGCATGAAACTAATCCCATTAATTCTCCTTTCAATGGTCAACAAGAAAATAAAAGCATTTTGAAAAAATGTATTTTATGTTTCTTCACAGATTAGTTCGATTTTCAGCTGAACCTTGCACTTTCTTTGACCGCAAGAGAGTTAGAGAGCTGAAACTGATTTTCCGTCGATAAAAACTGTTAGTAAACTTCAATGATTTAATGCTTTTTGCAATTTATAGACATTTCTCTCGATTTTGAACATTGGCCATAAACTTTGAGCCTCAATATTTCGATAATGGCAGTACCTACAATCATCTTTCTTCAACCAAACACTAGATTACATTATGGATTATAACATGTCGAATGCCTAAGAAAATCTGAGCTAATTCATTTAAAAATGAACATTCTTATAACACTCAGTTTTTATGCTCCTACAAATCAACAAGTCTCAAATCATAACTCAAATGTCCCAGTTTCGACACAAACACCTCTCATTCAGGTTCAATATTTAAATTTCCATGTACATGTATAATAATTGAGTTTTGTAAGTGTTTTAACAGGTTGGACTAAGATTAGGATTGCCTTGAATATTGAATCACAGTGACAATAGCCACAGAAGTGTTAGAGTTTGATTATATTAATACATAAAAACACCCACTGGAACTGATTGTTTTATAAGAATTAACTTTTATTTCTTTTTTACAAATGATTTGTCACGTCAAGAGGTGTTAATATTGATTGACTAGAATATGATACTGATTTATCGCATCACGAGATTCGATTATAAATGAATCTTAATAGTGATATGAGAGGATAAATGACAACTAATGAATTTTCACTAAAACATCAATTTATTTAGACAATGAATGTGATCTTTACAATTATGATCTCAAGTGGGACAACTTATTGCCTGGTGTAAATAAACCTTTAACTAATCTTATCCTGCTTTTGGGTCCATCGCTTTTTGACCGTTTCGATGGATTTGATTGGGTAATTAATAGAGACATTTATTTTGAATAATCAAGACATTTTAATGAAATGCAATTTACAGGCAAATGGTAACGATGAGGTTATCCGAGGTTCACTTATGCACAGCGTCTCAACCGATTTGGATGGCAAACTCAACATAACTTTATTTTATGAAAGTAAGTCAGCTGTAAGGAAATTTTCATTGCTTGATTATGTTATTGACGATATTAATATTCAATCATTAGATTATCGCGACCAAATATACGGAGTTAAACTTCCAAGTCAAATCGTATTCACTGGTCACAATCCCGATACTTTAGTTGAAGGAGAAGCTGAGACTCTCATCTTAGACATTTATTTACAATCGCAAACTCAACAAGAGTTTGATAAACTAGCTCAAGTAGGTTTATTATAAGGATAGTTTACTGAGCAGAAATTGAATATAAATTTTATTATTCTAAGGTTACACCAGGATTTGGTTGTCCAGTATACCTAAATGGAGATGTTGCCTTCCCTGAACTAAATACCCTCAAAATTCATTTTATAGCTTCTGATCAAACTAATAATAATAAACCAGTTGCACTAGAGGTAATTACCTACATTTACTTAAAATACTAGATCATATAACCTTCAAATTCAATGTATAAATGTTCATTATGCATCCAGATTCATACTGATGAAAATAAACAAATTTTACGGCACAAAGTGTTAGAAGCGGGTTACAATAGCGAAACGATCCTCGATTATTCACTTGGTGCATTTTATCAGACATCTACTTGCTATATTACTCCTATTGAGTCAAAGGATCCTGGTATTGATGAAAGTGGTTCATTATCAATAGCAAAACTACTTTGGTTACCAAAGACATTGAAATATCTTGGAGAGATAATATTTGTAAGTTTAACCATAAGTTCATCAACTAATGGCTGACTTGTTTATGAATAATGATACGTATTGTGTATTTACAGGAACACAGATCTGGTTATAAGGTTCACGTTTGGGAATCCACTGAGACCAATCGAATAATAAACGACAAAACATATGATAAAGTGGTTACAACCCAGTATATGAGTTCATCTGTAAGTTTAGTAAGACTGCAAATTATTTTTTTTACAAGTGACAAAGTATTTGATTCTTTACTTTATTTCAGTACAAAAATGATATGTTCAAAGGCTACAGTCTGGTTGCAGCTTCAATAAGAGGCTACAAAAAAGATTCAAAGGTAAGACTAGATGTGATGATTATTTAAAATTTAACACTAACTGTTGAATATTGCAGGGTTCATATGTTTTATCATATTCAAGGCATCGAGATTATTATGATTCTAATAGTGATTTACCTGAGTCGGAATATCATGAAGCTCTTCAAGTCGAAGACTGCTTCAAAAAACCAGATGAAAGATTGAATTTAAAGTTTCATTTAACATGTAAAGGTAATGTTAACGGCCAAAGTTGTTTTTAATTACTCAAATTAATATTCATTTACAACACATTAGATTCTGAAGGATGCATTCAAAAGTCACAAGATTCAGTTTATGAAATGAAAGAACTATTTCGATCAAGTTTACTTGGACAACTAGGAATATCATCAACTCGAGTTGCTAATATCGACTTTAAGTTTCAGAAAGAAGTGATTGAAGCTGAAGTTACTTTTCTCGAAGCTCCGAACATTAAAGGTAAGTCGATCAGTATTAAATGATTTCTGTATTTATTCTTGTAGAATCCTAAACTCTGAACCTCATAACCTCAGAATCAGTTATTCAGATTGATTTTTTCTCTTATTTTCATAAATCAAAGATGTTCTACAATCGGATGTTTACACGTTGCAACCGCAATCCATCAGCAAATTACACGAGACTGTTGCTGATAGCAAAGAGAAATGTCTTCGATATCATTCATCATTCGTTCCTTCTGGAGCGTAAGTTGAATTTATTGAGTGATGAATATTATTCTAATTCTGATTTCTTTCTGGTCTAAGTGCGATTGTCTATTGTTCTTCTGGGAAGCAATGTTTTAGTACTGCGAATGCGAAAGAGATAAAGCAAGAGTCCAAAGGAATTTCGTGTAGTGTATACACCGATCCATACAAAAGACTTAATAGATTGGGCCGAGAAAAGCCTTTATCAGATTTACATGATCATATTCTTGGTTACTTTGGACACATCACTTTTAATATGAATCTTGGTGAAGAAGGTATTTTTGTTCGCTATTTATACTAATTTAGGGCGACATTCAAACAGATCGCATTTAAACTGATCTCTTAAATTAACATTTATTTAACAGCCAAGGGTGTTGCTTTTCAAGTAACAGATGTCGTCGCTCAAATCGAAGCTGCTGAACAACGGAAAAGACCATTCCTTTCGTTGTACCATTTTAGTCGATTCGATGAAATAGATGGTGTTCATACTGTCGTGGTTCCTGGAGTCGACCGTTTTGGCGATTGTTATCGTGCATGCTCTCAGAATGAAGATATACCTTGTGAAACTTTTTCGTTTTGTAACCGAAAAGATAAGAAGGAATGTGTTGTATCGATTTGGTTGGGATCGCAGATAGAAAACAATACGACAAGAGATTCAGATTGTGAAATTTATTCAAAGGACCAATTGTCTGACTTTAGTGTTCGACGTAATTTGAAATACAAGAACCCAACTACAGTGTCTAAACAAAGTTATATTGATGATTGTGCTTCGGAATGTTATGCTTCAAAAGACTGTGTTTCATTTCAATATTGTAGAGGTCAAAAGTGTTTGTTTGGTGGTTATGTCACATCAGAAAATACAGAATTTTATGAAGACTGTGACATTTATGTTCGTAAGTACTAATTGCAGCAAATCATATTTATTGATGAAAATGCAAAAACTTTATTGAACCTTTTTTTCGCTTTTTTCTTTAAGCAAAAAGATCAGAAAAATACAAAGTAACTGGCATGAAGCTTGTGAGTCAAGTCTTATACACAGAAGTTGATTTAGATTTGGATCAATGTGCAGCTCTTTGTGATGATGATCAATCATGTAAATCATTCAACTTCTGTCCTAAAGGGAAAGCACCCGCTCAATGTCAAATAACTTCATATTCAACTAAAGATCCCAAGACGGAATCAGTGGAATCATCCATTTGTCATAACTTTGAATCAACTGTTAAATCAAAAGCAGACGCAATTTCAGATAATAGTCCTGATGTTAAAGTATCTGGAGTCAGTGGTGGAGGAGTTTTCGGTATTATCATGTTATTCCTATTTATTGGTCTTTTCGCTGGTTACGTTGGTCCTTATGTTTACACTAAAGTAAAATCAGCAGACTTGAATAGATCTAAAGATTATGCTGAATGGTCGAAGCATGAAAATGATGACGATGATCAAACCGAAATATAAAATTTTCAATTTTTATTAACATTGTATTTATAATTATCTTGATATTAAATTTATTTATATTTAAAAATGTAGTCATTTTGATTTTGGCTATTATTTGAGATTGTTTAATATTAATTTCTTGTTCAAGTTTATGAGGATTTACATTGTATTTAGAAGTCACATTAATTTATATGTCAGGTAAAATCAGGAGTTTCCGACCATATTGTTAATGATTGACTCAAATGATTAATTGAATGATTAGTCAAATACATTCAATTTTTTCGATTTTTTTTAGATTATTGAATCAATATTTGGATTTTAACTTGCAATCAATTTAATTGCTGAAAACTTTTTTAACACAATTAAATTACGATTAAAGTTATAATCTTTTGAAATTTTTAATCTTCAAATTGAATTGATTAAAAGTGATCAACGATTCAGAATAAAAAAACAGACATCGATCAAAAACTTGAATTCGGTAAAATCAATGATCGGATCATTACAATGATTCGATTATTTTAGGATAATAATAATGGAAAATCTGATTCTGAGCGATATGCAAAATGAAAGATTGAACTTTGAAGGCGATTTTATCAAAGACTTTCTTTAAGTGTAAGAAATTTTCATTTGAGTTGAGAGTTGAGCTTTTGTTGATATTAAAGCCATAAATTGATTCAATTTTTCAATCAAAAAGTTGCTCTAATGGACAATCATTGACGAAATTGGGTTCAAAGTTGAAATTCTGGTCTTTTTTGTACAGTTGAGATACCAGACTTTTACCAAACTCTTTACTTGAAAGACAGCTTTACGTGTACAAACATCAACCTGAATAACCAGAACCAACACAATGTTTCAAAATACAGATTCTGCATTGTTTCCTGCTACCTATTTAATTATACCGATTAATTTCGGTATTTTGTTATCAAAATGATAAACAAAAAGTCTACAACACCGGGGGTTCCCAAGTGGTCTCCCTCCCAAGTACTAACCCGGCCCGAAGCTGCTTAACTTCGGAGATCGGACGGGATCCGGTGTTTTCAGTCTGGTATGGTCGTAGACACTAGAAAGGTTCAATTTTGCCATATAAACATGAAGACTTATTTCAACTGCCAATTTCTAATTTCTTTTCTTCAAGCTCTAATTTCAAATCCTAGCAAAAAATATACATAGAAAACTTTTCAATCAAGTGCCTCGAGTGAACGAATTTCTAGGTTGACTTAGTAGGTATGGGCATAAAAACTGAGTCCATTAAAAAGTGTTATTCTAGTAATATTTTAATATAATGATAGATGACGAACAGCAACTCAATGCACTCTGGTTACAGCACGACTTTAAACCTTATAAACAATAAGATTGACTGAATAGATAAATGAATTGATAATACAAATTCACAGTTGATAATTGGAGGTGTTATAAAATGAAGAAAAGGCAAAAGAAATGATTAAAGAGCAACCATCAAAATCATTCATTGATACTTAATTGTTGAGTTGATGAGTTACACTAAAGATGAATAATCAAATATTTTTAAAGATGTTCTTTTTTCTGGTTTTTCTGTTGTTAAATTGTTCAATTATCCACTGTAGTAAGTAATTGATTCAGTAATTTGAGTTATTGATTTCTTTTGATTATACAACTAGTTTTTTTTATAATTCAAAGCATCTTTGGTGGGATCAAGAGCTACGGGTCACAGTGATACCAATAGGATTATTCATGCATCGTTATCAGACAAGGTTAGTTTAATTGTAAATAAATTTATATTTGATTTATAATGTGTATTAACTATCAATTAAGAACACTGGCCGCGTTTGGCAAATCCAAGAATGGGTTTACTCAGGAAGTCCAAGGGCTGGACGAATCGAAATAAAATCAGATGAAAATGAAGCCAATGTCTTCTATTCGTACAAAAACTCAATGGATAACAAGAAACGTCTCGTTATTCACGGTAAGTCTTCAGTAAGTCGAAATCAATTTCAATTTTTGCGTTAATATTATATTATTAACGCAAGCAGTTTATGCTTAATAACTTGATTTTTGAAATGATACGCACAAACAAATTAGTCTTGTAACAGTTTTCCCAGATTAGACAGAGAGTAAGATTGCCTTGAATTTTAACTCACATTGACAATTGTATCTTGTTTGATGGGATATAAAAACACCCCCAGAGTTGATTATTGTACAAGGCTTTACTTATATTATTTTACATTCAACAAACAAGTGATCATCTTGAGGTGCTGAGTTCGATTAACTCGAGCACGAATAAACATCTGATAAAATTATGCATGAATTTTTAACGTAATTGATAGTGATATGAGCGGATAAATAACTGATTAATTTTCATTCAACTATTAATTTATTTAGACAATGAATGCGATCTTTACAATTATGATCTCAAGTGGGACAACTTATTGCCTGGTGTAAATAAACCTTTAACTAATCTTATCCTGCTTTTGGGTCCATCTGTCTTGGATCGTTTTAGTGGCTTTGATTGGGTAATTAATAGTTTTAAATATTTTGAATAATCAAGACACTTAAATGAAATTATTATTTCGAACGGGAAATGTCTTTGTCAGGCAAATGGTAACGATGAGATTATCCGAGGTTCACTTATGCACAGTGTCTCAACCGATTTAGATGGTAAACTCAACATAACTTTATTTTATGAAAGTAAGTCAGGTGTAAGGAAATTTTCATTGCTTGATTATGTTATTGACGATGTTAATATTGAATAATTAGATAACCTTAACCAAATGAATGGCATTCAACAGCCAAGTCAAATTGTATTCACTGGTCACAATCCTGATACTTTAGTTGAAGGAGAAGCTGAGACTCTCATCTTAGACATTTACTTACAATCACAGACCGAACAAAGATTGGATAAACTAGTTCAGGTAAGTTTATTATTTTGATAGTTTATTGAGCAGTTTGATATAAATTTTGTTATTCTAAGGTTACACCAGGATTTGGTTGTCCAGTATACCTAAATGGAGATCGGGCCTTCCCTGAACTCAATTCGGTCAAAATTCATTTCATAGCTGCTGAACAAGTTAATGGCCGTGACACAGGAGTGAATGAGGTAACTAGATTTATATTCTTACTATTTAAAACGGTTATGCTTGTTAATTGATTAACTGATTGCTTGTTAATTCAGTTTCATGCTGATGAAACTTATCAAGTTGTTCTACAGTCTCTACTAAAAAAAGGATACGGAGAGGAAAGACTTTACGATTATCCTCTTGCTGCTCTTTATCGTATATCAACTTATGGCTGCTATGCATCTCCGATTGATTCAAGTGCTCCTGGTATGGAAGAAAGTGGATCATTTTCAATAGCAAGTCTACTCTGGTTACCGAAGACATTGAAGTATCTGGGAGAGATAATATTTGTAAGTTTAACCATAAGATCATTTACTGAATAATTAACAATAATATCGATTGTGTTTAAACAGGAGCATAGATCAGGTTATAATGTTCATGTATGGGAATCCACCGAGACCAATAGAGTTATAAACGACAAAACATATGATAAAGTGGTTACAACACAGTATTTGAGTTCATCTGTAAGTTTAGTGTGACTTTCTTCCTGGTCCATTGAAATGAAATATCTTAATATTTCTTTCCTTTATTTCAGTACCAATATGATATTTTCAATCGCTACAGTCTTGTTGCAGCTTCAATAAAAGCTTACACAAAAGATGCAAAGGTAAGACTAGATGTGATGATTATTAAAAATATAATACTAATTGTTGAATATTGCAGGGTTCATATGTTTTATCATATTCAACTCATCGAGATTATTATGATTCCAATAGTGATTTACCTGAATCTGAATACCATGAAGCACTTCAAGTTGAAGACTGCTTCAAAAAACCAAATGAAAGATTGAATTTAAAGTTTTATTTAACATGCAAAGGTAATGTCAATGTTTAAAGTTATTTGTAGATTTACTATTAATAAAATTCATATTCATTTGCATCAACACAGATTCTGAAGGATGCATTCAAAAATCACAAGATTCAGTTTATGAAATGAAAGAACTATTTCGATCAAGTTTACTTGGACAACTAGGAATATCATCAACTCGAGTTTCTGATATTCAATTTAAGTTCCAGGAAGAAGTGATTGAAGCTGATGTTACTTTTCTCGAAGCTCCGCAAATTTCTGGTAAATAAACTCATCAATAATAGATTATGGTAGATTCATTATGAGTTTGAAAATTTTGAATTGAATTTTTTTCTCTTATTTACATCTATCAAAGAGGTTCTACCAGTTGCGCTCAAGACATTGAAACCAGAATCCATCAGCAAATTACACGAGACTGTTGCTGGTAGTGCTGAAAAGTGTCTTCAATATCATTCATCATTCGTTCCTTCAGGGCCGTAAGTTGTACTGTTTTCGTAATAAACTATTACCATAGCATTAATTCTGGTTTTTATTATATTTGATATTCCAAGTGCCATAATCTATTGCCCCGTTGGAAATGTTTGCTTTAGTACTAAAAACCCAAAAGAGATACAGCGAGATAGCAGCGGAATTGCGTGTTATATATACACTGATCCATACAAAAAACTGAATAGGTTACGCCAGGAAAAGCCTTTATCAGATTTACATGATCATACACTTGGTTACTTTGGACACATAACATTTAATTTGAATCTTGATGAAAAAGGTAAATATTTTGTTCATCATTTATATTCACTAAGATTGAACTAATTTCATTGGAATTGATCTCATTTGATTAGCCAAAGCAGTTGCTTTTCAAGTAACAGATGTCGTTGCTCAAAACGAAGGTGCTGAAGTGCGAAAACTACCATTTGATACTTTTTATCATGGCGGCCAATTTGATGAAATAGATGGTACTCATGCTGTCATGGTTCCTGGAGTCAACCGTTTTGGTGATTGTTATCGTGCCTGTTCTCAGAATGAAGATATACCTTGTGAAACATTTTCATTTTGTAACCGAAAAGATAAGAAGGAATGTGTTGTATCGATTTGGTCCGAATCGCAGATAAAAAATAATCTAACAGGTGATTCAGATTGTGTTATTTATTCGAAGAATCACTTGTCGGACTTTACTGTTCGACTTAATTTGAAATATAAGCATCCAACTACAGTGGCTAAGGAAGCTAACATTGATAATTGTGCTGCGGAATGTTATGCTTCAAAAGATTGTGTTTCATTTCAATTTTGTAGGGGTGATAAGTGTTCATTCGGTGGTTATGCCACATCAGCAAATACAGAGTTTGACGAAGAATGTCGTATTTATATTCGTGAGTACTAATCGCAATAAATCGTATTAATTGAATTCAATTTAATTGAACTTCTTTGTTTTTCTCTTGTAGCCAAAAGCTCTGAAAAATATACTGTAACTGGAACGAAACTTGTAAGTCAAGTCTTATACACAGAAGTTGATTTAGATTTGGATCAATGTGCAGCTATTTGTGATGATGATCAATCATGTAAATCATTCAACTTCTGTCCTAAAGGGAAAGCACCCGCTCAATGTCAAATAACTTCATATTCAACTAAAGATCCCAAGACGGAATCAGTGGAATCATCCATTTGTCATAACTTTGAATTAACTGTTAAATCCAAAGCAGAGGCACTTTCAGATAACAGTCCTGATGTTAAAGTATCTGGAGTCAGTGGTGGAGGAGTTTTCGGTATTATCATGTTGTTCCTATTCATTGGTCTTTTTGCTGGTTTCGCTGGTCCTTATGTTTACGCTAAAGTAAAATCAAGAGATACTGTCAAATCTAAAGACGATTTTGGATGGTCAAAGCATGAAGATGATGATGAGAATCAGACAGAAATATAAAATGATCATTTTGTGTGAAAATTAAATTCATAAATTTATAAGTTCTTCATATATTATTTTAAATATTTTACATGCAATATCTCGATTACGAGCGCTGGTGAATGTAGACGCAAAAGTATTAGAAATATTCAGAAAATTTAGAAAAGCGAAATTTGGCTCAAAGTTATTGAAAAAGATGTAATTCACTTAATATAACCCAACACAGGTCAATTGAAAAGTTCAGGCCATCATCGAAACTAAATTTCACCGACAGCTGATTGAAAAAATGGACTTTCGAACTTTTAAAAAGAGACTTTTTAGAAAAGGACTTCGATTTCATATATTTCAGCGATTATTACGAAATAAAAAGAACAGAAGGTCACCTTGTTAGGTTATATTAAGTGAATTACATCTTTTCTAATAGCTTTGAGGCCAAATTTCACCATTTTTCGATTCTTCGAAACCCTAGTATGAAGTTGAAGAATATATGGTTTTTGACTTAATGCAAAATCAGATTTTGACGCCTTTGTCTATTTAAGGCCATAACTTGACAATTTCTGATCAAAATTAATTCATCTTTGTACAAAATGTGCTTGAGAAGTGTACCTTTATTTTAACGGTTAAATGGCGCCTGTAAGTCTAGTCTAATTGACGCAATTCAATTCTAAAAATCTATTCTGTGTTTTACCGTTCATACCTTATTCAAATAAACTTGGCAACAAATTTGAATACTCAAATGCCCAATTTTGGGTTGAAAAATTTACTGGATTGTCTCTGATTTACAATCGACTATTTACTCATTTTTGCTAAATGGTTCATTGTTCCTGACAACAGCAACATCATCTCGTTATCTTTGTTCAAACAATTTGTTAATTAATTACCTGTAAATTTTTCATGCAGTATATGTATTTTTGTACAAACTGTTTGTTGAAAGATTAACGTTCAACAATAGCAAAATCTTTATCAACATCAAAAATCATGTTAACAACTTGTTTTAAGTTTTCTACCTGTTGACTGGAAATGTATCAACGTTGACAGAAACAAAATTGTTTTGGTAATCACAGTTTCCTGCTTTTCGGATGAAAATGGCGTTTATTTTCCTACAATTGTCAATTCATTGATTGCCATCGGCTGCATGTAGTCAGCTAAATTCTGTAGAAGATTCAAGATACCCATCAGACTAGAAGATAACTTTACATCGACGCTTATATGACATTTATATCAACCGGGTTTGATCGAAGAAGCTGTTAGAGCGCCTTCACCACCAAACACTGCTATTTCTTATGACACAGCGATACCATGTAATGTACGAATTTCACGCTTGTCTTGAATGGTTCTTGGCTGGATACGGTTACAAAGTTGGTTAGAGTTTACGATTGTAATTGGAAAAAGTGTTATTGGATTGTTTTGAAGGCTGTTTTTAACCAAACCCGAATTTGTCTCAATGAATGAAGAAGTCAAAAATTAATTGTAAATTCTAGCTTTTTAGTTAATCATTGATCGATCTAACAACTCCTAGATACCAAACATGGATTGGTATTGAAAAACAATAAGATTGTTTGAGTGGATAAAGAAATTATTGAGAATTAATTCTCACAGTTGATAATTAGAGGTGTTATAAAATCATGAAACCAGAAAAGTCCAAAAGCATTAATTGATATTTAATTGCTGTGTTTAACATTGAAAATGAGGAACCAAATACTTTTCAAGATGCTCTGCTTTATACTTTTCCTGTTGTTAAATTGTTCAATTATCAACTGTAGTAAGTAATGAACTGAATTAATTTGAATATTGTTTGATTGTTTATTAATTATAAAATTTGTCTTTAAATTTGAAGCATCTTTGATGGGATCAAGAGCTACAGGTCACAGTGACACAAATAGGATTATCCATGCATCTTTAACAGACAAGGTTAGTTAAATTCAATTGTAATTAAAGTTGCATTCGATTTATATTATAAATTTGTGTTAAATATTTAATTAAGGACACTGGTCGTGTTTGGCAGATCCAAGAATGGGTTTACTCAGGAAGTCCAAGGGCTGGACGAATCGAAATAAAATCAGATGAAAATGAAGCAAATGTCTTCTATTCGTACAAAAACTCCGAAGACAACAAGAAACGTCTTATTATTCATGGTAAGTCTTGTTTGTTGATAAAATCACTTTTAATTTCTGTGTAAATCATAATTAATTAATAATATTGATGCTTGATTCTTTTGATTTTTGAACAAATAAATCAGTTTTATTGCAGTTTTACCAGATTAGACGAAGAGTAAGATTGCCTTTAATTTTAACTGACATTGACAATTGTACATTGTTTGATTGAATATAATAACACCACATTGAGTTGATTATTGTACAAGACTTAACTTTTATTTTATATTTAGCAAACAAGGGATCAACTCGAGGTGTTAAGATTAACTAGAGCATGATTACTGAATTTATCACATTTGATGCCATTATGCATCATCTTCAACTTGATTACTAGTGATCTGAGCGAGTAAATAATTACTAATGAGCTTTCATTAAACTATCAATTTATTTAGACAATGAATGCGATGTTTACAATTACGATCTCAAGTGGGACAACTTATTGCCTGGTGTAAATAAACCTTTAACTAACCTTATCCTGCTTTTGGGTCCATCGGTCTTGGATCGTTTTAGTGGCTTTGATTGGGTAATTAATAGAGACATTTATTTTGACAATCAAACACACAAATAAACAATTTGATTTTTGCCATTGATAGACAATTGGTAACGCTGAAATTGTCCGAGGTTCATCTATGCACAGCGTCTCAACCGATTTGGATGGTAAACTCAATATAACTTTATACTATGCAAGTAAGTGAATTTTTATTGCTTGATGATGTTATTGACGATATTATTATTCAATTATTAGATAATCTTAACCAAATGAGTGGCATTCAACAGCCAAGTCAGATTGTATTCACTGGTCACAATCCCGATACTTTAGTTGAAGGAGAAGCCGAGACTCTGATCCTAGATATTGCTCTACAATCTCAAACTGAACAAAGATTGGATAAACTAGTTCAAGTAAGTTTATTATTACGATAGTTTATTATATCTTTCAGAAATTGAATATTAATCTTGTTTGTTGTAAGATTACACCAGGGGTTGGTTGTCCAGTATACCTGAATGGAGATCGGACCTTCCCTGAACTCAATTCCGTCAAAATTCATTTCATAGCTACAGAACAAGTTAACAAAAGTGCAAAAGTTATAAAAGAGGTAAATGGATGCATTTGCTTTTTCTTCAAAATCGTTTATAATTGTCAATCAATTCTGTTTTCAGTTTCATGCCGATGAAACTTATCAAATTTTACGACAATCTGAACTGGAATATGGCTGGAAGAGAAGCACAAAGGTCTTCGATTATCATCTTGCTGCTCGTTATGGTATATCAACTTATGGCTGCTATGCATCCCCGATCGATTCAGGGTCTCCTGGTTTGAAGGAAAGTGGTTCATTTTCAATAGCAAAACTACTTTGGTTACCGATGACATTGAAATATCTTGGAGAGATAATATTTGTAAGTTTAACCATAAGTTCATTAACTGGATAATGACCAATAATATTGATTTTGTCTTTACAGGAACACAGATCAGGTTATAATGTCCATGTTTGGGAATCCATTGAGATTAATCGAGTAATTAACGATAAAACATATGATAAAGTGGTGACAACACAGTATTTGAGTTCATCTGTAAGTTAAATTTGACTTCCTTCCTAGTCCATTAGAATGAAATATTTTAACATTTCTTTCCTTTATTCCAGTACAAAAATGATATTTTCAATGGCTACAGTCTTGTTGCAGCTTCAATAAAAGCCTACAAAAAAGATGCAAAGGTAAGCTAAGATGTAGCCATTTAAAATATAATACTAACTGTTGAATATTGTAGGGTTCATATGTTTTATCATATACAAATCATCGAGATTATTATGATTCCAATAGTGATTTACCTGAGTCTGAATACCATGAAGCTCTGCAAATTGCAGATTGTTTCCAGAAACCAGAAGAAAGATTGAATTTAAAGTTTCATTTAACATGCAAAGGTAATGTTAATCTTCAAGGTTGTTTGTGAATTTATAATATAATACATTGTACTCATTGTATACATACTCATTTACCATAGATTCTGATGGATGCATACAAATGTCACAAGATTCAGTGTATGAAATGAGAGAACTGTTTCGATCAAGTTTACTTGGACAATTAAAAATATCATCTACTCGAGTTGCTGACATCGACTTTAAGTTTCAGAAAGAAGTGATCGAGGCTGACGTTACTTTTCTCGAAGCAATAAAAATATCGGGTATCTGCATTAATTAATAGATTCTGCAATAATGAATTATGGTAGAATCATTGTCCATTTGAAAATTTTAAATTTGTTTTTTTTCTTATTTTCGTCTATCGAAGATGTTCTACCATTTGATGTATACATAATGCGTCCAGAATCGATCAGCAAATTGCACGAGACTGTTGCTGGCAGTGAGGAGAAATGCCTTCGATATCATGCTTCATTCATTCCTACTGGAGCGTAAGTTGTACTGTTTTGAGCAATGTTGACTTTTGACATAACATTTAATTCTGGTCTTTTTTTATTTTATTTAATACTCCAAGTGCTATAATCTATTGTGGGACAGGAAATCTTTGTTTTAGTACTAAAGACGCAAAAGAGGTAAAGGAATCTAAAACAGGAACTTTATGTAGTATTTACCACGATCCAAACAAGAAACTGAATAGGTTAGGCCAAGAAATGTCTTTAGCAGATTTACATGATCATATATTTAATAATTTTGGACGCATAACATTTAATATGAATCTTGATGAAAAAGGTAAATATCTTCGTTAATAATTGATATCATTAAGATTGAGTTTGAACAGATAGCATTTGAACTGATCACTTAAATTTATTTTTGTTTTACAGCCAAGGCTGTTACTTTTCAAGTAACAGATGTAATCGCTCAACTCGAAGCTCCTGCAGAGCTAAAAAAACCATTTGAGTCTTTGTTTCGTTCTAGTCGATTCGATGAAATAGATGGTGTTCATATTGTCATGATTCCTGGGGTTGACCGTTTTGGTGATTGTTATCGTGCCTGTTCTCAGAATGAAGATATACCTTGTGAAACATTTTCGTTTTGTAACCGAAAAGATAAGAAGGAATGTTTTGTATCGATTTTTTCGGAATCGCAGATAAAAAATAATAAGACAAGTGATCCAGATTGTGTTATTTATTCAAAGAACCATTTGTCTGACTATACTGTTCGACCTCATTTGAAATACAAGCATCCAACTACAGCGATTAAGAATATTTACGTCGATGATTGTGCTTCGGAATGTTATGCTTCAAAAGATTGTTTTTCGTTTCAATATTGTCAAGGGCAAGGTAAATTAGGTCAAAAGTGTTCGTTTGGTGGTTATATCACATCAGAAAATACAGAATTTTATGAAAAATGTGATATTTATGTCCGTAAGTACTAACCGTATTAACTGATGCAAATGTAAAAACTTTATCAAACATTTTCGTTTCTTTTTTCCTCAGTCAAAAGCTCTCAAAAATATACAATAACAGACAATAAACTTGTCAGTCAAGTTTTGTACACGAAGTGATTTAGATTTGGATCAATGTGCAGCCCTTTGTGATGATGATCAATCATGTAAATCATTCAACTTCTGTCCTAAAGGGAAAGCACCCGCTCAATGTCAAATAACTTCACATTCAATTAAAGATCATAAGACGGAATCAGTGGAATCATCCATTTGTCATAACTTTGAATTAACTGTTAAATCAAAAGCAGAGGCAATTTCCGATAACAGTCCTGGTGTTAAAGTATCTGGATTCAGTGGTGGAGGAGTTTTCGGTATTATCATGTTGTTCCTATTTATCGGTCTTTTTATTGGTTTTGTTGGCCCTTATGTTTACACTAAAGTAAAATCAAGAGACACCAATAAATCTAAAGACCATTTCGGATGGTCGAAGCAAGAAGATCATGATGAGAATCAGACACAAATTTAAAATGACCATTTTGTGTGAAAATTAAATTCATCAATTTTATATTATTATTTTACTGTTTTATTTTAAATATTTTATATGAAATATCTCGATTAAGAGCTTTATGGCGAATGTACACGAAGAAATATTTGAAAAGTCTTACGGGATAAAATTAATGAAACTCGAATTTCCATTTATTTACTGTTTATTTATTTACGAAATGAATTGTCAGCCATTTCAATCGCAACTGGTTAGTCTGTTTTGTAAGTATCACTTAGTTTGAATGCGAACCACTAGATAGCGCTACATGAAATCTGGTAACATTGAAGTGAGTATGAGGGAGCAAACTGGTTAAATTGTTTATTCTCACTGACAAATGTCTGGTTGTGTTGTGTAGTTTGGTTTTTATTTTATTTTTCAACAATTAAAACTAGATTTGTTTAGTTTATTCTTTGCTATACTAAATTTAAATCGGTTTAGGTTGGATTAGTTTCATTTGAACTGCTTAAGACCACATCAATCGCTAGATCTGGTTTCTTCATGTAATCCATCTGGACTTTAAGTGTAGTATCGAGCTGATTGTGTCTCTTACAACAATGGACTTACAAGTTTTTACAGTATCTTTACAGTTGTTTACACAGTGATTCAAGTTGTATCATTGTATTGAAAATATTAAACCTCCACACATTCATATCCATCAACCTTTAGAATGGGTTGTTATATAATAAACTTACCTAAAACATATCCTTTCAATAGACATACAGTTGTATTCAAAGTCAAGTTATATTGCTAAATATGCAAATCGATCAAATTTTTGTCCATTTAATTTGATTCTTTGGTAACTTGTAACTTGCCATCGTACAATTAAAACGTACGAGCATTAATAATTTGTTCAATAATAAATAAGAAGTGATAAAGATTGGAAGCAACTTGAGTAACTGTTTGCAGTATATTTCAACTTCCTCAGCACAATCAACAAACAGGAGTCCCAAAAGAATAAAAAATTGACTATTTCACCCATTTTGACCCCAAGATTAGTCGAAAATGAACTTTAATTCTTTCTTGGTTAATTTTGCTTCTTTGAATTTATGAATCTCATGGAAAATGGTAGAAAAGTATGAATATTGATTTTGATATATAGCCTGAGAAAAGAGTACCAGAACATGAACTAAAGATGTTACTCTTCGAAGTGATAAGGAGAACCAGAGTTCATTTTTTTGCTCATTAGAGTGCTAATTTTGAGTACTCGTTTCAAGTACTCATTTTGTGCACTCCATGCATTTGCTCATTTTAAAAACACATTCACCGCATGACTTGTATCTTTGATTTATTACGAAATACATCCCAATGTATTCTGGTTATAACGATGGTAACGTTAGTACGATTGGAAACATTTAAGACATTACGATCAATTGAATAGATAAATGGTTTGATGATACAATTGAACGGTTGATAATTAGAGGTGTTTTAAAATGGGGAAAGGAAAGGAAACCTGAAAATTAAAGATCAGAATCATTAATTGATACTTAATTGTTGTGTTCAACATTGAAAATGAGGAATCAAAAATTATATTTTTGAAGATGTTCTGCTTTATACTTTTACTGTTGTTAAATTGTTCAATTATCAACTGCAGTAAGTATTAAATGAATTAATTAAAATAGTCTTTGATTGTTTATTGATTAGACAACTTGTTTTATAATTTGAAGCATCTTTGGTGGGATCAAGAGCTTCAGGTCACAGTGATACCAATAGGATTATTCATGCATCTTTAACGGACAAGGTTAGTTTAATGCAATTGTAATTAAAATTATATGAGATTGATTAACTGTTATATTAAGGACACTGGCCACGTTTGGCAAATGCAAGAATGGGTTTACTCAGGAAGTCCAAGGGCTGGACGAATCGAAATAAAATCAGATGAAAATGAAGCCAATGTCTTCTATTCGTACACAAACTCCAGAGACAACAGGAAACGTCTCGTTATTCATGGTAAGTCTGTTGTCTGTAAATGAGTTTGGATTGTTTTGCTGATAATAGCTAATCAATTATATTGATGCCCGATGTTGTTGAAATGAAATTGCACTCAATTGCGAACTCACTTTTAACCATTTGTGAGAGTAAGATTGCCTTGAGTTTTAACTCACGTTCACAATTGTATTTTGTTTGATTACCGTATCCGCGTGTATAATGTCCTAGGCCTCTTATTCGTATCATCATGATCGAGAGTTCCTTTTGGTTAAAAGTGCAAACGTCAACTCAGAACAGGAAAATTTGATTCACTTTTAGAAATGCTTCAAAAAATTTTCTTTGAATAGCCGGTCGAAAAAAAGCTCAGTGTGACCATAAACAATTTGCCCATGAGCCACTGGCTGGGTAGCAAGAGTGATCTTTAAACGTCAAATTGAGTGTTCACATTTTGTAGCTTCCTGACATTACATACGCTGATATGGTAAATAAAAAACACCCACTAGAGTTGATTGTTGTACAAGGCTTTACTCTTATTTTATTATACATTTAGCTCATGAGACATCAACTTGAATTTTCACTAAACTATGAATTTATTAATTTTCAGACAATGAATGTGATCTTTACAATTATGATCTCAAATGGAACAATTTATTGCCTGGTGTAAATAAACCTTTAACTAATCTTATCTTGCTTTTGGGTCCATCGCTCTTGGATCGTTTTAGTGGCTTTGATTGGGTAATTAATAGAGACATATATTAATATATTATAATATTTTGAATAATCAAGATACTTAAATGAAATTACTATTTCGAACATGAAACGTCTTTGTCAGGCAAATGGTAACGATGAGATTATCCGAGGCGCTCTTATGCACAGCGTCTCAACCGATTTGGATGGTAAACTCAACATAACTTTATTTTATGAAAGTAAGTACAACTTTCCATTTTTTGTTATGTTATTGACGATATTAATATTCAATCATTAGATAATCTTAACCAAATGAATGGCATTCAACAGCCAAGTCAAATTGTATTCACTGGTCACAATCCTGATACTTTAGTTGAAGGAGATCCCGAGACTCTGATCTTAGACATTTACTTACAATCGCAAACTCAACAAGAATTAGATAAACTAGTCCAGGTAAGTTTAGTGGTTTGCTAGTTTATTTATTAGTTATTTAATATGAATTTTGTTATTCTAAGGTTACACCAGGATTTGGTTGTCCAATATATCTGAATGGAGATCGGGCTTTCCCTGATCTCAATTCCGTCAAAGTTCATTTCATAAGTACTCAACAACTTTATAATGGTGATAAAGTTTTAAATGAGGTAACTAGATTTATTTGCTTAAATATCTTCAAAATTGGTTATAATTATTGATTTTTATTAACAGTTTCATGCTGATGAAACTTATCAAGTTTTGCGACAAACTGAACAAGAACCTGGATACAAAGAGGAGAAGCTCTACGATTATTCTCTGGGTGTTCAATATAGTATATCAAGTTATGGAGTTTGCTATACATTTCCGATCAATTCAGATGCACCTGGAATGGACGAAAGTGGTTCATTTTCAATAGCAAGTTTACTTTGGTTATCGAACTCATTGAAATATCTTGGACAGATAATATTTGTAAGTTTAACCATAAGCTCATCAACTAATTGCTAACTAGCTAATGATATCAATTGTGTTTTAACAGGAGCATAGATCTGGTTATAATGTTCACGTTTGGGAATCCACTGAAATCAATCGAGTAATGAGCGGCAAAACATATGATAAAGTGGTGACATTACAATATTTGAGTTCATCTGTGAGTATAATATGACTGATAATTCATTTTTTGTTGGTGACAAAGTAATTTATTTTATTCTATCTTTCTTTCAGTGCCAAAATGATCTGTTTAATGGTTACAGTCTTGTTGCAGCTTCAATGAAATTGTACAGAAAAAATGAAAAGGTAAGACCAGATGTAATGATTTAAAATATTATATCTAACTGTTGAATATTGCAGGGTTCATATTATTTATCATATTCAAAGCATCGAGATTATTATGATTCCAATAGTGATTTACCTGAGTATGAATACCATGAAGCTCTGCAGGTTGAAGATTGCTTTAAAAAACCAGAAGAAAGATTGAATTTAAAGTTTCATTTAACATGCAAAGGTAATGTTAACGGCCAAAGTTGTTTGTTTATTTACTCAAATTAATACTCATTCACAATAACATAGGTTCTAATGGATGCATACAAAAGTCACAAGATTCAGTTTATGAAATGAAAGAACTATTTCGATCAAGTTTGCTTGGACAACTAGGAATATCAACTACTCGAGTTGCTGACATTGACTTTAAGTTTCAGAAAGAAGTGATTGAAGCTGATGTTACTTTCCTAGAAGCTCCAAAAATATCTGGTAATGAAAATAAACAAGCATTTAAAATTAGTTGATTCAGTTAAAATTTTATTTAAATTTGATTATTTCTTGTATTTTCATCTAGTAAAGAGGTTCTACCATCTGAGACTAAAACATTGGAACCGCAATTCATCAAAAAATTACACGAGACTGTTTCTACTAGCGAGGAAAAGTGTATTCGATATCATGCATCTTTCGTTCCTCATGGAGCGTAAGTTTTACTTTTTTGAGTGATGTTAGCTTTTGAACAGAATTTAATTCTGGTTTTCTTTCTTTTAATTTGTTGTCCCAAGTGCTATAGTCTATTGTGCGGATGGAAATGTTTGTTTAAGCACGACGAACGAAAAAGATGTAAAGGAATCTGAAGCAGGAGCTTTCTGTAGTGTGTACACCGATCCATACAAAAAGATCAATAGATTAGGTCGAGAAAAGCCTTTATCAGATTTACATGATCATATACTTGGTTACTTGGGACACATAACATTCAATATGAATCTTGATGAAAAAGGTAAATATTTTGTTCATCATTTATATCACTAAGATTGAACAAATTTCATTGAAATTGATCTCATTTGATTAGCCAAAGCAGTTGCTTTTCAAGTAACAGATGTCGTTGCTCAAAGCGAAGATGCTGAAGAGCGAAAACAACCATTCGATATTTTGTATCATGACAGTCAATTCGATAAATTAGATGGTGTTGATACTGTCATGATTCCTGGAGTCGATCGATTTGGTGATTGCTATCGTGCCTGTTCTCAGAATGAAGACATACCTTGTGAAACCTTTTCGTTTTGTAACCGAAAAGATAAGAAGGAATGTGTTGTATCGATTTGGTCCGAATCGCAGATAAAAAATAATATAACAAGTGATTCGGGTTGTGAAATTTATTCGAAGAATCACGTGTCGGACTTTACTGTTCGATCTCATTTGAAATACAAGCATCCAACTACAGTGTTTAAGGAAAGTTATATTCGTGACTGTGCTTCGGAATGTTATGCTTCAAAAGATTGTGTTTCATTTCAATATTGTAGAGGCAAAAAGTGTTCATTTGGTGGGTATGCAACATCAGCAAATACAGAATTTTATGAAGACTGTGATATTTATATCCGTAAGTACTAATCGCAATTAATCAAATTCTGAATTCAATTTGATTGAACTTCTTTATTTTTTTCTTACAGTCAAAAGCTCTGAAAAATACAAAGTAACTGGAACGAAGCTTGTAAGTCAAGTTTATACAAAGAAGTTGATTTAGATTTGGATCAATGTGCAGCTCTTTGTGATGATGATCAATCATGTAAATCATTCAACTTCTGTCCTAAAGGGAAAGCACCCGCTCAATGTCAAATAACTTCATATTCAATTGGAGATCCTAAGACACAATCAGTTGATTCATCCATTTGTCATAACTTTGAATTAACTGTTAAATCCAAACCAGAGGAACTTTCCGATAATACTCAGGAAAGTAAAGTTTCTGGATTCAGTGGTGGAGGAGTTGTTGGTATCACCATGTTGTTCCTATTCATTGGCCTTTTTTCAGGCTTCGTTGGTTCTTATGTTTACACTAAAGTCAAATCAGGAGAGATGAATAAATTCAAAGATAATTTTGGATGGTTGAAACAAGAAGATGATGATGAAAATCAAACTCAATTTTGAAATATGCAATTCTATTAAAACTATAATAGATTCACTGCAAACAGTGTAGTCTGAACTTTTGATATGCAATTTCAAATATTTTTAATTTTATGTTTGTTGATGCTGTCGAGATACTTTTGTATTTAAATGAGAATGCAGGCAAAAACTTGAGCATTTGAGTTAAGTGTCGAGCCTTGTAGGTTTTTAGAAGCTTAAAAATCTTGTCCATTAGAGATTTTAAATAATTTCTACGATCGATGGAATCGAGGTCAAGTTGTGGTCAAGCAGGTCAACTTCGATCGCTCTTTGTGAAATTATGAAAGTAGATTTTTTCATAAAATTCATCTACAGTAAATCCTCGGTTAATGCATAACTCAGTTAATGCATAAAACAGCTCCACCTAACGTTAATTAGTCATTAATAGTCTAATTTTCAGTGTTATTATTCAGCGGGCTAATCCCGGTTTCCGGACCGGTCCGACAGGGACCGCACCCCCATAAGGTGCGAGGGTTACACATTCACTTTACTTTGACGAATCCGGAGGGGAAGGAAGTGGGATAGTCCAGAGGGCTTAAACTCTGGGTAAGCAATGACTAATCAACAGTAGATGGAGTTCACCCCACTTGCAAGGATTTGACGAGATTCGAACGCTAACCCTAAGGACAGCAATCTTATCGCACACGCAAACCACTAGGCCACGAGTCAAGTGTTAATTTGATGAAAAAACAACGCCATCTTTCTGATTTTTGCTGGAAGCTTAACCCACATTTTTATGCATTAACTGAGGACTTACAGTAGATGGTTTTGATTTTGATGGTCAACCAGAAAATACACTTATTTTGACAATCGAAGTTGCCTTTTTTACAAAAATAGAAATTTTTATCTCTCAAAATAAGTACATTTTCTGGTTGACCATCAAAAGTTACATCATTTAAATGATTT